CGGAAATGAAAGAATTTATTAAATTGTTACAAGCAGCAAGAATTACATTCAGCGCTATACTAAATCTTCAAAGCCTCTTCAGAACAGAATTTCAAAGAAGAAGAAATTCTACTAGCAACTCACTTGTATAAAACAAAAAAAAACAAACCACATTTTGCATCAGTAGCCACTCTTACGACTGTAGTCAAAACAGCTATTTTGAATACAGCCTGAGCTGTATTTGATATTGTAAGAGAAGTAACAGTATGGTGATAGGTAAAACAAGAGAAAGGGCAGAATGAGCTTTATGTCAGACTGTCAGCGAGAAGAAAAAAAGAGAACCAGTAATGTGCCAGATCACCTCTTTACTGACACTTGAAGATATTCTACCTGAGTATATATCTTGACTAACATTACCTGAAACTCAGTGAGGTTTTCAGAAGAGACAGGAAGAAATAGGTGCATTCTTGGTATTGTTAATGATTCAGTTTGACAAATGACGCTACTGTGCTGCTGAAAAGGAACTTGTCATTGGTACCATTTCTTTGGAAGCATTCATTCTGCATAAAAAGCTAAGCATACTGACAGCGAATCCTAAGGGGAGCAAGCAGCTTTTGAAACCCGAGCACAGAAAAAGATGTGCCAGACTTCAAATGTAAATTGTGTAAGATAAATTAACAGTTAGAAATGGGGATAAGTGGTAGGATAGCTGGAGAAAATCAAGAGGCAGAGTACTAAACTAATTTAGAGTCTTACTACTGGCTTGACCAGAGAGTGGTCTATGTTGTTGAATGACTTGAAGTGATTCAACACTAACAGTAAGGCAGTCATTGCTCTACAACACAAGTTCGTAACAGTTACAATTTGTCAGTTCTTTAAAAATATTTATTTGCACCACAACTTACAGCATGAACAGCTGAATGGCTGCTTTGCATCTTTCATTAGTGCCTGTATTCACTCATTCTATATTAAACATTTTCACAGAATTTCATTAATTTTAAGGCCAACTCTTTATTCCATCATTTCAATATTCTAGTCAGATCGGATGTAGTAAAAAAGAAGGAAGTTTCTGAATAAGACAAAGACATTGTTAAACAAAATTGGATTTCAGTAGCCATTAGACACAAACACAACACTATCCCTATCATCATCATCAACTCTTACATCCAATTAAAAAAACATTTATTGAATCAGACTGAGAACAAATTCATACTAGCACAAGATGAGAGAAATGTGCAACTTTAAAGCTAAATCACTTAGTCTACACATACCTTCTCCTCATAAAATTAAATTATATATACAAGCATTATTGTGCCATGATTTATTATTAATTTATAGTTAAAAGTAGCAATTGGGCATGTTAGCCCATGGTCTCTCCTTTAACTATATCAACATCCTTTTTTTTCCAACTAATTGCTGCATCAGCTTTACCCTAATTAGTTAACAACTGCCAATTAAAGAAGAACTGTGAAAGCCTGGTATTCTACCAAGAACATTTCCAGCGTACAGTATACTTGACCAATGCTCTCTTTCAACATAATGAGAAAGAACAAGTATCCAAAGCTTTTAAGTGCTGGCATTAATTGCAAGGATGATAGCCAAATTCCAGATCACCTAGTTACATTATGCTTACTTGCACCCCCTTTCCACACTAGTCTTCATTTTATATCTTAAAAATATAACTGAACTGTTAGTGCACAATAGCTGTTTTAGTTCTCAAAAAAGAAAAAAAAGGCCGCTGCATCTCAGTAGCAGCCAAAAAACAAAAGGATTCTAATTATATTACATACGTTCTTTAAAAATGCTAAACAAAAGCTACAGTGAAAAAACATAAGACAAATGGTGCACAGCTAATGAACGTTTATTGAACGATAATCAAGGCCAGCCTGGACAAGTTCCTGTGCAATGTACTCTAGGTTACCCTGCTCTTGCAGGGGGGTTGTACCAGATGATCTTTTGAGGTCCCTTCCAACCCTTGGGATTCTGTGATTCTGTGATAAAGATATAATACTAACGGATGAGGTCTTGTGAGTATTCCAAATACTATTCAAAATACATCAGGCCATTGTATATAAAGTAATGCACTCATAAAATGATAAACTCATGTTTTGCAACTGTCTGGAAAAGTCTGGTCTTGCTTTGTATCTCACAGAAACACTGTGCCAGAGACTGAATTCAACTATGCATGACAAAAATGAACCATCTGAATTTCACTTACTACTTAGCTGCCCTTTAAAAAAAAGTAGAAGAATAAAAGTGGAGAAAGCTTTCATGCATCCATACCAAGCACATGACCATTCTGTGCAGAAAAGGATGACTACAAGAAAAATGTTGATATAATTTAAATTCTAACTGTATTATGCTACATATGTGTGTGGATGTGGGTAATTATTGTGATTGACTGGAAACATCCTTTGCCAGTATGTTTTACATACAATTTCCTAAGGCAGAGATATAGTGAATCAAAATTTCAAGCCTCTGTTCAAGCAATTGAACTAAGGCAATTCGTGTTGCCTTGATCCCCTTTGTTCCATCCCTAGTGGAACCCTCTTAAAAGGGTTAGCTAGCTATCTGTACCAGTCACATTTCTTGTCTCAATTTCACTCTCTAATCTTCAACTTTTTTTTTTTTACCACTTACCTACACTCTTTCCCAGCTACTCCTCACTACCACAGACTGATCACTATGGGATCAGTCTGTATGCCAGAATACTCACCTTTCTGATGGAAGAAAACATACCACACGGGTCTTAAAGAGAGATTGATAACAAAACCAAACAAAAATTAGTAAGAAAAATAAGTAACTCAAATCAGTAGCATCACAGCGACGCTTCAAAATAAAAATGCCCTTAATTTTCTATTCCTTTGTTTTATAAACTTGCATAACGCTGTATCTACCTCCCCATAATTTACCATGTCCTTAGGACATGTATGTACTCATTATTCAGAGAGGTTCTAATAAGCTTTCTACTTCCTGTATTTCGCTTACGTGAATTTCCATTCTGTCAGGCAGTTTAGTGCTTCATTTCCATCACTTGCACTCAGCTTTTACTGTTTTGAAGCTTTCTGGATAAAATGTTCCTTTGCTGTGGAAATGGATAACCTTAAAGCCATAGAATATCTTCAAGAACTTTCAATGAAAGACAGTAATTATATACACTTGTAAAAAAAAAAAAAAAAGGGCAGGGGAGGGCTGCTTCAGTAAGTCTTTAAAATTCTTATGAGTTAAATCAAACAGCATCAATATTTCAGACATTATTCAGTATTATATGCCACTACTCACTGTGGCAGACACAGATTCCCAGCAAATTATACTGGAGACACTGAACTCTTATTTGAAGCTCAGAAATTCTTCAGAACTTGGCTTAAATGTGGAATTGCTATAACTGAACTAAATGGAACCATACTGTCTTATATACAGCAAGCGACTTACGGTTCTGTGCAATAGGTTGAATTATGTTCTTCCTTACTAAGTAGCCAGTATGGAAAATAATCAAAACATGAACTGTAACACTACGCTTCCTCCTCATACTGGAAGCATTTTGCTCTGTTTCGTCTTCACAGCATCAGAACTTGCAGTTCTCTTGCCTTAATCTTATCCAGTAATTTAGTGAGGTTTATTCAAGTTAAACCTACCTACTAATAATCCACTCAACAAACAACACACCCACTTAAGAGTATTTTCCTGCACACAGCATACCTGTAGTTTTTCAGACTGCATCACACATTCTCATCAGTGTTTTAACATAAGAGATACTTGTTTAAAATACAAACAGGCTACTTAAGCAGTAATTGCCATTCTTGGATATATATTGTATGTACTCACATTAGCATTGCCATTGTTTGTACTACAACTACTTAAAGTGTAGGACTTTTTTTTTTTTTTTACAGCACATTCACATCTTGGTATTTTTCATGCAGATAATAAAAAGAGCAGAATATGCCACAGGAACCACAGTTTCCCTCCAGAGACACAACCCCTAGCCCCAAAACAGGGAAGGAGAAAGAATATTAAGACAAGCAGTAAATGTACATATAAAATACATCTATTATACATTTATTGCAAGCAAGATATCACTTAAAACATCAGTTCAACCTGCAAGTCTGTTGCCTAATATTCTTGCTTAAAATGAACCATAGAATGGTTAGCATTGGGTGACCTTAAGGTCATCAAGTTCCAACCCCTCTGCCATGGGCAGAGAAGCCTCACACTAGACCATGTCACCCAAGGCTCTGTCCAACCTGGCCTTGAACACTGCCAGGGATGAAGCATCAGAACTACTGGAGTGCTGAAAGCAGCAGAAAATACAGCTTCAAAATACACAAAACAATGGATTTCTTCATGTCATGAAGGATAATGTAGTTTATTCATACAATAGCAGGTTAAGCTAAGGAACTCCTTACCACAGACCAATGTCTATATTAAAACATTTACACAAATTCAAAAGCATATGCACATGTTCATGGAGTAAAACGTTAATTGTTCTAGATTATGTGGATGCAGGAAGTCCTTCAGCACAATCAGTGGTGGCTGGGAGAATGTTCTGCAGGGTGTCTCCGTATCACGGAATCATGACGGCATGTTAATAGATCTTAATATATGCTTCCCCAGAATTTGTCATTGATCATTGCCAGAGACAGGAGACCAGGCTGGACAAACATGTGCCCTGAATCAATGAATCTAAAGGGTGATCAGGTATTGGAACAGGATTCCCATGGAAGTTGTAGAATCACCAGCTATGGAAGTGTTCAAAACCCGTGTAGACGAGGCCCTCAGTGACACGGATTAGTAGTGGACTTGGCAGTCCTGGGTAGAGGTTGGAGCTGATAATCTTAAAGGTCTTTTCCAACCTAGTTGATTTTGTAATTCTATAATACAGCCCTTGTCTTGTGGCAACACACAAAATCAAGCAGGAGTCAGGGCAGGGCTCCAGAATCATGGTGTTCTAAATGTCAGTATGGAGAATGGAACTGAAAGATGTAGCTAACAAAGAGCTGTGAAAATGAGTGGTGAGCACAAACCTCAAGATCATGGTTTTCTGTTTAGGGCTTGATCCTCTTCTGTCCTCAATAGAGACATAACGATCCAGAGGTGACAGGAGGAGAGTACCTGTGCAGGATGAATATAGTTGAAATTAAAATTTCAAAGAAGATGTGATCTTTTGATCATGTCAGAGGGAATAAATAACATTTAGTAAAAATACAGAGGGAAAGCTGGAAAAGAAGCCCTGTAAGAAGTGGAGGCTATTCACTGCCTTTGTATCTCCCTAGGAAAAAGACAAGCCAAGCAAAGAACAAAGAATGTAACATTACTCAAAAATGATACTTAAGCATGTTTGTAAGTGATCTTGGTAATACAGTAACAAATTCTGGTGCAAAAAGTAAATTCCTGAACCCACACATTCTTTCATTACTCTGTATCAGTTTAGTGCTACTACTGTTTGCACAGCTTCTATCTAAATGCCATTTAAGAATTCATTCAAATTCATTTGACTTTCCTTAATCTTGGTTATATTAAGATGAAATAATTCCTTGGTTTAGTATCTTAAACATTTAGAAGTACTTTGATTGTCCTTTTGTAATAAAACCTAGAATTCCTTTCTAGTCTTTTTATACATACCACTATAATGTCCACATTATTCAAAACTAATATCCACAAAGGCTGTAGGCTTGATTACACCACAAGCTCTTTTTTCATTCTTATATATGCAGTTTCTTTCAGGAGGGCAAAAAGAATGAAATGTAACAGATAATCCCTGGTACTTCTGTGCTCAACAGATTGCTGTTTGATGTCTTTTATTTGACCATTATAAATACAACCTATAGACAATTCTATCTTCTTCCAAAGCAAGTCCACGGGAACATACATAAAGTCTGAAATAAACACTGAGTTTTAGGTGAAAAATTCAGATGCATTCCACAGGCCACTATTAAGAGTCTAAAAGCTACATGATCAGAAGCACAGTGTCTTGTGGAAAATCAGTTTGGAATTTCCAGAACGTTCCCAATGGCAGTCCTAGCAGAAAAATAACAAATTAACAGAGCATAGAACAAATAAACTTATTATTTAAAAATATCAGTGTTTTCAGCAAGGGTTGAACTAGGGAAACAGTTACCTCACTAGTTGTCTGCAAGTATTTTCCTTTAAGCAATCCCTGAACTCAGCTTTCACAGTGCAGAACACAGATGTCCTTCCAAGTTCTTAAACCCAGGGAAAGAATGAGTTAAAAACTGATTACTACATTATCCCACCACTACTCAGAATTCTGTAAGCTACATTAACTTGTAAAGAGCTAAGTTGGAATAGCAGATCACTACTGAATCTGAGAGGAATTCCACATCTTTCTCACAACTGTAGCTTAAACAAGACTTTATTCTACCTTAGAAGATGGAGAACTGGTGTTATTTATAAACAAAATCACCTATTTAGAATTCCACTGAATATGATAATGAACTTTAAGGAATACATTCCATAAAAAATCCTAAAGATACAGGAAGTACCAGCTTTTCAAAGTCAGAGGTGATACGGTAATAAATTCTAAACTCAATATAAACCAGTTCTTGTTTGCATTTTTTTAATCAACATACATTCATGTTAATGACTACCTACACCAACATGTAACTATATATAAATACATATATATATTGATTTCTGGAGCTGAGGAAAGAATTTCATGATGAAGGTACAATAGATTTGTTCTCTGCCCTATGACATACCAGAAACACTCTGATGAGAGATACTCCCACTACAAATACTATATTGAAAAAACAAAACAAAACCAAGGGTTTTTTTCTTCCCATAAAGTGTGCGTATTTTTGTAACTTAACATAAAATTTTAAATATTTAAAAGGATTTTTGAACATCTGCCCTGAAAGTACTTTTGCCCTGTTTAAGATTCCTGTTACTGGATTTATTCATATGCTACTAATTCTACAATGACCTCCAAGATACAAATGATTGGCCAGTTATACATTAACTCTTGCAAAACCCAGTAACTTATCTGCATGTGAAGCACACACTCTGTAAAAGCAGACAGATCTAATCTGACGACTTTTAGAGCAACAGAATCTGTGATATTCAAAGTTGTTACGTCACCTGTTAATCATTGTCACTTTTGGAAATTACTGTAGCTTGCTTTCTGCCGGTCATTAACCACTGGATGCTCTTGCTCCCGTCTTTTCTAGATTAAACAATCCTTTAGGATTTTGTTGCACTGAAAGGCACTTGAAAACTTAATTCCATCAACTGCAGATCTGTCTCCAGAGAAAGAATTGGCCAATTTAGATTCCCATGGTATATGCATTGTATTGTCCAGATGCAGTTCTCTTCCCTGCAGTCTACATTTTTCTAACACACTCCTCAAATCGGATGCACCCAAACTATACCCAATTGCTTCAGCAAGATTCTAAAGCAAAGATAACAGCGCAGACAAAAGCAAAGAACAGTGCCAGCGAGGCTCATTTCAAACCAAGATCAGATCCCCAAACTGTCTTACCGTAGAGCCACAGGAGCAGCTGTATTGGCGCACAGACGCTTCAGACTTCTTACACAAACACTGCTGTTGAAAAACACCCTCGTAAACGTGTAGCACGCATTCAAACTGGCACAGCTTTCTTCAGCAGTTCTTGCTCTCCCTCCCCCTTTCACACGGTGCCAAAAGAGTAATTTGTGCCATTATCTGAATCGATCTGGAGAAAATTACCCTGAATTATTTTTTTCTCGTTTTCCTTCTTGCCAGGCTGTCTTTCAGCCCGGGACTCCTCCGCTGAACACCATCTGCGCTAGCATCAAAGCGATTTCAGCGGGGAGCAGCACAGGGTCCGGGTGGAATGGGGAAGTTTTAGACACATTGAACAGGCAGTGAACCGCAGCCAGGAGAAGGCGCTGGGGCAGGCGGGAAGAGCTGCTGAGGCGGACTCCGCGCCGCGCTGACAGACCTCACCGCAAGAGACGCGGGACAGCGAAGAGAGCACCGAGGGGCAAGGGCCGCCGACCGGCTGTGTCCAGGGGAACCCTGCCACCAGGGTCCTCCGCAGCTCAGGGGCAGCCCAAGGGCAGCCCCACGCTCGCCCGCTCGGCTCCAGGCAGACCCTCCTCAGGGACGGCTCGGCTGCTGCTTCTGCCAGGCTCTATCTTGCTCTCTCTGTCCGCTGCCCAGCGAGCAGCTGTCCAGCGAGCAACTGCCCGCTGCCTGCCGTACCGGCAGCATGCACTCCCCGCTGCTCACGCCGAGCCCACCCCCCCCCTAGTCGTCGCCGTCTGCCCGCCCAAGCCACACCCGTCGCCCCGCCCCACCTGCAGCGCATGCACAGAGCGCAGCGCTCTCCTGGTGGAGGCTAGTGGCGCCAGCGGGCGGGTACCGCTGCCTGCCCCCCCACTCCACCCAGCCACCGCGCACGCGAAGCGTCTGGTCGTCGTGGCAACGGGACGCGGTGCCGGTTGGTTGCGAGGCCGCCGCCGCCGCCGCCGCCGCCGCCGCCGCCGCGGGTCATGTCTGGGATCTTGTGCGAGTGGCTGAACGAAGAGGTGCAGCTCTCCCGCAGCCTGGGTGAGTGCGGGCCCCGCTGCGGGGGAAGCGCGCAGGGGCTGGGGGGTATAGCAGGCCTGCCCGTCAGCGCGGGGGGCTGCCTGCCGCAGGGTCAGAGTCGAGGTGGTCCCGCGGCCCAGCTCCATGAGCCCTCCCCCTTCCCCGTGTCTAGATACCCCCTCAGGTACATTTTTAATCTTCATGCGTAAGACGGTGACTTTCGAGATGAAGTTAAGTTTCCTTAAGGCGCAAATGCTCTCAGGGAGTATGAGGTGCTCATGCTTCATCTGCTAATAAGGACTCCAGAGGATAACAGTATTTTGTTTGCAAAGCAGTTTGCAGAGCCTTGCTTTGCATGGCAGGTGTTGTGCTGGCTTTGAAGAAGCATTTCTTCTGCAAGGAGGGAGCAACTTTCCATGGAAGAGAAGCGCTTTTGTTTTCATTTGCATGTTTTATTTTTGACTGCGTAAAGCTTATGTTGCAAAATAACTACACTGAAAGCAGATTTATTGGTGGCTTGAAAACTAGTTACTGCTAGATCAACCTCCTAAAATTCCTCTGAATTATTTAATAAAGTTTGGACAACTTTTTAATGAAAATAATAATCTATTGTATTATAATTATTGTATGAAAATTTTTTGTTTGTTTTTGTTAACAACAAAACCCCCAAACTTAGTTCCAGGATCAATATCGGAAGAGTTTTCTAATGGCTACCTCCTAGGAGAACTTCTACATAAATATGATCTTCAGGATGACTTTGATCAGTTTTCACAGAGCAGGTTAGTACATACAGATAACATGTCTATACAGAAATTAGGCAAAAATTTATTTTCAGGTAGGATTGGCTAATGCATAGTGGTCAATACATCTAGAATTTGCCAAGATTTGACACATTTATGAATAAGTCAAAAGCTACTTATATTTGACGTATGGATTAGCTTTGTATTTCCAGAGAGACTGGTAATTCTTCAAGAAAATTACGCATTTTGATTGAAACTGTGATAATAGCAAGTTGGACCAAAAGTTCTAGAGGCCCTCACAGCTATGGGTTGTGCAGAGAACTGATTTAGAGCAGCCATGTAGAGATGGACTTGGGAGTGTTGGTTGATGAGAAAATGAACATGAAGCAGCTTCAGTGTGAGCTTGCAGCCCAGAAAGCCAGCCATATCCTGGGCTGCATCAAAAGGAGCATGACCAGCAGGTTGAAGGAGGTGATCCTGCCCCTCTACTCTGCTCTTCTGAGGCCCCACTTGGAGCACTGTGTGCAGTTCTGGTGTCCTCAACGTAAAAAGGACATGGAGGTGCTGGAAAAAGTCCATAGGAGGGCACGAGGATGATCAGGGGACTGGAGCACCTCCTGTATGAAGACAGGCTGAGAAAGTTGGGGCTATTCAGCCTGGAGAAGAGAAGGCTGCATGGAGATCTCATAGCAGCCTTACAGTATCTGAAGGGGGCCTATAAGGGTGCTGGGGAGGGACTCTTCATCAGGGACTGTGGTGACAGGACAAGGGGTAATGTGTTAAAACTTAAACAGGGGAAGTTTAGATTCAATATAAGGAGAAAGTTCTTTACTGTAAGGGTGGTGAGGCACTGGAATGGGTTGCCCAAGGAGGTTGTGAATGATTCATCCCTGGTGGTATTCAAGGGCAGGCTGGATAAAGCCTTGGGTGACATGGTCTAGTGTGAGGTGTCTCTGCCCATGGCAGGGGAGCTGGAACTAGATGATCTTAGTCCTAACCATTCTATGGTGCTATGAATCAAGGATGTCTCTACCACTGGAGATACTAACACTGTCCCCAGGAGCTGTGTAGACCTAGGAGTCCAGAGGTATGGTGTGGTGGTGACCGTTAAATCTTCACTAAAATGAAAATGGTGGAGATGTATTGTGAGGCTGAGACAGTGTATGCATGCTCAGTAAAGGTGATGATGTACAATGGAACATGATTTCCAGTACCAACTGGAGCAAATGCTGAGAATGTCAGAGGCCTCAACTCAGATTGCTGTCCAGACAAAGGAGGCAGTTCTTCATGTTTCAGGCTGTAGGAAATGCCCAGAGTCTTTACCAAGCTTTGGGCAGGGTGTGGTGGCAGCTTTTTCTTCAGAGGTGTGTGCTCACAGGTGATATGTGTCACAAAGTCAAGCTGCTACAGAAGGAGGTCAGTAGACTGCTCAGCATCACAGATGATGAAAAGGATATGGACTGAATCTTCTGTGAGACACTACAGATATCAGAACCTGAGCACACAGCTGTGCTGAGAGAGAGGCAGGCAGAATCTGTGCTTGTTGGGTTGGGAAAAGGAGATTACTGGCAGCTTGTGACTTCTGGCAAGAGTAGGCATGTTCTGGCTCAACTGATCTGCAGCTGCAGAACAGGATCATTACCTTGGTGGCAGATGAGAGGCTGATAACTGTGCAATAAAGAATCTGAGCCGGCTCAGTCTGAATCACCCCAGGGCACCAGGAGGAGAAGGTGAGGGATAGTAGCTGGAGACTTTCTCTTGCAGGAGGTGGAGGTACCTGTCTGCTGACCTAGGGAGGTCTGCTGGCCGGGGAGGTTTGCTGCTTGCTGGGGGGTGGGTCAGGGACTGCAGAGGCTTGTCTAGCCCTTATACTGTTACCTGCTGCTTTCCTATGTGGGCAGCAAGGGTACTGCCAGACAGACCTGGACTGTATCAAGAGTGACTCTAGAGGCAAAAGTCAAAGGTATGGGGGGCCCAGGTGTTTTTTCCCTTAATTCCAGTGGTGAGGTGGAAAAGCTTGATAAGGATAGATTCTACAGGTTGTGCAGCTGCTGTCAGCATGAGGGATTTGGTTTTTGTAGTCATGGGATTCTCTCTGAAGATGGAAGACTGCTAGGAAGAGATGGATCCATCTGACCAGGTTGGGCACATCTTTGCCAAGAGGCTGATGCTGATGAGCCATAAACTAGGAACTGGGGGTTGGGAAGAGATGGTTATCCTCAAACAGGTAAGGAAGTGGTGGTCTAGACTGGCAAGCAAGAGGAGGAGGGTGATATGAATAAGAGGGAAAAAACAGTGCCCAAGTCTGCCCACCCCAAATGTATGCATGCAATTAAGGAAGTGCTGAGAAGATGGCATTATCGGAGAAGCATTCACACTTTTTTCTGGTATGTGCTGGAAAAGAAACACTGACAAGCACAAGCAATCCAGAAGGTCTCTGGAGTGCAGTGATGATAACTTCCTGAGAAATGTGATTGAGCTGCTGAAGAGGGGAGATGATCTACTAAACCTAGTATTTATTATCTGCAGTAACCATGACATGGTGAAGTTCATGATCTGGAGAGGAGTGGGCAAGCTAAAGGGAAGCTAAAGAAAGCATGAGCTTACTGCTGAATGGTACACAGGACCCAGTGGAAAAAAGCCCATCAGTGCTTACATTGAGGAAAACACTCCCAAATTTTATAGCATTCTTCCTAGGGCTCTGAAATCTCTGTTGAGTCACCTCAGACTTTTTGTTGTGACATCATTAGTACCCATGTGAAAGAGCAGGAATGAGTAGTAGTTTGAAAATTGTACTAAGCTCTTCAGCCCTGTAGTTACATCCCTAATTTTGAACCCAGAGAAAAAGCAGATTGCCCTAAAAGGAGGATGTGGTCTGCAAACAGGTGCTTCCATTCTGCACAGGGGAGAATCACCAATGACCGTAACTCACCGTTGTTTCTTCTTGGTGCTTGTCTTAAGGCAGGTTTTATTGTGAGGGGCTGATCTCTCTGCCTTTGACAAGACTGTTTGCACTGGTTCCTCTTCTATCTCATTATGTGCTTTGTCCACCATACCCAGGGCATTTGCTTATTCTGTAAGGGTGTCTCAGAGGATAAGAACAAGTTTCTTGAATCTCTCAATGCTGTAACTTTCTTCAACCTTTTGTTATCCCTTGTGATGCTGCCTTCCTGCTGGTGCAAAACAGATCCAGGACCAGCCTCTGTGGCCATGGTGAATTGGCTGACAAGCATCATAGATGGCAGCGTACAGCTCCATCGGTCAATATCCCTCCCAGACTCTCAAATACTCAGTCTGCCATGGAAAAGGCTGAATTACTTAATGCCTTTTCTGTCTTGGTCTGCTTTACTGGTAAAACTCTGACTCAGATATCACAAGCCCCTGATACTAGCAGGGAAGTCTGCAGCAAGAAAGATTTACCCTTGGTAGAGGAGGATTGGCTCTAAGGAACATTTACATAAACTGGAACTACACAAGTCCATGGGACCTCATGGCATGTACCGACACATGCTGAGGGAGCTGGCTGATGTCATTGCTAGGCCACTCTTAATAATCTTTGCAAGGTCATGGTAACTGGGGGCAACTCCTAGGATGAAAAGAGCGTAGCTGCCACCCTCTCTTCAAGGAGAGCAAGAAAGGGTCATTGGGAATCTAGAAGCCAGTCAGCACCATCTCAGTCCCTAGGAACTGATGGAGCAAATAAGCATGGAAAACATTTCTAAGTATATTAAACACAAGCAGATGACTGGGACTTGTCAACATGGTTTTAGGAAGGGAAAATCACGCCTGACAAACCTGACAGCCTTCTACAATGAGGTGGCAGGCTTGGTGGTTGATGGGAAGATGTGGTGTTTACATTTACTTTTGACACTGTCTTCCTTCACATCCTCATAGACAGACTGATGAAATATGGGCAAGGTAGAGGGACAGTGAGATGGACTCAAAACTGAGTGAACTGCCAGACTCAAGGGGTTGTGAGCAGCAATGTGAAGTGCAGCTGATGGTCAGCAGTCACTGGTGTAGCCCAGTGTGCATTGTGAAACCGATATCATTTATCGTCTTCTTTACCAGCCTGCAAAATTGAGACACAGTGGACCCTCAGCAAACTGGAGGGAGCAGTCAATACACCAGATTGTTGTGCTGCCCTTCAGAGGGACATTGATGGGCTGGAGGAAAGGGCTGACAAAAAAAGACATGGATGTCTTTGAGCAAGTCCATGGAAGGGCCTTGACAGTTCTTAAGTTCTGTGAGTATCTGGCATATGAGAGGGAGGAGGACTGTGTGTGTTCTTTACCTCAGAACTTCATAACTTTGTAAAGATGATTTGAAGTTTTCATCTTTCTTAATTATTTTTTGATATTGATCTTTTGACAACTATTCAGAATTGAGGCAATGTTTTCTCAATTCCAGAATATTTCTTCTGCACCTTAATTATTGTGGTGTGATACTCATTGTATGGTCTTGGAATCCTGCAAGAACCTTTAACTGTCTGATCTTACTTAATATCTATAAGGTAATACTTCGAAAATTTAGACTCTGCTCTTAAGAAATAGCATGTTTTTCGTGGATCATTTGGTAAGCTGGTGTCACTTTAGTATATTTTAGCATAGTCTAAGGCAAAATCATACCTGTTGGGATTGTGGTGGGATAAATGTAGATTTATTTTTTAGGATAGGCTACTGTAATCTAGAAGGCACTAACAGAAAAGAATGTGGGTCATTGTTACAGACTACTCAAGATCTTACAGCTTGGGCAGGGAAGAGATTCAGAGCAGCCCTGTGGAGATGAACTTGGGTGTGCTGGTCGATGAGAAAATGAACATAAGCAGCCGGTTTCAGTGTGTGCTCGCAGCCCAGAAAGCCAACCATATCCTGGGCTGCATCAAAAGGAGCGTGACCAGCAGGTCGAAGGAGGTGATCCTGCCCCTCTACTCTGCTCTCATGAGACTTCACTTAGAGTACTGTGTGCAGTTCTGGTGTCCTCAACATATAAAGGACATGGAAGTGTGGGAACAAGTCCAGAGGAGGGCCACGAGGATGATCAGGGGACTGGAGCACCTCCCATATGAAGGTTGGCTGAGAAAGTTGGGGCTGTTCAGCCTGGAGAAGAGAAGGCTGCATGGAGACCTCATAGCAGCCCTCCGATACCTGAAGGGGGCGTACAGGGATGCTGGGGAGGGACTCTCATTAGGGACTGTGGTGACAGGACAAGGGGTAAAGAGTTAAAACTTAAACAGGGGAAGTTTAGGTTGGATATAAGGAAGAAATTTTTTCCTGTGAGGGTGGTGAGGCACTGGAATGGGTTGCCCAGGGAAACTGTGAATGCTCCATCACTGGTGGTGTTCAAGGCCAGGCTGGATAGAGCATTGGGTGACATGGTTTAGCGTGAGGTGTCTCTGCCCATGGCAGAGGAGTTAGAACTAGATGATCTTAAGGTCCTTTCCAACCATAACTGTTCTATGATTCTATGATTCTACGTCCAAGAACTGTGCAATGTAAGAGCTAATACCGGTACATAAAAGCAAGGGAATAATAATTGAGAAAATGATACTACTTTTATAAAGGAATACTACTGGAAAACTTTTTCCAATTTGGTTGTACATATTTGAAAAAAAAAAAAAAAGGAAAAATTGTGGCTTTCCCTGAAAATTGTCTTGAAATAAGATTTTTGTACTAGGAAACAAGGTTAAGAAATTCCATCTGATCTGATTACAGAACAAAACATTAAGAAGTGGTATCATCACAGCTTCTCAATGCATGTGAGGTGATTTATGACAATAGGGCCTTTGCTCAAACTGCAGAAAAATTTTCAATAGTTGTGAGCTGCAGTTATATATAATTGTGTAAGAAATAAGGTACGAGCTATTATGGTGAGAATAATGAGCTCCTGGACTTTTTTCTCTAGGAATAAGGTGAGTTCTGTGTTACCGGAACATCTTAAGTTAAAAGTGGACATTTCTGTACAATTATGCTGTAGCTCAGTTGACCTCAAAAGCTTGTTGGTTCGTGTGAATAAACGGTGTGAACTCAAGTGATAGAGCAGTGTAGAAAGCATGATGTTCTGACTCAGGTTGAAGTTATGGATTTTTTAAATGAAATTCAGTGTGTTAATTGTGGTACAGTGATGATTTATTGTTACTGGGTTTTGTCCTGTATAGCTGTTGATTTTGAGTGCTTCCACAGGAGAATCTGCATATCAAGAGAAATGTTAACCTGCAATCCACTATTTCAGTTTTGAATGTAAAATACTCATTGAGACCATAGTCTTTGTTTCCCACACTAGTCCAACCCATCTTTCCTTTCTTTTTATCGGAGAAGTATGACAAAGGATTGTGCAGGTTAAGGGACTACAGGGCTTTCTTTTTTTTTTTTTTTTTTTTTTTTTAATTTTCCTAAATTTTGGCTGCTTCGAGCTCAAGTGAATTGATACAATTTATATAGAAATGTCATTCTAACTCTGTACTCTTTTTGAATGGTATAAAATTAGCTGCAATTGGGGGTAAGCTTTTGCTGTCAGATGCACTTTGTATGTGTATGCATCAAGATTTATGTAACCCAATGTGTTCTCTATTTTTTCCAAACATTATGCCTGCTAGATCAATGCAGTTTTGTGTACTCCAGTATAAAACCTAAGACAAAGTGTGTATCATATTATTTTAAGGAAGTCCTCTGTGTTTTCTTTTCCCATACTATCTTTGTAAGATGTGACCATGCTCATTGAAGCAAGGTAGAATGGAAAATAAGTTTATGCTCTTTTTTTTTTTCTGTGTTGTTGTTCTTAATCATATAGGGTTGCAATTGCAAAACTTAACAATTTTTCTCGCCTGGAGCCCACGCTTCATCTCCTTGGTGTGCAGTTTAATGAGAATGTGGCCCAAAACATCATGACAGGACAGCATGGGGCTGCAACAAAGCTGTTATATGAATTGTATATTGCCTTGGAAAAGAAGAGAAAGACAAAGCTCACCAGAGTAGCCATGGAAGCAATGACACCTGCAGCAACTGTAAAGCTTAAGTCTATTGAAAGTATTTTGTATCGAGAGGTAACTAACTGTGCCTATTTTGTATAAATATATAGGAAAAACCATAGCAGGTTTACATGTACATTCCAAGCATTATGCTCGCTTCCCTTCCCACTTTTTAAATCTCCTATTCAAAATCTCATATGTATATGGAAAAGAAGCAGTCCTTAGTTTTATTTTTTATACAGAGACCATGGGATTACACTGTTTGTCTGTGACTCATGAAGGTATTGATTATCTGTGGTTTGCGTTCCTTTGTTTTGGCTCATTCTGTGTTACATATAGCAACAAAGGCTTGTAGTTGCTCACCAGCTGCCTTTTTACTCATTTGATAAGTACAGATTGCAGACTCTACTGTGGTCTGGGTATCAACTTAAACTAATTTCCCCTCCAGGAAGCCTATTTATAATTGTGTTGAGCTTTGTAACACAGCGGTTTGGTTCCTTCTCTTGCATATCTTTCCATATATTTATACTACACTCCAGTCTGCAATAAACGTATGCTGAGTAATACAAAGAGGAAAAAGCAAAGGAGAAAGACAGTATCCGAGAGGAAGTCAGTATTGATGCAATAGATTCTGTTAAGGACATTCTTGTCTTCAGTAGTAATGTTCAGCATATGCAGACCACAATTTGTTATCAGGATGAACAATCTTTAAGAAGCTATATATCATAAATCAAATTCAGCTGGGTGAAATGTCACTTTTTTTTCTGACACACTTCCTGAAAAATGGTCTACATGCAGAAAGTTATCCAACAAGCCCAAGGATAGCACGCAGCAGTCAAAATATCCCTTCACCTACAGAGGGTCAGTTTAAAGAGCATAAAGGAACTGAGAATGGTTCCTGTCAATAGAAAGTTTCAGAATGGTATTTGAACTGTAGAATAGCTGAGGTTGGAAGGGGCTTTTGGGGTCACTTAATCCACCCCCCACCCTAAGAAAAGTCAACTGGAACAGTTTGCTCAGCACTTTGTTCAGTCAGGTTTTGAATATCTCGAAATGTGAAGACTTCATAGCCTGTCTGGGTAAATTATTTTTTACCTTTCCAGTTTGGGTTTTTTTTTTCTGTATATTTAAGTTGAATTTCCCATCCATCTGTTTCACTAGAATAGAACAGTTCCAGTTGGAAGGGACCTACAACAGTCATCTGGTCTGACTAGTCTTATCACTTCAGGACTGACTAAAATTTAAAATATGTTATTAAGGGCAAGGTCCAAATGCATCTTAAACACTGATAGGCTTGGGACATCGACCACGTCTCTAGGAAGCTTGTTGCAGTGTTTGGTCACCCTCTTGGTAGAGAAATGCTTCCTGATGTCCAGTCTAAACCTCTTCTGATGCCACTTTGAACCATTCCAATGTGTCCTGTCAGTGGGTACCAGAGAGGAGACACCAGCATCTCCCTCTCTGCTTTCCCTCCTCAGGAAGGTGTAGAGAGCAAGGAGGTTGCCCCTTAGACTCCTTTCCTCCAAACTAGACAAAGTTTGGTATTGCTTAAGTTCAGATCTGCCTATTATTTTCAATGGAGCTAGTCCTGTTTTTTCTGAAAAATAATCAACCATGTTTAGATGTTCTGTGTACATTAGCACAGGACAACAGATTGAAATTACTATATCAAAATTGTAATATTTAATTATTTAAATCTGTTTCATACTGCTTCTGATTTAATTTCTTGATGTGGAATTGTAGCGTTTGAAAACTTTAACACCACGTCAGTTTGATTTGCAACTACAACAGATCGCAGAGCAGTTTGAAAAAAAATCTAAGGCAGCAGAAGATAAAATAGCTTGTAAACATATTGCAGAGCAACAGAAAATTCAGAAGCTCCAAGAGGAAAGAAAAACGCAAGACATTGAAAAGGTGAACTTCTTATATAGTTCTGAAGAAGGATTTTCTTAAGGTCATGTACAAAATGAGTTAAAGCCAGTGTGAATGCTTGATAATTCTGTGCCACATAGTCATGTTTACACAAAAACAAAGGGAAGGAATAAGCATAGCAGTCATTAATGTGTAGATATAAAGACAATATGCTATTATAAGGCCTTAAAAGTATTAATATTTTAAAATCACTTAACGTTATATTAAGAATACATGCATATTGTTATGCTTGGAAAATATTTATAGATTTTAAGACTAGGTGCAAATTTTACTACTGTATGTGTTTAAGGTGTCCTTGTAAAAGAGTTCTGTGACATTCTTCACTAATGAAGATGAAGCATTGATCAAAAGCAGGAAAAAGACATAGGGGAGGGAACCTGTAGTGGGTATGGCCTCAAAATGCAGCTCTGTGTAGCTGTTCTGATAAAATAAAAAACAGGAACTAACATCTTAAGATACAGGAACGCAGCCCGTGTACAGCCTGGAGTTTAGATAGAGAAATTGGCCAGCTATCCAAGGCATGCTGAATCACAGTGAAAGTGAAGTTGACTAATTTGAGATGCATTTTATGTGACATAAAGAGAGAGAGTCTGTGGTTATTTAGCCGCTCTATTGCCACTGTATGAACAAGAATGAAAAAAAAAAAAAAAAAGAGTCCCTTCATGTATCTGGAAAAGAAAATACAATCAATATTCAAAATATTAAAAATAAAAATCTAGAAGAAAATATCATATTTGCTGTAGTACATATTTTTAAATATTTGTTATATTACATATTTATTTTTGTATCTTTGATGTAGTGCATATTTATTTTTCAACTATCCTAGATTCTTTGCAAAAAACCCTTTTATCCACTTTCACTGCATGTAACTGTAGTGCACTTCTAAGTAGTGTAATTTAGATGTTTCTTACTTCTTGATCATCTGACACTCATTGTTCAGCAGTAATATTACATAATGGTATTCTTGGTTTTGGTACCAGAAAACTGGTATTCTGAGTTTCTGTACTAAATTCTGACTTGAAACAGGTGCCATAGTAGAGCTAGAATTTAGTACAAGCCCTTAAATGCCTATTAGGCACTGTGCACAAACTGATTGGTCTTTTTTTGTTACAGATTGGCTTCTATTGCATCACAGTATTTGCTTATGTATGTAAGATGTACCATTTCATAATGGCAGTTAAAAAAAAGTCTTCATCCTCAAATATTGAGAACATATATTAGCATATTGCTAAATCGTCAAATTATTCATAATGATACTTCAAAATGCATTTTACAGCATCTACTCCTTGATATAAAAATGGTAGTTTATGACTACAGTGGCTGAGAATACTGTAAGACATTTAACTGTGGACAAAAGATAAAGAATTATTTGTTCTATGGCATTTGTGTAATCCACTTAAAAACAAACAACAAAAAACAAACACAAAAAAAGGAGTAAATTCAGCCACTGCAGAAGCCTGGAGCCTGATAAGCTCTACTACTTTCTTCCAGAAAGACTTTTTTCCTAAGGCTTAATTACATTTACTTCGTAGATACATAGGTAACGTATTAGGGCCATAGGATGTATTTTGTTTCAACTCAATTATCTGAACATACGATATTGAATATTCAGCATCATGTAGGAAGAAAGAGGCAAAATGAAATAATGGCTAGGATTCAAGAAGCCATTTTACAGACTCCAAAGCCACCACCAAGCCACACCATAAAAGCTATTGAAGCAAAAAAATTCTTAAGGAAAAAAAGAGAAGCAGAGGTAACTATCATCTTTATTCTTTTAATGTTAATTATATGACCTTGAAAACCAGATAATTCCTAGGAGCATTTAGATTTAAAAATATTGTACTTGCACTCTCCAAAAGCAGACAATACAATGTTAAAATGGTGTAGTAGATTCAACCAGTGAAAATTTGGCTAAATACTAGAATAATTCTGCATTTGTTACTTAGGAAGAATTAGCTTTTATGTAACTGAAAGTTCTTATTGAATAAATACCATAGGTAGATACTAATTTAATTGCTGACAGCTTTTAGTTTACTGAGTAGAATATGTGAAATAAAAGTACTACTGTTACCTTCTCATTTGTGCATGACGGTTTGCACATAATGTATGAACTCTTCTGTAACACACACTATAACACTGTCTGCTCTATCAAAAATGTTAGTAACAGCTGAAATAGACAGCAGTCATAGACCAAATCAAGAGATGATGGCAGTGCAGAGATAAAATAAAGCAATTCTATATTATCTAGTGCTGGAGATTACTTAGATTGTAATCTTATAGTTCATGGATTCGGTTGTCATCAGGAATGCAAATGTTAATCAGTTTTTACAGCTGCACAATGGTGCATTTAGAAATCGAGCGTACAAAAGTAACATAGTTGCTTGAGTGACTATCAGGGATAAATCCAGGCTACTAAATCTAAAGCAGGTCATAGCCAGAATATCTTGTTTCAAGTCCCTGAATGGTAGGAATTATATAAATTGCTGGAGTCCTATGCAAAATCAGAATTACCTTGCAAAATGAACAGCTGCAAAATCTTAGGATTTTCTGGGTAGTGGACATGGCTGGGAAAAGGGCAGGCAGGAAGGAAATGAAAAGTAGGAAAGGGAAATAGTCTTGTTTTTTTTTTCATCTAGCTGATGCTAAAAATATTTTCAGTGTAAACATTTCCATTGGAGTAAACTGACAAAAAATAATTTGTAAATCCTTAGTCTACTGAACCTTTGTGTTTTGTGAAGAGAAAAAAAACATTAATTTTTTTGTTATTTCTTCAGGACGCATATAAGGAGATTAGTAAATTTGAGAAATCTATTGCCTATGCACTACACAGCCAAATCACTGACAGGTAAATAATTGAATATTAGATTGTTAAGGTTAGACAGGATCCTACCTCAGGTGCCTACTATCTATGTGGACATCTATTTGAGGAAAATGTGATATCTTGTTTAGTTTTAACTGTGACTTTCCACTAGCACTCTAAATACTCCAGCTCCAGCACCATCACAGTGTTTTTACCTTACTTTTAGTTGTAGTAGGGATGGCTCAAACTTCCTTCTCTACTTTTTACCATATATATAGCAACAAAGGACATAAAGTGCTTCTCTTCTCTGTTCATTCCAGTCACTGAGTCTGTAAGGTCAGTTAGGTTTGCAAAGAGACAAGAATGGTTGTGGATGTACGTACACAGTAACACATATCAAAGAAAATAGAAGTAACCTTTCTCCTTAGACTTATCTGTATCTTGAATTATATGTGAATGATTTAGTCATTCTGTCATCTTTAGTGACATGCATAACATACTCAGAAGAGGTGGCTGCTGTGGATACTTCTGTGTGTAAACAAAATGTGACTAATAACTGCAAAACTGCACCCAAAGCATATGAACATATTAAAAAGTAACCCATATTTCTCTGATATTCTGTGAGCCATCATAATTTCCTGTTTCTGTAGAATTTGACTTCATATTAGCAAATGAACGAATTGACAGTTGGCTCAAGTCAGTGTTGGCTGGAGCCCTCCTCTGGACTTAGTGGCCATTGTGGGGCACAAGAGCAGCAAAAAAGTAACCACAGTGCCCACAGAGTGCTGTTGTGCATTTGTCAGACTTCCACATAATTATATAGGGATCTGAATGAAAGCATCTCTAAGAACCATAATTCCTATAAAGTCAGTAATCTTTTTAATCTTTTTAATCAGTGATATAGAAGAATCATTGCAAGCACAGAAGTTGCAAGAAACAATTCCAGAAACTACAGAACAGACAGCAAGTGAGCTATTAAGTGTTTATTCAGATGATGACTATGTAAGGAAAATTAAAAAACGTTTAGAGGAAGATACGTTTTCTAGAGAACAACGAGAAAAGAGACGGCGGAAAATGTTAATGGATCAATTAATAGCACATGAAGCTGAAGAGGTGAGAAAAGTATATAACCCGTGCACAATTACTAATTTAAAGATTTGCTTACAAATATAGAAGAATGGTATTTTTGGAGGTGAATAGATTTGAAGGCGATAAAGGGAGGTGTTTATGCTTAGCTCTGGAAATAGCTTCTATGCCACTGTTTTTCCTTTAAAAGTGCGGATAGTTGTCCATTCTTTCTCAATATCTTTATGTCATACTTCATCCTTATAGAGGATCAAACAAAGGCAGTAGAAAAAGAAAAGAAAGCGGCTGCATGGTTCTGAGTTACGGCTGGGCTTAAACCAGGACACATGGGTTAAGAAATGGAAGATACATCTCTGGAGGATGCCTGTGTTGTGTCTAAAAGGGATGTTGCAGGTTATTTCATTTAAACACTGTCCCATAAAGCACAAGACTTTTCAGATTCCTCAGACACTCATTCAAAAAGCAGCTGTTAGACTACCGACTTCACAGACCTTCTTTGTCATAATGATCATATCAAAACAGAACCTTGTAACTTACTGGGTTCTGTGATTTCTAGTTGTCTTTTATCTCAGTATTCCACTGTGGGTCCTTAGCTTAGGTCATATATGTTGAACCTAGTATATGTCTCCACTGTTGTTTCATAGTAATAGCATTTCAGATGTGTGGCATATCTGAAAAGGAAAAGTATGAAATTAAATATGTATATATATATATAAACATTAGCATCTAATGTCTGGAGATGTTTTGGTGATGTTAAGAAAAATTTAAATTTATTGGCGTAGACATCTTCTCAATATTTTTCCTGGACCTGTATAGAATTATAGAATAGTTAGGGTTGGAAAACAGCTTAAGACGATGTAGTTCCAATCCCCCCTGCCATGGGCAAGGACACCTCACACTAAACCATGCCACCCAAGGCTTTATCCAGCCTGGACTTGAACGCTGACGGGGTGAAGCATTCACAACCTCCCTGGGCAACCCATTCCAGTGCCTCACCACCCTCATAGTAAAGAACTTCTTCCTTATATCTAACCTGAACTTCCCCTGTTTAAGTTTTAATCCTTTACCCCTTGTCCTATCACTACAGTCCCTGATGAAGAGTCCCTCCCCAGCATCCTTATAGGCCCCCTTCAGATACTGGAAGGCTGCTATGAGGTCTCCACGCAGCCTTCTCTTCTCCAGACTGAACAGCCCCAACTTTCTCAGCCTGTCTTCATATGGGAGGTGCTCCAGTCCCCTGATCATCCTTGTGGCCCTCCTCTAGACTTGTTCCAAGAGTTCCATGTCCTTTTTATGTTGAGGACACGGCTGCACGCTGCCGGCTCATGTTCATTTTCTCATCGACCAACACCCCCAAGTCCTTCTTCACAGGGCTGCTCTGAATCTCTTCTCTGCTCAACCTGTAGCTATGCCTGGGATTGCTCCAACCCAGGTGTGGGATCTTGCACTTGGAATGATTAAACTTCATAAGGTTGGCATCAGCCAACCTCACAAGCGTGTCAAGGTCCCTCTGGAGGGCATTCCTTCCCTCCAGCGTATCAACCGAACCACACAGCTTGGTGTCATCAGCAAACTTGCTGAGGGTGCACTCAATCCCACTGTCCATGTCAGCAATGAAGATGTTAAACAAGACCGGTCCCAACACCAATCCCTGAGGGACACCACTCATTACTGGTCTCCAGCTGGACACTGAGCCACTGACTGCAACTCTTTGTGTGCGGCCATCCAGCCAGTTCTTTATCCACCGAGTGGTCCACCTATCAAACTGATGTCTCTCCAATTTAGAGACAAGGGTGTCGTGTGGTACAGTTTCGAAAGCTTTACACAAGTCCAGGTAGATGACATCAACTGCTCTACCTCTGTCCATCAGTTCTGTAGCCCCATCATAGAGGGCCACCAAATTAATACTCTGTGAAAAACATCTGTAGTGCCTTGAACCAGGATTCCATCTATCCAACAACATCTATATTATGTTCTTTTTGACATTCATATGGGCCATGAAGAAGTTTTGCAACCCAGTTATATGAAATCACTGTAGTCCCAAAACTTACTCTTTGACTGCTATCACTTGTTGCAGTCCCAGCATGACATCAGCAGCCTGGACTAGTGGTTCTGATAGTCATGGCTATCAGCTGATGGCCTTGTGTCCAGCACCAATCACTGGGGCATTTGGTAAGTAGAGCAGCTTTAAGCCAGCAAAGCCAGTCAGTGCTGTTGAGGTGAGACAGGTGGTTCCCCTGTGGTTGTAGTACAAACCTTGTCAGTTTGAAGGCTTTGAAGCACGTTGCAATGTGCTGCCAATCAGACTCTCCCCAGTGAGGCTTTAAAGCAAGTACAAAATAACTTTTTAGAGAATCATAGAATAGAATCATAGAATAGTTAGGGTTGGAAAGGACCTTAAGATCATCTAGTTCCAAACCCCCTGCCATGGGCAGGGATGCCTCCTCACACTAAACCATGCCACCCAAGGCTTCATCCAACCTGACCTTGAACACTGCCGGGGATGGAGCATTCACAACCTCGCTGGGCAACCCATTCCAGTGCCTCACCACCCTTACAGTGAAAAATTTCCTCCTTGTATCCAATCTAAACTTCCCCTGTTTGAGTTTTAACCTGTTACCTCTTGTCCTGTCACTACAGTCCCTAATGAAGTCTTCCTAACTTCCCAGGAAGAAAAGTCATCATTCATAGAGGAACAATAGAAGTCACAGATTGCAGAAATAAGATGGAAAGACAAGTGAGCAGTTGACTGGACCTGTAGTATGACCAGATTTTTTAGTGGTAATTTGGTTTTAAATTAGCAGAGGAAGAGGTGTCTGTTTGAACTCTGAGGCTTCAGAAATTAAGATGTTGTTTGACTTAGGAAAAGTGTGAAGCAAACAGATATTTTCTTTAATAAATAAATATACTAAATAGTGAAAATTACTTTCTCCCTACATTAGATATCTAACCAGAAAGCATTTTCAGACTGAAATGTAGCTTTCTTCAAGACATTAGGGTCAGACTGTGATCTATACTGCATAAAACATGAACACACGCACAAGATCATTTAGAGTCAAACAAGTTTTGTCCCTTCAGAGTGATTTAATGTGTTTCGTGTCCATACATGTAAACCTCTACTAAAAGAATCTTTTTCAAGTTCTTGAGGCTTGGCACACTACAAGTTGGAGCCTGTGAGAAAAAATACTTTACAATCACATGGCACTCCTCTATGTGTAGCACAGGGGGATGCCAGTCAGATTTTCGTAGGCAGGAGTTGAAAGTGTTTGACAGTAACATGGCTTTGTCCCAGTTGGGTCTTAGATCCCTGGCATTTAAACAAAATATTTGTTCTAAGTGCTCATTTTATTTAATGCTCTCAGATTTTACCTCTCTGAATTTAAAAAGTTGTCATAAGAAGTTGCTGTCAACAATAAATCGAGAAGATGAAAACGGGAGGGGAAAGGAATTGTTACTAGGTTATCGCTTGTCAACCAAATAGATTTATATATGCTAAACTATAATTTTTGGTCATAAACTTTATGACTACATCATAGGAAAAAATCGTTTCATTTGAATGTAAATTAAACAAGGAAACAGAAAAATAGAAAAACCTGATGTAGTAATTATGTATGAACGACAAGAAACGTAAATGCATAAATGTTTGGCCACTGGATGACACTGTTGTCATGAGTAGGTAAACTAAAAAAAAAAAAAGTGTGCATCATATTTCTCAGTAGTAATTTTTCAAATGATTATGAATATGTCCCATTTACAGTATTATGATTTCTCCAGGCACTTCACAATCCTCTGTAAAAAAGTTGATATTTACATGTTACATCAAAACGTTAGGTCAAAAAATTTGTACTACAATTTTTATTTTGTGTCCTAGTATCTCCAGGAGTTTCAAAAATTTTCAGCCTTAGGTTCTAGTACTTTGTCCATTACTATATGTATGAAAGATAGCTGCCAATGCTTCAATAAGCACCCTTTTTGAAACTGAGTTTGGTATTCTGAATCCTAATATGTCCACAGTGTAGCTCTTGTTCTTGTTCATCAGAAATTTCTGACTACCTCTTTTTAAACCTACTCAGAATGTCAAGATGTTTGATTGTATAGAATACTGACGTTCTCCACTGTTAGTTAACAAGGAAAAGATCTCTTTTGGCTGTTCTGAAGTGGTCTAAAGGAACTGTTGCTTTTATAAAGAGCACATTCTAGTAGAGGAGGTGCTTTGGTTTCTTACTAAGCCAACTATTTGCACCATACAGTTATTTGTTTGGGTATGTCCAATGATCACTGTGTTAGGGTGAGTACATCAGTTCCTTGTGAATTAAGATTTGAAGATCCATTTTCCTCTGGTGGAGCACTTACTGCATTGCCAATCCATGGCTGAGGATAAGCAGTTGCAGCTAAAGAAAACAATGAAGGTGATTTATTCGTAATGGGAAGCAAAGTCTATACATTCTCTTATCTTCTATCTTCATGAAATACTAAGCCCAAAGAAACAGTACATAAAACTGAGGCAGGGAAGGGCATCATGTCTGCTTTTATTGCATTGACTTTGTGAGTCAAATTGGACGAAACTCTTCAGTAGACAGTGCTACTGGAAAATTTTATCACATTAGCTATACCAAATGACACATAGGACGAATATGCAAATATAAAGTACATACAAGGTTCTTACTATTACATTGTTTTCTGTTTCAGTTGAATGCATGATGGTAATTGTACGCATAGAAAAGTAGTGTACAAGCACTACAAATAGAGTACAAAGCAAAAAACTTCCTAAATGGGATTTAGTTCACAAAATTCACTGCATGCAGTTAAAGCACTATGGGACTGCATCTTTGCCATTAAAAATATCATGCAGTGTCCTGAGATTTAGTGTTTTGAAAGGGGAATGCAAAGCTTAGGCTTTTCAAGTCACCAGTATTTAATTAGAGTGTAGTTTATTTCCAGCAATTATAAAGGGAAAAGAACTTAAAAAAATGGAAAGAGTTTTGTTTGAAAAATATTGGCTTCTCGCTAACATCAACATTAAAGAACTAAATTAATTAGAAAGTTGTAGTTATTATTATTGTAGTTATTATTATTAAAATAGCCATGTTGCACAGCTTTGTATTAGAAATATATTGCAGATGTCCCAGCTGCATGAGTAGCACAGATCTAGATCTCTTTGTGGAGCTCTTTCATAAGTAGTATAATAATATGTAATTTAGTTTGATTTTTCATTTACAGGTGAATTTATGTAATGTGTTCTGCCTTCTCTGTCACAGACAGCTAATGGAAAATAAACCAGATTAAAAGAAAACAGAAATGATACTTTACTTTGGTTTGGCTTTCATAGTATTACTAACTGGCTTTACCTGTTCTTCTGTTCTTAAGAAAATGAGTTTGAAATCTTCAGATCAGTTTCCAATTTAGGTCCTTAAATTTTAATACATATCATAGCATTTTTACTACATCTGAAATAAGTGTGCTGTGAATCAAAAATTTCCTCTAAAATACTGCTGTAGGAGTGATATTGGCAATGGAGCTTGAAAGGCAAGCTTAGAAGTCAGAAGGAGTTCTGGACTGAAAATAATGAGGCAAAGCATTAGATTAGGTGAAGCATCAGTTTAGATAGCAAGAACAGTTTAAAGAAGTGTAGTAGTGAGAAGATAGTATTATGTTTTGACAAGTACTGTGAGAAGTCACAGTCCACAGCCTTCAAAGTGTCTGTGCATACTGACTATGCTTCAGGCAATGGTTCAGAATGATTTTCTTATAGTACCAAATAGAGGATTCTATTCATGTCCCAATGAGAACACTGAAACTGTTACCAGGAAGTCTTGTGTTTTCCTCTGCTCTGAATGCTTCCTAATATCCCACTTTTCTGAATGGAGGAAAATGGAGGACATAATTACCCAAATCCCAAGAAAGCAGGGAAAATTTCATAGAAGAATAGACTGATCAAGGATCCAGCAGAGTACAACAGGGACTGGCAAAGAGCAAGGATGAGTTAATTGATTTGAGGAAAGGGCGTGTCTTTAGGTACCGAAGCAAATCTGAATAAATGTATTTTTACTATCTCAGTGAATAGAATTCACTTCCATAGTTATACAATTCTCACATAGTTTACAAATATATCACTTAGATATGTTGTTTTGGATTTATGTATGAAACGAGAAGGTAAATGCTGTTATATTACTCCATATTTTCTATGAGCAACTGATGAGTTGTCTAGGAAATATTTTGTAAGCTGTGCTTAAGACTATTATTTTTTATATTTTAGAAGGCTTACCGGGAGGAACAACTAATTTACAGACTATTGAGACAAACTCAGCAGGAGCGGAGGATTGCTGTTCAACTCATGCATGTTCGACATGAAAAAGAGGTGTTAAGGCAAAACAGAATTTTTAGGGAAAAAGAGTATAAAGAAAGACGACTGAAAGAATTCCAGGAAGCTCTTGACAGAGAAGAGGTAAAAGATTATTTACTTCCTGAATTGCTGCAGGGCTGTTACAGAGCTTTCCTTTTATAAAATGGGATTTGTATTGTCAACTGTTAGAATTTAGGACTTTTTTAGGGACAGGAATATATTCTTTTATATAGGTTCAGAGTTACAGCTGAGTTAATTAAGGGATAAAGCTGGAAAACTTAAAGTCTAATTTTGATCTTCCAAGCTAATTTTAACTTTGTAGGAAAACATCTGTGTATGCTAAGTTACAAAGGTACGGTCTTGCAGTTACAAAACGACAAGACAGTGACATAAGACCATTTTCAAAGAATCATGTTTTTCATTTTCTGTAGATGTAATCTGTTTTATGAGAAATCACAGTATCACAGTATCACAGTATGTTAGAGATTGGAAGGGACCTCAAAAGATCATCTAGTCCAATCCCCCTGCCGGAGCAGGAACACCTAGATAAGGTTACACAGGAACATGTCCAGGCGGGTTTTGAATGTCTCCAGAGAAGGAGACTCCACAACCTCTCTGGGCAGCCTGTTCCAGTGTTCCGTCACCCTCACTGAGAAGAAGTTTCTTCTCAAGTTTAAGTGGAACCTCTTGTGTTCCAGTTTGTACCCATTGCCCCTTGTCCTATCATTGTTTGCCACTGAGAAGAGCCTGGCTCCATCCTCGTGACACTCCCCCTTTATATATTTATATACACTAATAAGGTCACCCCTCAGTCTCCTCCAAACTATAGAGACCCAGCTCCCTCAGTCTTTCCTCATAAGGGAGATGCTCCACTCCCTTAATCATCTTAGTTGCCCTGCGCTGGACTCTCTCCAGCAGGTCCCTGTCCTTCTTAAACTGAGGAGCCCAGAACTGGACACAGTATTCCAGATGAGGTCTCACCAGGGCTGAGTAGAGGGGAAGGAGGACCTCTCTCGACCTACTAACCACCCCCCTTCTAATACAACCCAGGATGCCATTGGCCTTCTTGGCCACAAGGGCACAGTGTTGGCTCATGGTCACCCTGTCGTCCACCAGGACCCCCAGGTCCCTCTCCCCTACACTGCTCTCTAACAGGTCATTCCCCAATCTATACTGGAACCTGGGGTTGTTCCTGCCCAGATGCAGGACTCTACACTTTTCCCTGTTATATTTCATCAAGTTATTCCCCACCCAACTCTCCAGCCTGTCCAGGTCTCGCTGGATGGCAGCACAGCCTTCTGGCGTGTCGGCCACCCCTCCCAGCTTAGTGTCATCAGCAAACTTGCTGATAGTACACTCAATTCTCTCATCTAAATCATTGATAAATATATTAAATAATACTGGTCCCAGTACCGACCCTTGAGGCACTCCACTAGATACAGGCCTCCAACTAGACTCCGCCCCATAGACTACAACTCTCTGGCTTCTCTCCTTCAGCCAGTTCACAGTCCAGAGAACTGTGCTGGAGGACTTTCACACATAACTGCTAATTTCTACCTTGGAAACTCAACTCGGTGTTGATTAATAAATTAAAAGGACTCATAAACTGTGGCAAACTGCAAAGTGCTACACTCATAGTAGGCAATGTGATGGTAGAAATCACCAGGTTTGTTCCTGCAGTTTTGTTTTAAAGGTTTGCTCCGCCAAAAAACAATTAACAGCTCCAAATTCTCCAACACAGCTGGCATCCTAAATTACCAGTGGCTGCAGGTGTTTATAACAACAACTTTCTTAAGTATGCTTTTGGCATAAAGGAACACACTGTCACAGGAACTATTGATAATTTTCTACCAATACCATAAATCTGTCTCAAAGATTGATCAGCATCAATAATACCAAATTATTTGCAGATCAGAATCTTTTAAGCTAAATTGCTTGTCATGTGTTCTCAGTGAGTATTCCATTGTGCGTTTCAGTGGAAGTAAGCCTTTACCAGTGCATATGCATAGGAAGAATAGACAGCATCATTTCATTTTTCCCAGCCCCTTAAGCACTAATTGTGTTCTTAATCTTTTCATTGCGAAAAAATTTAGTTTGTAGTCTCAAATTTACTCTTTAAAAAAAAATTCTAGGCTCTTGCAAAACAAGAAAAAATCGATTATGAAGAACAAATTATCAAAGAAAGAGAACATCATGAGAAAATTGCTGCTGAAAGAGCTCAGGCACGTTATAAAAAGCATTATTCTATATGTTGGGAAGTGGTCAACCAAATCATTGATTTGTCAACACAAGTAGGAAAGTATCGTCTTCTGACAAACAAGTGAGTATAGTAGCTGTGAGACAAAAAATAACAGCATAGCTGTTAGGCTTCAGAGTTCTACATGCTATGATTCCCTCTTCTGATATGCCCTAATAGCACAGATTCTGAAAAGGTCCTAAAAAGGCGGTGGTGTCCAAGTGCTTGTGCTGTAGAAGTGTTTTGAAAACCAGAGAGTGGGGCCTTGTTGCTCTTGTTCTTTCATCAGTATTCAGTGATTAGACTGTGGGGTAAGGCTTATAGTATTAGCAGGTATGCCAAAATCATCCTTGTCTTTTAACCGAATTGTATATAAAAATAATAAAGCTGTAACAATGTGAGATATATATGATAATGTTTTATGGAAATTATATAAGTTTAGGCCCAGTGAGTTTGTGATAAAATAGTCATCCTAAACACAGTTTAGTGATGATTTGATTCTTTCCTTGTCTGACACAGTCATGGTTTCAGTATAAGCTAGTGTCACATTTGCTTGTACTGAGTGGTGCACAATATGTAGAGGTACTTGAAATAGATTGATGTAATCCTAACAAGTAATAGAAACTTTAATTTTGACTATATGTTTAATTTAAGTTTACATTTAGCTTGCTACCATATGTAGTTTGTCTTGTTTGATACAAACATTTTCCCTTTCTAAAAGAAAAATTCAGCTTACTTTTGTAATGTTGAATTAATTTTAGCTTCCAGAAAAAAAAATTATCTATTGTTTTTTTGGTGAGAGGAAGCTTTATCCCACCAAAGCAAAAAATATTTTGGAGTAGGGAAAAATAGCTATAGCAAAACTGTTATTACACAGCTCTGGCAGCTAAATACTGTGTAATGACACATTTGTGAAATATTGAAGCCTTCAAGTGCCTATAGCTGTCATGTAGGTAACCAACAACTTATGTAAAGCTGTAATAATTATAGAAATCATTACAAAGGATATCTACTTTAGCATATGCATGTTTTGTCATTGTGATTCTTGTAAATTTGGGTTCACTATTCTCAAATATCTAACCCCTTTAATATTTGTTTTGGAATTCATTCTTTTTCTTTCTTTAATTTTATTTCTTCTGCAGCAGAATTCCATTAAAGCTGATGCTTGATTGGAAGGAACTTTTTTTTAAAGGAAAACTGATATATAAACAAGCCTCAATTCAACCTATGCCGAGTGAACCACACCCAGAACAACTTTTGCATCTGAATAAATTGAATCTTTTAGATGAAAAAGATTTTAGTGAATACAAGGTACATCAAACTGATAAGATATAATGGAAGACAATACACTTTGATTTTTTATAATCATAAATATTTTGTTGTGATGTTTCATTTTGTTCTTTTACAAGTTTCAAATACCAGATTTTGACATGCATTTTCTTTTCATTGCCTGAGGTTCTATGTGAAATATATGGCTATATTTTATGTTAATAGCAGTGAAGAACTGGTACAATTTTAAAACACTGTTACGATTTCATTACTGGTACAATTTTAAAACACTGTTGCGATTTCATTCTTGTATATAACATTGATTGTTTTTCCCTCTTGAGCTCGTAGGACCAATATATAAACTTGATAGCCTTAATTTCAGCAATTTTGAGTGGAAGCCTTCTAATAAGATTTATTAGTTTGATATAAACATCTATCTTAAAATGGTAGCATTACTGAAAATTATTGAAAGTCATTGGCATTTTTCTTAACCTTCCATTAGAATACAAGTAACTATTTTTGGGGAGCCTTAAAACTTCAGCTTTACAATACTTTAATATAACTTCACAAGTTACAGATGAACTATTAATGTTTTCCTGTTTAAATGTATTGTACAATTTTTTTCTGAATTATGTTAATGGTACGGGGGGGGAGAAAATCCTGCTACATACTCATTTTTTTCAAGTAATCTGTTTAACTAGAATATGGCCAAACTATGGCAAATAACCCATGTCTGACTTTTTGGGAACTTCTAACTACAATATTTATGTGCTTTTATCCACATCCTGAACCAATTGGTACGTTTTCTTTTGAAGTGAGTATAAATGTTTGTTACAAGTTGCTGTGATGAATGTCTGACAGCTCGATTTACTTTGGTATCAATCTTAATATACAGTTTTCTGATTGTCTGCTATTATAGCTTATTATCTGCTATTCTGGCGTCTATTTCACAGTATCACAGTAGGTTAGAGATTGGAAGGGACCTCAAAAGATCATCTAGTCCAATCCCCCTGCCGGAGCAGGAACACCTAGATAAGGTTACACAGGAACGTGTCCAGGCGGGTCTTGAATGTCTCCAAAGAAGGAGATTCCACAACCTCCCTGGGCAGCCTGTTCCAGTGTTCCGTCACCCTCACTGAGAAGAAGTTTCTTCTCAGGTTTAAGTGGAACCTCTTGTGCTCCAATTTGTATCCATTACCCCTTGTCCTTTCATTGTTTGCCACTGAGAAGAGCCTGGCTCCATCCTCGTGACACTCCCCCTTTATATATTTATATACACTAATAAGGTCACCCCTCAGTCTCCTCCAAACTATAGAGACCCAGCTCCCTCAGTCTTTGGTCAGACTTTATCAACTCATAATAGATTTCACGATTACTTTCTTTAGGTGAAAAATGCATACATGTAAGACCAAAAGGGAGGACATATGGGACAGACAGGCAGGAAAGTGGGGAGTTTTTCCATCATACTGTTGTTTATATTACACCATAATAGCCTTCTTTAGATGTAAAGCACTGGAGATCACGAACATTTAATGACACATTTAAAGTCTCTTTTTCAGTACCAGTCTGTTTCAATTGTACATCCACATAATTAGTTTTTTCCCAGTTGTTGTTAGTCTTATGCCTTTCTGAATCAATATTCCTCAAGAGCTGGTATCGTATGACTTGTAAAATTTTTGGCACCAACTCGTATTTGTGTCTTCTAAAAACTTAAGTAGATTACTTATACCTACCTTTAACTGATTCTAGATAAAAGTATGTTGGCAGGGTATTCTGGCAGTTTATGCTGATTTCCTTAAACCTGGAGAAAAAAAGCTCAGCAAAGGCAATTCTGCATCTCTCAGGAACATTAATTTACATTACGAATACTGACTAAAAGTGTCAGATACATTTAATGAAATACAAGAACAAGATACAGTGGTATCAGTCCATTGCACATTCCACATTAGATTGAAAATATTTGGAAAACTACATCATCAGTTTTGGCTAATCACTTCATAAGTTAATGGAATCACCCAAAATAAATGTAACAGTAGGCACTGCTCAAAATAAGAAATGAATTCCGGTTTCAATCAAGAGTGTTGACGAGGAGTTACTCAACTTCCACCTGGATACCTGAAAATGTGTTTCTGACAGGTAAGCTAGTTTAGCTCAAGAAAGGTAGTCTAGCAATCTTCTGCTTAAAAGGGCAAGAAATCTGAAAGGTGAGTACGTTAAATGCGGAGCCCGTTTAAATTTTCCTCCTAGAGTTTAAAACAACAGATCCATCTACTTATTTTTTAAGGAAGAATGGTTCAAATAGGACAAGGATTTGGGGTTTTTAAGCATGTTTTTTCAGTTACATATTAAGAAGGATGTTTTCTGAGATTGGTTAGAGAGGGATATTGTGCAACTCAAGATTATTTTTTTTTTATTTGGTTTTACTGATTAGAAATAAGAGATACTTTAATTTAGAGTGATAATAAGTTACATTGTGTTATTCTATTTAATGCACATATATTCAAAATTGACACTGATCAAGTTCTGGTAGTAGAATGTGTGCTGTGAAAATGTATCATTCATGCAAGTAAGTTCGGGAAAAGGTTGCATATTCTACCTGGAACATGGATTCAAAACATTATATTTCAGCAGAACTTTGAAACTGTTTGCTTCTGTTAATGGTGATTAAATATTTAATTTTAGAATGATATAATTGTTGAGTTATAGGGATGTGGAGGTCATCTAGTATCACCTCTTTGCGCAAAGCAGGGCCAACTTCTGAGTCAAATAAAGTTGCTCAAAACCTTGTCTGGTCAGCTTTCAAGTATTTCCAAGGGTAAAGATTCCACAGACTTTCTGAGTTCAGCCTGTGAAATTCTTTTTTTCTCCATTATTTTTCCTACTTGGAGTTTCTCTTGCTGAAATATTTGTGTAACAACCCTTTATTGTGCACCCTAAATGAGGTGGCAAGCCAGAATCTATTTGGGAATATTATTAGTCCATGTATCTTTCAAACAGTTTTTTAGTATCCTGCAACCAAACAATAATTAATACAGCACTAGAACTACCCTGAATACTAAAATGTTCTCCTTTAGCTTTATGTAACAGAAGCTGGACATCAGAACTTTCCTAAAGCTATAAGATCCAGTAGTGGTAGAGTATATATTAGAGTGACTAATAGCAAAAAGTACAATTCTGTGTTCACTTCTTTTGACTACACCCTTCCAATCTCATCTTTCTTCCAATGAGATTGTCAGTAAGAGTATTTTTACTAGCAAAACCTCATTAAGCTGTATGCTGGTAACTCGTAGTACTGATAAATTTATATTGGTCCAAGAGTAGTTGAACGGGAAGTTTCTAATCAATATTTCCTTACCTCAAAATTGTTTGAATTATATGGTGGCTTGTTTGGTTTGAATTGTTGACTGTTAGTTTTTGGTCAGTTGGTTGAGGTTTGGGTTTTTTTGTTTGTTCGTTTTGTTTTCTTTTGGGGGGTGTGTGTGTGTTTTTTTGTTGTTGTTATTTGCCTGTTTTCTCTCTATTTTATGTGTTAGGCAAATACATATATTTGAAGTCCTTGTCCATACAAATTTTCAAAGATGTGTAATACTGGACAACAATGTTGCTCATTTTTAGAGTGCTGAATATTAAGATACTGACCTTCTATTCCAAAACTCTGCTATTGATTCATTCTCTGTACTAGTGAATATCAATGAATGCCTAATGATTATGACATAATTAAAGCTTTTAACAGGGGTCTTTTCTAAAAAATATTTTACTACTTGGTAGTATTCAGATTTGGTTATTGTATGTATCCAGTTTGTGTATAAATACATATATCTAGAAAGATGAAAGACAAGGAATATTAACAAATTATTTGATAATTTGTCATTTACACAGAATATGACAGGGGAATGGTGCCCAGATGAAGAGAACTTTGAAAACAGACCTCCTCTTAATAATAACATGTTGGGTCATGTGCTTCACAGACTAAAGGAGATTTTCTGTCCTCCAAAACCCATTTCTTCACCTGCATTTCCTCCATTTCCTATCAAGGGATGTATTTTGGGAAAACCTTTTAGTGGAAAAACTACCTGTGTAAAGTTTATTGAAAAAGGTAGAGTGGGTTTGTTCTGTTTATTTGTTTTTTGTTTCTTATTCCTATAATTCTTTATTATCTAAATTTTAGTCTTTATTTGCCTTAAAATCCCTCTTTTTTTGTATATTAGTTTGCAATATTCAGGTACTATCTGTTGATATTTTGGTTCAAGAGGCCATCCAAGCTTTTCTTAAAAATGAAATGAAAAGTGAGGAAAATATGATTCCACAAGAGGCAGAGAGTTCTGGGGAAGAAAATGAGGTAAGCAATTTTGTTAATTTTGGTTTTGGCTCCTACAATGAGATGAGCATGAAGTATGTAAGGAAGAAAGTATGTTTAAATTTTTTTTTTGCTAAATTTCAAACTTAACTCTAAGTTTTGACTTACAAGATTTCGAGAGTCAGCTTGAATTAACAGGCTTGTTTTTCCTGTAATATGTAGTTTCCTTTCTAATCCGTTTTGTTTCATAACTGATAAACGTCAAGAAGAACTTGCCACCACTGGATGTATTAAAGAATCTTGAAACAGAAATATCTATCAATGGAACTGAAGGTGAGTATATATTTTACTTATATATGCATAGTTACATGTTATCTTACTAGATTTAAATGACAGTTCCCCTTTCTCTTGTACCTTTGAGGTAATATGCATGAATTCTGAGTTTTCACAGTAGTTTCTGTTATGAATTTCCTGTTTCCACACATTCCTAGTGTCTGGGAGTAGCAAATACAGGCTGCTCCATGAAAGAAAGTGAGCTAGGTGACAAGGACAGTAGCAAAGCAGGAAGTGCCAACGTTCAGAAACAGATTGAGGATATTCACTGCTGTCAGACTCACTGTGAGGTCCAGAGACACTGATCAGCATGAGCCTCAGTCTGATGCTGTTCACCTTCTTTGCTGCAAGGGCATATTGCTGGTTCCTGGTCAGCTTGGTCTCCTCCAAGGCCTCCAGGCCCTTCTCTACAAAACTGATTTCAAGACACTTGACAACCAACTGGTACTGAAGGCAGGGGAGATTCCTCACCAGAGGCAGGACTTTGCATTTCTCTTTGATGAACTTCATGAAATTTCTGTCAGCCCTTTTCTCCAGCCCATCAAGGGCCCTCTGAAGGGCAGCACAGACTCTGGTATATTAACTGCTCCCTCCAGTTTGCTGAGGGTCCACTGTGTCTCAGTTGTGCAGGTCGGTAATGAAGATGATAAACGATATTGATCTCACAATCCACACTTGGGCTACACCAGTGTATCACATACCACTGATCACTGTCAGCTGCGATTCACATTGCTGATCACAACCCCTGGAGTCTAGCAGTTCAGCCAGTTTTGAGTCCATCTCACTGTCCACTTACATTGTCCATATTTCATCAGTATGTCTATGAGGATGTGAAGGAAGACAGTGTCAAAAGTAAATGTAAACATCTTCTCATCAACCACTGAGCCTGTCACCTCACTGTAGAACACTGTCAGGTTGTCAGGCATGATTTCCCCTTCCTAAAGCCATGCTGACAACTCCCAGTCATCCACTTGTCTTTACAGTATTTGGAAATAATTTCCATGCTTATCAGTTCCTAGGGACTGAGATGGTGCTGACTGGCTTCTACATTTCCAATGCCCCCTTCTTGCTTTGAAGAGAGGATGGCAGCTACACTCTTCTCGTCCTAGGAATCAGCCCCAGTTACCATGACCTTGCACAGATTATTAAGAGTGGCATAGCAATGACATCAGCCCTCAGCATGTGTGGGTATATGTCATCAGATCCGATGGACTTGTGTATTTCCAGTTTATGTAAATGTTCCTTAAGCTGATCCTCCTCTACCAAGGGTAAATCTTTCTTGCTGCAGGCTTCTCTGTTTGTCTCAGGAGCTTGGGAGAACTCAGTCTTTTGCATGGCTCAACAGGCACACGTTTTCCCTAGACTTCCTTTTGCTGTGGAGGTACCCATAAAATCCTATCTTGTTGCCCTCCTGACTGGGCATAAGAAAAGGCTTTTCCCTCATGAGAACTATCCAGCATTGTAACAAATTGCCTGGAGAGCTAGTGTAGTCTCCATCCTTGGAGGTGTTCAAGATCCCAAACTATTGAGCAGCCTGGTCTGATCTCATAACTGATGCCACATTCTGCAGAAAGTTGAACTCAAACTAGGTGACTTCCAGAAGTTGCTTTCAACCAGAATTAATCAATGATCCTGTGATTCTAGCAATTACATATACCTTCTGTATTGATATTTTTCAAAGAACAATAATGAAGCATATACTTTAATCATTTATAGTAATAAATATTACATTAATAGAGTTGTCAAACTTTACAATGTACATATTTCAGGCAATTTTCCTGTCAGAAAGGATCCATCTTGGCAAGAAATTAAACCAGATGACAGTCAAGATGACCTATCAAAGGTTTGTAATGTAATTTTAGCTTATACTTTCTAAAGATGCATTAAAGTGGCTAAATTACTGAAATGGCAACATCCTTTTATCATTCTGAATTGATTTGTTGACCTCACTGCAGTTATTTCCTATTTGAAATATGAAAAGAGTTTATTATGAAGAATTATTCCTTTGTACATTGTTTAGACTTGTATGTACTGTTAAAGTTCTATATCTTCTTGTTAAAGCTTGTATTTATGTAAGATATGGTATTATGCCATTTCTGAGTTAGTAAAAATGTGTTTCTGATCTTGCTGCTGCCAAGCCAATAGATCATTCATCCCGTGACAAGGTTTCTTTTCTTTATGTTGAAAAATACTGAATTCTACAATGGTATCTTTGACTTTATTTCCTATTGGAAAACACTTCAGAAGCTGAGATAGAAAGGAATCCCTGTGGAATTAATGCTGCTGTATGAAACCATCAGTGGAATTATGGTATATGAAAATCAGAATAAGCCAAGAACCAGAACACCTAACATGTTGTTTCTTGGCCTTTATATTCTTTGTTTCTCAACCTTGTTTCTGCCTGGCATTTTCATGAGTGTAATGATGGAAATCATTTGGAGGTTGCACTTAAACTAGGTCTTTTTTACATCATTTGAAACTACTTATACTTAAGAGACTGTAACAAATATTTAATATAAACTAGTAATGCAATTAATTTAAATAAATAGTATGTGATCTGTAAAGTAGAACTATACTCTTTTTAATAGTGACTGTTGTGAACATTCTGAGCAGATTAATCTTGTGCTGCACTCTTCCACAGCTATCTGTACGTGCCCAGCTTGGCGCTGCATCACAGAAATTGTTGAAGAAAGGAGAAAGTATTCCTGATGAATTACTAATTGACATCCTATTGGAGGCCATTAAGTATGAAACTGTACAGCTTATTTTCCTCAGTTATTTAGAACGTAGTTATCCAGCTTGTATTCTAGATTCAGATATTTCTCTTTTTTAAGGTATTTTTTGAATGCTGAAGTCTTCTAATTTGAAAGTGGGGCTAATTAGTGGTTAGTGTTTGTTTTATGCTAGTAGTAGAATGCTAGCAGTAGAGTCTGGCCTTAAATTTTGCAGACATCCGAACATTCATACTTTAGCAGATATGTTAGTTATCTTTATCTGCTCTTGTTTGGCAGAAAATTGTCTCAACTACCTAGATGTGCAGTTAGCACTTAAGTTCCCACATGAATATCATTTCAGTTATATTACTCCCATTAGTATATTTTAAAATCATGAAACAGATTTTTTCTGTTTGCTACTTCAGTACAAATGTACTGTGTAGTACAAAATAATGTAATTACACCTCTAATCATAGTCTGTATAGAGAGTGGTTTTGAAAGCTTTTTTCACTTTTAGTTAGGCCTAATGTTATTTTTCAGATCTAAAATCCATTGCTCTACAGTTCAGGATTTAATGATATGTGTCATATTCTCTATTCAACAGGATATTTAATATACTGAATTCAGAATGAGACTGCTAGGGCAAGCTCTTCCTGTTATTATTATGCTATCAATTCATTGTATAAAACTGAAACTTCATTTATTTTTAGACAAATACCACCAGAGAAGGGCTGGATTTTGGATGGTTTTCCGATGACAATTAATCAAGCAAAGCTATTTGAAAAAGCCTACACCGGCATTGATCCAGAAGCAGAAGATGCAAACTCTGTAAAGTTCTCACTTGTTATAGATCCCAGAGCCCCTAACAAGCCTCCTGCTACCTCACCTGCATTTGATATTTCTGTGTTACTGGATACTTCAGACACTGTGATACTGGAACGTGTGGCTAACTTGAAGTGTAAGTTTCCAACTACCTTTACCAAGATAAAATGACAAGCAGATTTTCGTGGTTGTAAAAGGAAAGTAAAGATGTTTATAGTACTGAAATATCTAAACTGTAAGTACTTTGCAACATAACAGCAAACTGCATATTTTAATTAAAATACTCAATTATAACAGTATTTGTCTTTTTCTCTAAAAATTATGAAATCAGAAATTGTTTAGCTTTCTTGACAGCTTTCTTCTCCATTTGTAAGTATTTTTTTTCCAGGAGACGCATTTGGAAAGGGATGAAGAAAATGATAAACAGATGTGCCAACGCTAGTTCGCTGTTACTGCCTTTGCATTGTCTTCAGTTAGTCAGTGAGCAACTGGAAGCTGGCAATTTTGACTGCAAAAGCAAAAACATCAAAAGCTTTTTGAGTGATGTTTCACTTTGAGACCACACATTTTTAATTGTGCTTACTCACCTTGCAAAACAGAGGTTATTTTCATGAATTGTCCAAATTATGAGGAGATTCCTCTCCACTACTTTCACTCCAGGGCTTATGTGGCACATAGCTTGAATTAAAGCACCATTACCTTTAGCTTTTATCAACAGGTAAGAGTGAGGTTGAGGTAAAATCATTGTTAGCTTTTACTAACAATGCAGTGAAGACGAATGTATGGACATCTGAAATTCTTGTTAGACCTTGTGTTGCCAAAACACTTTGAAAATGTGATAATAAGTGATATAATCTCAGATATCCAAACAGAACTGATTACATAAAACGTGATGTGGTTATAGAAAGAGTGAAAAGAGAAATTTAAAAAACCCACAGAAATCTATGAAAAAGGGCTTATTTCTAATCAATGAAAGGCTTTTTTTAAATTTTGGAAAGACTTAGAGAGAGAATACCTTATCTTCCAATGCAGTGAAATAACTACCCATTGATGTGAACAGGAGTAGTTACTTCAAGGATGATTCAGATTAGACTAGCAAAATACCTTCTAACTGTTATAGTAGGTATGCCTGAAGTAGTCCACCTGCAGGAATGCTCCCCCTCTACAACTGGAAATTTCTATGACTGAAAGAATATATCTGGAAATGTTAGATGATCTTAATGTCTTTTCCAACCCTAACCGTTCTATGAGTCTATGATTGGATATGCATTTAAACAGAGGAAGAGGCAAGATGCTGTCTTCAGGTCCTTTCACGCTTAATTTTATGTTTCTATCATTTTCTCCAACTTTTCCTTTCTTTTAGGAAGTTTGGTACCTAGTTTTTGCATGAAGAAATCTAGGATCACGGAACACCAAATTTTTTATTTTGATAATTACCTTACTTGGTGCAAGTAAGTACCTGCATAATTACGTCTTTCAATATATGCTCATATGTGCTGTTTTCTACGCAGCAGATAAATCAAAGCTATCTCAGACTGAACAGGAGAACAGAAATCAAAATCCAGATGCTGTAAGCCCAGAGAAGATTGACTTCAGCAGAGATAAGGTGCTACACAGGTGTGTTATACAAAGTACAAAGAAGTTGCTTCAGCCAAATGTTTAGGCATGTAATTAATTGAAATCTCATATGTGATCCACAATAGTACTGGCGTGCGTAATGTTAAGAATTTGCTTAGGAATTTCTCTAATATGAGGCCTAAAGAGTACACTCATTTTTAGCACAATATAAATAATCCTAGAAGATAAGAATTCAGGTGTTTTGTTTTTCCAGGGTATTCTTCAAAGGAGAGGGGTTTTTTTCAAATATATATTGCATGAACTGTATGTATACGTGTACATATATATATGTATCCATGCATATATGTATCTGACATCTGTCATGCATCATGTAACTGCTCTTCTTTTTTTTCCTTTGTTGAAAATGAATGGGCTGATGTGGATGGAGTGTTATTTTGCAAAACTATTGCCTGGACTTGGTTTAGTGTTAAAATAGACGGTCTGCTTTTTCTTTTGTTTATTGTTTTAGTAAAATATTTTCTTTCCATTAGTTAGATTTTAATTTTATACATTAATACATTTTTGTAGAATTTCAGGCTTTCTAGATACCTGGCCAAAATTAGAGAAATGGTTTTCAGTCCATCACAATATTCTAGTGAAAATCAATGCAGAGACAGAAGAAAAGCTTGTGTGTGAAACTGTGAAGGAAATTATAATAGAAGAAATTTTCAATAAACAGAATAGAAGTAAGTTATCCTTTTCTTACTTTTTACAAGACTTTTTTCTTTATAATTAAAACTAGTACTAACCTGTAACTATATGGAAACATATATTTTACTGGCTTTGAAAGAATTTGGGGATGCATGAGTCAGTGATAACTGTCAGGCCAGAAAACTGAAATTCTCTGTTGTGATTTTACATTTTCAGAGGATATGGACCTATTTTGCCTAATTGTAAAGGTAGTTTGAGAGAAAAAAGTGTCAATTTTATTTATTTAAATTTAATGAAGTAAAGGATTACTGAATTCAGTCCTTTCTTCTGTAAATATTACAGCTAGCGTCTTCAACATATGGGGTAGCATAATGTTGTAAGAAAGATGATAATGACTACCTTGTCATTATAGAATCATAGGATCATAGAACAGTTAGGGTTGGAAAGGACCTTAAGATCATCTAGTTCCAACCCCCCCTGCCATGGGCAGGGACACCTCACACTAAACCATGCCACCCAAGGCTCTGTCCAACGTGGCCTTGAACACCACCAGGGATGGAGCATTCACAACATCCTTGGGCAACCCTATTCTGCCCCCTATTCTGCTCTCGTGAGACCTCACTTGGAATATTGTGTGCAGTTCTGGTGTCCTCAACATGAAAAGGACATGGATCTGTTGGAACAAGGAGGACACCATGAGGATGATCAGGGTCTGGAGCACCTCCTGTATGAAGATAGGCTGAGAAAGTTGGCGCTGTTCAGCCTGGAGAAGAGAAGGCTGCGTGGAGACCTCATAGCAGCCTTCCAGTATCTGAAGGGGGCATATAGGGATGCTGGGGATGAACTCCTCATTAGGGACTGTAGTGGTAGGACAAAGGGTAATGGGTTAAAACTTAAAGAGGGGAAGTCTAGATTGGATATAAGGAGGAAATTCTTTCCTGTGAGGGTGGTGAGGCACTGAATAGGTTGTCCAGGGAGGTTGTGAATGCTTCATCCCTGGCAGTGTTCAAGGCCAGGTTGGATGAGGCCTTGGGTAATATGGTTTAGAGCGAGGTGTCCCTGCCCATGGCAGGGGGTTGGAACTCGATGATCTTAAGGTCCTTTCCAACCCTAACTATTCTATGATTCTATGATTTTATGATTCTATTCTATCTGTTACTTGTTCAGTGTTTGGTTTTGTTGATTCACCGTTTCCCAAGTCTAGCACAGAAGCTGTGTTTACAGCCATCTTTAAGCAGGTAGTCCTTGAAATTGTAACAGTTACAATGAATCTCAGAATTGGTATCAACACCACTGGCTTTGGTTTACCTGGTAAAGAATTTGTTATTTATATACATATATAATAATTCATTATCTTCCTGTTTTCCTGACAGTGATGGTTTTAGAAAAGTATCAGTCCTGCAAAGTATAAGCTTAAATGGAAAGTGATTTTATAACTTTGGCATCACTGATTTGATTTTTATCTTTCTTGATGAACAACACCTAAGTAATGAAATAATCAATCTCTTCCATTATTTTGAACTTGTCACTAGCATAGATGTCTAATTCTGTTTACTGATACTTAAAATACATTTGAAGGTACTAATTGTATGTTCATATAACAAGGATGTGCTAAAGAAATATCACCAGAAAAGAAGATTTCACCAGTTGATGTAAGTAATACGGATACACATACACAGGAAGACCTGCTTCCTCCTATTCTTGTGGAACCACCACCAATTGAACCAGGATCAGATGAATGGATTTATGTAGATGAACCACTTCCCAAGGTACATTAATTCATGTTTGAATGTCTTAGATATTAAAGTATGTATTTTTCTCAGGATTTTATGCATATTCTACCTGAATCATTTGTCTGTATTCTTCTCTTCAATATTTTTCAATGAAAGGTACACTAGTACTCTATTATAAATATTTAAAAATACAAATAATGGTTGCTACTAAAATATATGAAATAAGGAAACACACTTTAAAATGTTGATTTTTTTTGTCTAAATTCATCACAATGATGAACAATAGCACATGGATGCCAAATTAATGTTACTTTTTAATACTATTAAATACTAACATAGTGTTACTAGGTCAGTTTCCTGTCTCTAACAGGGGCCAGTTGTGAATCTCTCAGAAAGAATGTAAGAATGGGGAAAGTGTGCACTGATCTTTCTCCTAGGATACTTTTTCTAATATGTTTTCCCTCAGGACATCTTCCTAGTTTCCAGTGATCTGAAATTTAGGAATTTCCTGAGATACTTTTAAATTTGCATCTTTGTGTTTAGTAGCTCTCAGAAGAGTATTCTTCTATGATTATGTCTAGTTGCTTTTTTTTGAAGCAATTTACATTTTGGTTTCCATGATACAGCTTGTATAATTATGTTCATTCTGGAAAAAAAATGTTTGTCTCTCCACCTTAAACCTGCTGTTTGCCTGGGTCATTTGATGATTCTGTTTTCTTGAATCATGACATACAATGAATAATAATTCTGTATCACCCTCTGAAGGTATGCAAGATGCGACAGACACCTATTACGTGCTTGTTTAATTCGGTGTTTCTTTGCTTCTTCAATACAGTCATAATCTGTTTAATTCACCTCGTGTGGGCAGTTCATATGTTCAGTCATGATTTTTGCCCTTCTGTCTGTTCCACTGTAATTTTTTTGAGATGGGGATCTGGGACTGCATGAAGTATTTGAGATGCAGATTTAAAGGCTGCTTAATGTTGCTTTGTATTTTGTTCTGTAACTCATTTCTTAATATTTACCAGTTTTGCTTTCATGACTGCAACAATCTAACATATGTTGCATTTCCTCTAGCCATGGGCTTTATTTTGTATTTCATGACAGTCAAAGTTCACTTTTGGAACACTATAGACAGTTGGCATAGGTTTTTACCAGCTTTAGCAGTTGTGTAGCATCAAATTTTGATACTCAAGTGCTCACTTAGGATCTTCACTTAGTTTTTGAGCATTTCCAAAAACCACAGATATTGGAATATTCTGCTGGAATTTCTCATTTATTTTGAGTACTGCCACTTCTTCCCAAATAAATCCATGGATAAAACTATATGTTGGTACAGTGTCTATAATCAGTTGTAAACAGTTGCAAATCACAAGAAATACACGGCAAAGAAAAACTGTAAGATGATTTCATGAGATAATCTTCTTATATTTGTTAATGTTACAGTTAAATAGGTTACCAAGAAATATATTGATTAATTCTTATGGTTTTTTTTAAATTCACAGGAGATACCTGGTTTTTTAGTACCTTACTGGGAAATGGTAGAAAATACGTATATGAATACCATCAAAAGTATACTTAGATGCCTAAGGGATGAACAGCATTCGGTGATTTATTACTTAGCAGATGTTAGGTAAGTAGAAATAGTAGCTAATTACAGTAATATTAGTATTTCCCTTGAGCATACATCTTTTAACTCCAAAATCATTTTTACCATAATTTACAGAAAAAAATTCCAAGATTATTTGAAGCATCCTGATATTAAGCAGGAGTTTGTATCTGTGTGGCAATCAGATTTTAATTCAGTTGCTGATGACCTGCGAGAAGATGAGCAAGCAAAAGCAGAACTACACCAAAGAGTTACTGTAAGTAACTGGCAAAAGTTAAAATATTATTTCATTGTATATAGAATCATAGAATCATAGACTAGTTAGGGGTGAAAAGGACCTTAAGATCATCTAGTTCCAATCCCCCTGCCATGGGCGGGGACACCTCACACTAAACCATGTCACTCAAGGCTCTGTCCAACCTGGCCTTGAACACTGCCAGGAATGAAGTATTCACAACTTCCTTGGGCAACCCATTCCAGTGCCTCACCACCCTCACAGTAAAGAACTTCTTCCTTATATCCAATTGAAACTTGCCCCATTTCAGTTTTAACCCATTACCCCTTGTCCTATCACTACAGTCCCTAATGAAGGGTCCCTCCCCAGCATCCTTACAGGCAGCCTGAAAGGCTGCTCTGAGGTCTCCACGCAGCCTTCTCTTCTCCAGACAGAACAGTCCCAACTTTCTCAGCCTGTCTTCATATGGGAGTTGCTCCAATCCCCTGATCATCCTTGTGGCCCTCCTCTGGACTTGTTCCAACAGTTCCATGTCCTTCTTATGTCGTCTGAATTAGAAGCTGCCAGCTGTGAATCCTGAAAAACAAATTTCTCTGGTATCAGCTGGAAAATACAAAAATCCACCCCATTTTGTGGTGTGTGAAAAATTCCTTAAAGGCCTACAGCCTAAACGACATCCAAGGCTTTGGGATCATGTTCCAGCTTCAGAATCACTGTTTATGAAATATGCTTGAGCAGCCCATTCTCTGTTATGCTGTCTTTCAGTAATTTCTCCAATTTCTGTCTTACTCCATTGCTATCACCCGACATAGTCAGTCACTATGGGTTAGGCTGCACTACTTGTCTTGTTCCAGATAGGAAAGGACACATTCATCTGTTTTTTCTTTTTTTTTTTTTTTTCACTGTCTTATTACAAAGAAGCTGATCCATTTAACACTTTTGTCTTCCTGCTCTTTTTTATTACACAGAAGTCTGTCACACAATTTCCATGCAGAGATGGCAGTGGGGAACAGGATGCTTGTGTGCATGTTGTATGCTTAATAGATCTTCAGTGCTGTCAGTAAGCTACATACTGCTGCTATTAGATCTAGTTTACTGGTTGAAGAGCCCTTAGTTATGAAGAACGTTGAAGAAAAAATTGCATGAAGTTATCCAAATTAATTGGAAGAATACTGAAACTCTGACATACTCAGAGTTTTTCTAATATTTTTTCCCCTTTCTGTGTTCTTCATGTAAGTGTATTAGTTAGAAAACAATTCAAGTGGGAAATTGTTGGTGCAGTTGAGAGCTTAGCTATTGGTATTCTTGTATCTTTGTCTAGCTTAGATAGATCTCTGCCTGAGGAAAGCAAAACAGCCTACACATTCATCTCATACCTTTGTATTATTCCCTCTGGCACATTTGTAAAGCTACTTTCTGTCACCTTTCTGTAAGCACATGACTCATTGATCAGTCTTTCACATTTATAACAATAAAGAAAAAGCCCCAAATGGGAAGATGCCTTTTGCACAGTCAAAAAAAATATTAAATATGAAAAAGGTATTTAAGTTTTCTTTCATAGTTATTTCTCATATTTGATTTTGTGTTTCAGGACCTAAGAGATCTTCTTTGGGATATCTGTGATAACCGAAGGGAAGAAGCAGAGCAGGAACGCACTGATATCATGAATGATGGCTGGTTGCCAGATCATAGGGGTATTGCAGTGAACCATTTCTTATCGCTTATGCAGGTATGGATCTACTATGGAGTTTGCAGCGGGTGAGGACAATGACTTAGGTTTGGAGGACTTAAGTAAGCCGCAGAGCAATTTCATATGGTTGGATCCAAATAAGTGAGGGATGGAGAATTAGATAAGCAAATGTTCATGCCTTCTCTGAATTTATCTAGAAAGCTAAAAGACGAAATGTAGACATTCATACATTTAACTGTTTGACAGTCAGAGAAGGTTAAGAAAAACACTACTGTTTTAGTCCAAGCCTTCAAGCTTTTAATTGGTATAGTGTAATTTTTGCAGTTTTATCAGTCCAGTGAATCCTCTGAATTTTGTAACATGTATGTTAGAGTTGTTTATCCTTCTGTGGTTATACTGACATCTACTCTTAATTTATACATTCTGTCATTCAGTGTAGACCCACTTGCTGTTAAGGTTGTCCTGTTTCCCGTATCACAAAATTATTGAAACTTTACCAATGTGGCTTGAAATTTTACCTACAGACTGAAAACAAAAAAATAAAAAAAATGCAAGGAATGGTTTTGATTATGTGATGTGATCTGTTGCTCTTAAGAAAACTTGTTCCAATATGACCCAGCTTTCACATAACTTAAAGTTTTCAAGAAACCATCTTCAATTAGTTGGTTCTCCCCACACCCACATGAAGTCATTCCTCTCATTCAGCCCGATTTGTATTACTTCAGGTCCTGAAGTAAAGTTAAGATTTCCCTGTGGCTGCTGTTCTCGTGCATAAATTCAGTTTAGGGCTGAACTAAACTGGAATAGAGCAGTCTAGACTAGACACTTTTCTGTAAACTCAGTGACCATTGCATGAAAGTTTTGGCAATTTTAAAGAAGACAGGGAAAACAATACTTTAAACACATGCCATATGAAGCTACTTTAGCTGAAAAATCAGGCCTAATCATCTTAGGGTGGGCTTCCTGCCCTTTAATTCTCAGTGTTATTTTCAATAAACAAGGGAACCACTCTCTTATCTCGTGAATGTTGTGGTAATTTAGGTAACATTTCTGAAGTACTCAGTTGCTTAGACTCTATTTCATGAGTCTAAATAATGCCCTAAATAAAGACTTAAGGCCACCAACTTAAGAGAAGTCAAAATATTGACTGCTGACTAAACCATGTTTATTCTGTAATTGCAATATTTATAGGACCAAGTATTTAAAAATGTATCTTGAATTATATGCATAAGGGAGCCAAAAGTAGTATTGCTGAGCTTAAATCTTTTCTTTTTCTACTTTTATATTCTTATATAATTTTGCAATCCTAATTCTCTTGTAGCAGAATTTCATGGACACATATGATGTGGTCCGGAGGAGATTCACTATGAATCTAATTTGATCTGGCTTCTGTGGATATGCAGACTAACCATTTAAAATTACAAATACATATATTAAACATATAGAAGTTTATTAAAGAAAAATGCAAAGGAAAACATTTTTAATTTCTTCCCTTAGTATATACTACGTAAAATAAAGGAGCTACAGAACTAAAACTCTAGTAACTAAATCTTTACGTTATGGCTTTGTTTGAGCAACAGCCAAAAATAGGCTGTTTTGGTGTTGAGCTCTCCATCTGTGGGTTTTTCTGTGGGAAGTTACATATATTCTCCAGGTGTCTTTTGTTACTGTGTGAATACATAGATTTTTATAAATGCCGTTTATCAGATTTCTTTCCACCTTTCTGTGTACACACAATTATGCTAGAAGATATTTTCTCCTTAATTTATGGATAAGTTTACACCACAAAGGTTTTATCCTTCGTTTTGTGAATGTGGTTTTGTGCATTTTCCCATGAAAATTTAGCACTGTTTTGTCAGTTAGAAGCTAACGCCATACGGTATCAATAAATCAAAACCTGACAGGTGTGAAATGTTTTCTGAATCTTCTTCCAAGATGATTCATTTAAAGATCTTCAGTACACTTAGGTGTGTAAAGTCTGTTGATTTCTTTGGTCCAGCAATAAAAAAAATTATTGCTTTTAAAATTTTCTTAATCCTTTAACCCTTTGTATATTATGCTATTAAGGATTTTATTTCTTTTGAACAAAAAGATCTATATAATTTATTGATGTTAGCATACTTAACTACTATAGAAATATATACAGAAAAATATGTTTTCATTAAATTTAATGCTCAAACATTATTTTTGTAAATATTTTTTCTTGTTCTAGCAACTAAGAATTTTATTAATCCTTAAAACTACCAGTGTGAAGACATTACAGATGCAAGTAGAAGTATTTTGAATGCACTATAAATTTTCAAATAGGGTTGTGTTTGTTGCTCTTCCTCACAATCTTAAGATTTAGAATTGCTTCTGCTATTATGTATTCAAAAAAGTAACAGAAGTTTGTTCTGTCGTGCTTTGAATTGCAATATTTCTATCCTTTTTTTTTTTTTTTTTTTTTGAGGTTGAAGTTGATCGTTTTCAAGATACAAAGAGAATCCTTCATGATTATTATAGAGCAATGGAAGGAAAAATCCCAGCAGAGTACAGTCAAGATTTTACTAGGATCCCATTGCTAGATATTATGGATTCAGAGCAAAAGGAAGATCAAAACAACTCAAGAAGGTAGAAATACATTATTAAATTATACAAGTATCAACAAATATAATGTACTGATAGTTTTGTGGGTGTATGGGGAAAATATGTTTGTGGGAAATAAGAATTTTTAAGTAGGGATTATAGTAAATTCATGAGTCTTGAATGATTACATATGTTTAGTTTATAGATTTTTTTACTGATTTACCTATGTAATTTTCATTAACACATCTCAGAATTATAAAACATTTTAAAGGCTGCCTTAGAAAGAGATCTGATATAGAAAATCTTTCTACTTCCTCTGTGTTGCTCATAATTTTCAGCATAATCTTCTCGTAAGTTAAATATGATTACAGAACTTTAAACGGTTTAAAAAATAGGTAATTGAATGGATTGTGTAATGAAAATATAAATCAAAGGAGTCTTCAAAGACTCATGCTATATTAGAAGTTAAAGCCATACCATCAAGTAATTTCACAATATGAAAAATGCTGTCAATAATGACACCTGCTTTTTTAAAATACTTGCAGTTCATTTAGAAACTGAGTAATGAAGCTGTGCTTCTAGCCTGTGTGGAATATGTCAGCAGATCAGACAATAATTTGGCATAGTTTTATCCATCTATTACTATTCCTTAGCTTCTGTAGTTAAACTAGACAGTTTTCTTGTCATCCATGTATTTAACCACGTTTGGTCATAAGGAAGTTCATCCCTTTTCTGTTGGTATGAAAATTTTGAAAATAGCATTCTCTTAGCATATTCTCCAATGTTATTATAAATTAACACTTTTTTAATAAAGGGGATGTAAGTAATGCCTTATATTTAATTTTTAAGGATTCCTCTAGTTTCTTGGAAAGTGCCTATACCAGAAATATTTATTACCAAGTCAAAACCCAAGGGATCTCTGCAGAAGAGTCCTAAGAATGATAATTCTGAAAATGGAGTGGCTACTGTTAGAAAAGACGAAAGTCTTATTACTGATACATGGCAAACAGCAGCAACAACAGTATCAAATATGGTAGGAATGTTTTTACATTTTACATGTATTTACTGAAATATTTCTGCATCAGACCCTGAAAGCCTCCCATTCAGCAGGCAGCCTAAACACACAGCCTTCTCCCTATATATCTCAATTTCAAGCCTGTTGCTCAACAGATATTTCTATTAAATATGTTTGTGTTTCTATGAGGAAAATGTTGGAATTGTGTATTATCAGCACCTCTATTTATAACTGGCCCAATCATTCCATTACTGAAATATTTTGAATGTTGACTTTATATGTCTGCTTCTTCCACGGTAAATTCTCCCGTTATCCCTCAATAGAAGCAGGAGAAGAGGGACAAGTTTTATTCTGTGATGCAGTGTTTGCTCAAACCTTTCACAACTTCAAAGGCTATGGTTACACTGGTTTTTATATATAGCTAAAAGTAAACTAAGTTGGCTTTCAAATGATTGATTTCTAGGTTCACTTTTTCTTTCCTCTCTCTTTGATGATTTTAAAGTAAGCAAATATCTACATCCTTACAGTGTAACTGTAGTCTTGCTTTGAATACTGTTGAATCTTGCATTTCTCACTTTGTCCTAAAGTACACATAATGGGTTACAAGAATTAAAACCATTATCTCTGTCTTGCATTTTTGCTGTAGAATTTTATATTTGATTCATCAAAAATTAATCAAGGTAATATGTTCAGTTCTTGGCCCCCCACTGCAAAGACAGAAACTGAGATGCTGCAGCAGGTACATAGAAGGGCAATGAAGCTGATGAAAGGTTTGGAGCACAAGCCTGACGGGGAATGAGTGGGGGAACTGGGAGTGTTTATTCTGGAGAAAAGAAGACTTAAGGGGTCCTTATCACCTCAAAGGAGGATGGAGTGAGGAGGTGGCTCGTCTCTCCTTCCAAGTAACAAGAGATAGGACAAGAGGTAATGGCCTCAAGCTGCACCATGGGAGGTTTAAATTGGATATTAGGAAAAATTTCTTCACTGACATGACAGTTAGGAATTGGAACAGGCTTCCAAGGGAAGTGGTGGAATCACTGTCCCTGGAAATGTTCAGAAACTCTAGAGGAGGCCCTTAGTGACATAGTTTAGAATAGAATCATAGAATAGAATCATAGAACAGTTAGGGTTGGAAAGGACCTTAAGATCATCTAGTTCCAACCCCCTGCCATGGCTAGGGAGACCTCACACTAAACCATGTCACCCATGGCTCTGTCCAACCTGGCCTTGAACACTGCCAGGGATGGAGCATTCACAACCTCCCTGGGCAACCCATTCCAGTGCCTCACCACCCTAACAGGAAAGAATTTCCTCCTTATATCCAATCTAAACTTCCCCTGTTTAAGTTTGAACCCGTTACCCCTTGTCCTGTCACTACAGTCCCTGATGAAGAGTCCCTCCCCAGCATCCCTGTAGGCCCCCTTCAGGTACTGGAAGGCTGCTATGAGGTCTCCATGCAGCCTTCTCTTCTCCAGGCTGAACAGCCCCAACTTTCTCAGCCTGTCTTTATATGGGAATTGCTCCAGTCCCTTGATCATCCTTGTGGCCTCCTCTGGACTTGTTCCAACAGTTCCATGTCCTTTCTATGTTGAGGACACCAGAACTGCACACAATACACCAAGTGAGGTCTCACGAGAGCAGAGTAGAGGGGCAGGATCACCTCCTTTGAGCTGCTAGTCACGCTCCTTTTGATGCAGCCCAGGATTCGGTTGGCTTTCTGGGCTGCAAGCACACACTGAAGCTGCATCATGTTCATTTTCTCATCGGCCAACACCCCCAAGTCCTTCTCCTCAGGGCTGCTCTGAATCTCTTCTCTTCTTTAGTGGTGGACTTTGCATTCCTGGGGTAGAGGTTGGAGTTGAACTTAAAGGTCTTTTTCAACCTAGCTGATGCTACGATTCTGTGATTCTATGATATCTCATTTGCTTTATTTAAGTACGTGCAGAAAATATCAGCTATTTAAATCAGTACTTGCACAGCGTTAATCCTATGTACTTTACTATGTGTGACTATGGTGTCCAGGTAACAGCTGAAACACAGTTCAGAGAAACTGAAGAAGAAGAAGAAGGTCAGCAGCTAAATCTGAAATCTTCAAAGCCATCAAGCAAAGCTACCAAAGATTCCAAAATGCAATCTCCAAAAAAAGCTTCTAAGAAGAAAGGTATTTGAAATGCAGAATTGTTTTGGCAATGCTTGAAATTGCTGAAATGTAAATATATGACTAATACAGAAAAAAAAAGACAGCCAATGCATTTCTTTTGGAATTAATTTCTCTTTTGAAATGTCCAGTGAATGTGACATATCAATGTGAAAAGCTGATAGTGATAAAGCAGTGTGGAGGCTTTTGAAAGACAATTGCATTTATTTAATCATATTATTGATTATTATGTGATTACTATGTGCAAATTGTGACTATTATGCATATAAATATTCTAAATAGAACCTAGAAAATAAAGATTAATTTTTCTCTATGTGCTGTTTTGGAATTGAATAGTTAGAAATAGTTCATAAAATTAAATAAAATTCCATTAAATTGTCTACTTTCCAGCCATAAGTTAGATATTAAAAATACAGGGATAGAATAGATAAATTATCCAATACCTTAAGGTATTCTGAAATTAATTTGTCAGCCATATAGTAGCATGAATCTGTCAGTGTCTGTCATTATTATATGTAACTGTAACATACTGTAAATAATGTAAAATCTAACGACATATATAGTCCTAAACCCCAGGCTCCCATAGGGGTAAATCTTGCTCATAGGTCTGGCAAGAATCTGTCCAAAATACAAAATGAATCTGCAAAAGATAAACAGACCTTAAAAAGCTATCTCTTTAACCTAACAATCCGGGCCATCTGCTGGAAGGAATTTGGGCATGCAATGCAGTTTATATACTTTTTCATAATTCCTTAAGCATGTACTGCTTTAAGTAACTTCCTCTTTCTGCAAAATGCCATAGCTCCAGCAGGAAGCAAGGCTAGTAGCCTATGTCTAAGCACTGAACTTTTTGTAAAGACATTCTACACAGCAAAAGAGGGGTTTAAGCCCCGTGGATGTGAGGGAAGCCTGAAATTCAGGGACTTAATTTCCAAGTCAGAAAGCTGCAACTGAGAGTTATGATGCATAAAGCAGTTTTGTTATTGTTATTGTTTTTGTTTTTTCTTTGAAAAGCATTTGACTCAGTGCTCTCTGGTTGATTCTCCTCATAATAGGGTGAACAAGTATAGCCACATAGATGCCTAATTTGGGGCGCACAGGAATCCTACTGTGTGCTTAGCATCTCAATCCAGCCAAGGGAGTATCAGATTTTCAAATTTCTAGAAAAACTTTTTAATAAAGAACCAGCAGCTATCACCTAGTGTATGCTAAGTGGTTAGGTTGGGGTTTGTGGTTTGCTTCTTGGAACTAAATTTTTTGTTCAGACCTAGATGCCTTACAGTTCTTTCACAAACCTATAAAGTGAAAGAACTGCAACTAGAACTCAGCTGTGCAATCCTCATGGTAAAAGATGAAGTATCAACTGATGTATTTGTAATTAAAGTATCGATTTTGATTTCATGACAAACATAGTATTACAATGGTCCTCTTGTAGCAGAAGAGTTGCCTATGATACAGCTGTAGGCTAGTAACTGCCTATGCATTATCACATGTAATTTTATCACTTTGAGATTTGACCATTTGCTTTATGTTGACCGTCTGTGTCATGTAGATTTGGGTTTTTTTTCTTTTTTCCTGTAACATTTCCATCTGTTCTTCTTTTAGGACAAAGCAGTTACAAATATTTGAATATTTCTGAGTAACAGTCAAAGTGTTGTGACTGCAGAATTTCACGCAATCTTTGAAAAGTTGATAAAATAGCTTTACAATGTCTGGTCATAGATGTGTAAGTTAAAACAATCTGCAAAAGCAGCTAACAGAATGGTTTAGAAAAAGCATGAAATAACATACCTCTTTTTTTTTTTTTTTCCCTCACATGAATTTTTTTAAATAGCGTTATTATTTTCACTGCTTCGATGACAGCCAATGACATTTGCTACCATAGTATTTTTACTACAGTTTGCTAACCATGAATTTGCTCCAGAATAAACAGCTCTCAATCAGAAGAGGTTTATTTATGTGCTGGTTGTGATAAATCAGTAGATTTTAGGATCAAAGAAAACATTCTGACCGTCTAGGATCACAACAGAGGCGCACCTGCTCATTCATGATTTTCTATTTAAAAATACATTTTAGGATGTAATTTAACCAATTTTAATACAGTTGTATGTGCTGAAGTAATTTTATGTAGTATTTATCTCAGCATGTCTTGCAAATATCAATTACAATTGAAGAAATCTAAATATGTTATTTTGACACAAGAGACCTGAGTAATCACTTTTGTATTCTCATAAATGGTCACATCAAGTAAGCTAGAAAGTGCCATTTTTCATTTAAAACAATATGCTGTCTTGTAAGTGTCTGTGTTTGGATACACAAGCTTATTACCAAAGTCCAAAGACTGTGGAGGTCTGTTTTTCTGCAGGGCTATCTTCTACTGCATCTATGGGTGAAGACAGTACAGTTCCTATAAACCCAGAAGAGTTAAAGAAACAAGAAATGGCACTTAAAATAAAGCAAGAATATTTCAGTGCCTTGAAGCATGAGGGTATGTTACTGTTTGGTTACTTAGATCGGAGAGTGATTGTTATTCGTAATTTAGGTAGTGTCATAGTCAAAACTACCTAGAAACTCTACGCAGAATGCATAGACAAGTGAAAAAAAAAGGGGAGAGAAAGGAGTGCCTGAAGAAATCATGACTTTTTTTTTTTTTGAGGATGGTAGTCATCACTGATTTTGTGTTAAATATATTTAAAATAGAAATGTGTTCTTCTTTTTGTTGTCTTTTGCTTGATTTAATTAAATTTAATTTAATTTTCCATGATTAAGCAAGTATTCCTCATGAGAGAGTAAGTTTCACATCAGTGGCTAGCCTTTCTTCAGTATTTGACTGAGCTGAATTTGGTATTTGAAATGTTTTGATCTGGAAAATAATGTGATGGTAATTATGTATTTATTAATGCTCTTATCTCTGATTCCCTCTTCCTCAAGCCGCATGGGATTCAAGCAACAAGACTCAGCTTTTGTTTATTCTTCCAAAAGCCTTTCCAAGCAGTCCCTTCAAAAAACTATGTACTGTTCAGTCCTTCTATGTCTTTGTCCATCTTACTGAATAACTTCCAATCCAACTGGTCAATTTCAGCAAAAAGTAGATATCTGAAACAGAGAAGTCCCAGACTGAAAATGGGTTGATTTTTTTTTTTTTACACATGTTTAGACTAGAACAAAGAGACCTCTTTCTCACTAGAGAAGATAAAACCTAACTGTTAGAGATTCTGTTTGTCAAGAGTTGGCAAGCCCCTCATCATGTATTTACCCTCATGGCAGACTAACTTTTGCATAGTACTTACTATGAAAATTAGAGGGAAACTTCAGTTAATGAAACACATACTCACAAGGCTTCTTTAGGTCCACACCACACCAAATGCTTGTACACCTACCACTTTCAACATGGTTTAATCCAAAAGCATTTTAGTAATAAGTAAGGTTGTAGGATACTGAGCAGAGGAATGGTAGTAACTGTGAGGATCTTAGTAGTATGAAGATAAATCCTAGTGAGTCATTGACACATTTTATTTCCTTGAGTTTACTTCATTTTCATCTTGTATTTAACAAAAAAGCCAACATAAGAACTGAAGGAAGACTAAATATGTTGTGATAAAACATAACTGCACACACACATAGCTGGTACATTTGAGGATCATAGTTTCATTTACAACTATGGTAACTGGATTCTTGAGCTTTTTGGTTATCCGGATACACAGAGACTAGCAAGTCACTAGTTGTGGACAGTTGTGAAGTTTTTAATGCTGATTTCATATTCCTTTTACTCTGTTACTGTTAAAAGAGCAGCTTTATGAGTGTGCAATACCTGCTTCTGATGATGCATGAAGCCAAAAATTGTTGTACACTTACATTTGTACCATACTGATAACAGCTACTCAAAGAAAATACAGAGAAGTCACAAATAAGGCAGGCTGTATTAAAGAAAAGCGACTAGACAGGCATAGAGCATCTTCTGGTTGCTTAGAAGCTTTAGTTTTTTGCCATCAAATAAAATAACCCTATTTAAGACCCAAATCTATTCTATATTTAAAATTTTGAACTACTACTACTTCTTGCTCAAAACTGAAAGTGTATACAATTGCATTCTACTGTGACCTGAAAAATAGCATTAAAAGGACATGCCTTATATTTTTCAGGGTCCATCTTTCTACACTGGTTGCTGAAAGAGTTTCAGCACCAAACCTAAGTATTTTGAAAACTTGGCAGCATATAGAATAAGGATCATAATATAAATAATTTTACAGTCTAGAACTTTGAACTTACTGTACCTATTACTATATAACATTAATTCTTTAAAAGATTCTGAAGTGTAGAAAGTTTAATACAAAGAAGCCTCATCTTGAATCTGAATTTTCTTTCAGGATTGAAAATGAGCTCTAGCTATTCATATTTGTTTCTTACTCCTCTTTTGTAAGGCTTTGAATGTCTTCCAGTGCCTGTTCCATGTTCACTCAATACATTACCTTAGCTGCCTTTCCATCCACTTGGCATCCTTTTCACTTTGGAAGTTGCTGACTTGTTCACATATCTTGTCCTTTTATCTCCTTCTTTTTAAGTATTAGCCTTTTAGAGACAGCTTTTTTTTTTTCCCTCCATTCTTTGTAGTTTGAAAAGTAAAAATAATGAAATTCTTAATGGTTTTAAAAGTTATATATGCATGACTTTGGTAGAGGTGTTTTCTCAGTGCTCACTAACCAAACTCGTTTCTAATCTGAGTTTTAGGTATAGGATAGTTATATGTGGGAATCTTGGAACAAAACCAGTAAGGTTAATTTTAAAGTGCTGGAAGTTAGAAACAAGAAAGCAAACTTTTATTGTGACTACCATACAGAATGATTTATCTGTGTTTTGTTTAAAATTTATCTGTAACAGTTTACTCACACATGCATCATTAATCTTATAGGTCTGTTGCTGTTTAGGGTTTAGTTCAATGTCACTGCCTACTTAAACATCCTCTACACCTCTGTATTAGTTTCAGTAAGGTATTTGCTATTTTGTGAATTCTGATACCCATAGAAGACACGCTTTCGTAAAATACATGGTGCAGTATGGATGATCTGAAAAATAATTCAAGAATATGATTAATAAATAACGTAGTGCTCAAAGACAGGTCAACATGTTAAACTGTAGGTGCTTAATACTGAGAATTTTTGTCAAATTTCATAAATAGTAATTATTATGACATTCCTGCTTGAACAGAAGCAGCCATAAAATTTCGACTAGAACTTATAAAAGAAAAAGCTTTAGCATTTGTTGAAGAGCTAACAATGAAAGCTGAAGAGGCTTATAAAGAGATGGAAGAGTGGCTTGGATCCAGGTTCTTGGCAGAAATGTCCAGGTAACGTATAGCTAATTTTAAACAGGAACCTTTTTTTTCAAACTAGTCTATGCTAGTAAATATAGTTGTTTACATAAACCTGGAAAAATGTATAAAATAATAATTTAATTTAATGAACTGATAATTAATTTTATCTTAAATACCTGAATGGTAGTAATTCATTTCTTGAATGATAAGAAGGTTCTTCTGGCAGCAGTAGAGATAAGTATCAGTTATGCTGGTTTTGTAGTCTACAGATCTAACAGATTTATGAGCATCAGCAAACCAGTTATTTCATTTAGTAGAAGCCACTGTGTCATTCTAGTGACATTTCTTCACCACTTCAGATTGTGGTGTTATTTTCTTTCCTGTGCTTTACATATGCTTGAAAATTCCGCTTACTGTTATTATCACCATGTATAATATTTCCCAAGATTATTTCAAGGTCCATTAAAAAAAAAAGTAAATAAAATGTGCTTGTGACTACCATATTTAGGCCATCTGGCATAGAACAACCTATCTATATAATTAAGAACCTTTATTCTCCAAAAGAAAGAGGTCATTTTCCCTTTTGGAAAATCTTTCTTGGCTGTAATAACTTTTGAAGCATACCTGGGACAGTGCTAGTTCATCCATGTCAGGCAAGCCAAAGACAATAGATACGAAACATAGGATGCGAAGGCTCTAACAGTCAGTAGCTCAAAGAGGGTGCGCCTCTGCCTTCCAGGCAGTTTTACTTGCTCTCTGGACAACCACCACTATGAAAGACACTATTTACAGAACAGCATGTCCTTTGACTTGACACCCCAGGCCAAACCTACGTCTATTTAAACATTATAGAAAGCCGACATCTTTCCTTATATGAACTGTACTAGTTACACTTGAAACAGGAGTTCATATGCTTCTCCATAAAGCTACTTTAGAAAGTGCTTTGTGCATCTAGGATTTAGAGGCAGAGCAGAAGATAAGGCATTGAAATAAGACAAAGGATGATTACAGATGCAACGTATGTGCTCAGGCCCTCTAAAATTTATGGAGTAAGGAAAGTCTCATCCTTTCATATTTTTCAATCAGGTTTCTTCTATGGCTTATTTCTCCCTTTATATAAATTTCTTACCACAGTTAAAAGATTTCTTGCTGCCAGGAGAGAACTATACTCCATAATGATTTTGCTGAGTACAGAATTCACACAGAGAATTTGTAATTCTTACTTGAGGAAAGCTTTCATTGTGTAAACTCATTAAAATTTGAACCTATGTTATTAACATTGTCTATTAAAAGTACTCACTGTTTTCTACGTTTACACTTTCACAGTGTTGAAAAGCTGGTTGAGGTTGCGCGACATCATATTGAGAGTTCTAGCAAAATTCAGTATGAAATTATTTTAGAAGAAACAGATTTCTTCATCAGCAGTGATGTAAAAGTGTTTCCTGACCCTGTTCCTTCACCACACGTTCCACATATGGAGACCTCTGGAAGCAGTACTCTGACTATGTCACAACTTACTGCACTTCATAAGCAGTTTCTACAAGTGGCACCTAAAGGTAAGAAAAAAATTTCCTTTTCATTTCTGAGCGACTGTTAGTTTTCTACTTAAAATTTAAAATAATTACTGGGAGCTGCTAAACATTACTTCCCAATATTGTTAAAGATTCTGCTAGGTATAAAAGTAAAGTTATAGTGCAGAATATTGAAAATGTGAAATACTAGACTACTTGAAAGCTTTCAATGTCTTTGCTATGAACTTTATATCCTCAAGACCAAATAACTTATTTTCCTCAAAATGGTTCCTCTGTAATACATTTTTAGGAGTGGTATGTATCATTCTTACTTTGCTTAGACATGCCAGTCTTTAACTTAAGAATTCATAGGTCAGTGAACACTGAAACTATATTATTTTAAAAGACATTTCTAAAGTTATTAGTATTTTCATGGAACAATTAAATAGAGCCTTGTATAACTATTAACAGTTGTATTCTTCAAGTCAATGTGTACCAGTTGTTTTGGGTGATTAGCAAGTGTTAACTCAGATACGTATTTTTTTCTCTTTGTATGTTTAACTGTTTGTGTGCCTGCCCTCTAATTCTGGGAACATTGGTCTTAGGATGCTTGAAAATATTTTCTTGCAAAACTTATGTCTACTGTATAAATGCTGCAAAATAATTTAGATAAGGCAGTTTTAAACTGAGATGAAAAATTGTTAAACATATTTGCAGAGAGTTTAATTTCTACCAGTGCTTCATATTACAACTAGAATTTTAGTATGATTGCCACCAAGATTATGAAATAGAATGTGTAAATATAGAATCATAGAATACTTAGGGTTGGAAAGGACCTCAAGATCATCAAGTTCCAATCCCCCTGCCGTGGGCAGGGACACCTCACACTAAACCATGTCACCCATGGCTCTGTCCAACATGTACTTGAACACTGCCAGGGATGGAGCATTCACAACCTCCCTGGGCAACCCATTCCAGTGCCTCACCACCCTTACAGTAAAGAACTTCTTCCTTATATCTAGTCTAAACTTCCCCTGTTTAAGTTTTAACCCATTACCCCTTGTCCTATCACTTCAGTCCCTCATGAAGAGTCCCTCCCCAGCATCCTTACAGGCCCCCTTCAGATACTGGAAGGCTGCTCTGAGGTCTCCCTGCAGCCTTCTCTTCTCCAGGCTGAACAGCCCCAACTTTCTCAGCCTATCTTCATACGGGAGGTGCTTCAGTCCCCTGATCATTCTCGTGGCCCTCCTCTGGACTTGTTCCAACAGTTCCATGTCCTTTTTATGTTGAGGACACCACAACTGCACACAATACTCCAAGTAAGGTCTCACGAGAGCAGAGTAAAGGGGGAGGATCACCTCCTTCGACCTGCTGGTCACACTCTTTTTGATGCAGCCCAGGATATGGTTGGCTTTCTGAGCTGCTAGTGCACACTGAAGCTGGCTCATATTAATTTTCTCATCGACCAGCATCCCCAAGTCCTTCTCCTCAGGGCTGCTCTGAATCTCTTCTTTGCCCAACCTGTAGCTATGCCCAGGATTGCTCCAACCCACGTGCAGGACCTTGCACTTGGCGTGGTTAAACTTCATGAGGTTGGCATCAGCGCTCCTCACAAGCATGTCAAGGTCCCTCTGGAGGGCATTCCTTCCCTCCAGCATATCAACCGAACCACACAGCTTGGTGTCATCGGCAAATTTGATGAGGGCGCGCTCAATGCCACTGTCCATGTCAGCGACGAAGATGTTGAGCAAGACCAGTCCCAACAATGATCCCTGAGGGACACCACTCATTGCTGGTCTCCGGCTGGACACTGAGCCATTGACCACAACTCTTTGTGTGCGGCCATCCAGCCAGTTCTTTATCCACCGAGTGGTCCACCTATCAAACTGATGTCTCTCCAATTTAGAGACAAGGGTGTCGTGTGGTACAGTGTCGAAAGCTTTACACAAGTCCAGGTAGATGACAGCAACTGCTCTACCCCTGTCAATCAGTTCTGTATCCCCATCATAGAAGGCCAGCAAATTGGTCAGGCAGGATTTCCCGTTAGTGAAGCCATGCTGGCTGTCACCAAGCACCTTGTTGTTTTTCATGTGCCTTAGCATGCCTTCCATGAGAATCTGCTCCAAGATTTTGCCAGGCACAGAGGTGAGACTGACTGGTCTGTAATTCCCCGGGTCATCCATTTTCCCCTTCTTGAAAATGGGGGTTATATTTCCCTTTTTCCAGTTGTCGGGAACTTCACCTGACTGCCATGATGTTTCAAATATGGTGGCCAGTGGCTTAGCAACTTCATTTGCCAGCTCCTTCAGGACCTGCGGATGGATTATATAATGACCCATGGACTTGTGCACATTCAGACTTTTAAGATGGTCTCCAACCAGATCCTCTCCTACAGGAGGCCCAAGGTCTTCCTTCTCACAGTCCCTGTGTCTGCTTTCCAAGTCTTGGGTGGTGTGGTCAGAGCCTTTGCCAGTGAAGACAGAGGCAAAGAAGTCATTCAGAACCTCAGCCTTCTCCAAAGCCAGGGTAGCCAGTTCTCCTGAGAGCTTCCTGAAGGAGCCTGCGTTCTCCCTAGTCTGTTTTTTATTTGCTATGTGCCTGTAGAATCCCTTCCTGTTATCCTTAATATCCCTAGCCAAGTTTAATTCTGACTGGGCCTTATCTTTCCTAACCTGGTCCCTAGCTTCCCGGACAGCATCCCTGTACTCTTCCCAGGCCGCCTGTCCTTGCAGGATTATGTACTTTTGGATCCAAGTCATCAGTTTAATGAGGTCACAAAGGCATAATGAAGTTGAATTTAGTTCTTTATTCAGAAATTATTTTCATGTATAATTATGCAGCAATTCCAATTACATTTTGAGCATGATTTTCCTTTAGAGAGGCATGTGATCTTATCTATGGATAGTATTCCATATATAATGCCATGTGAAATTAAAAATCTATACATTTGTAATCATTAGAGGTGAAACGCAGATACCAGTTTGACTGTCATTCCCCTTAAAAGGTTTTCTTTTGCATTTAAGTCATTTATTCATCAAGGTACTTAAAACTAAAAAAAATTTGTCTAATACTAACACTATTGTTCTTGATCTCCAAAGGGATCTAGATGTGCTGCCAAACATCTTAGTCTTCTAATTCTTACTCACCTGAGTGTATGCTTCCTCCTCTGAGCATTCATATTGGAAATCCACACAAATGAGCATGTGAGTTATAGAGTATAGGGCAAATGTGAACAGAATGGATCTACCAGTCTTCTGTGCTGTGTAAATAGCAAAATTCCTAAGGTTGTTTTGAAAATGGAATATTAAGCTCATTTTCTATGACATTATGGAGATTCCATAAAGAAGAATTTTATCTAGCAATCCAAGAAATAAAAGAGTAACAAAGGAGAAAATATGTTGGAAGAAATAAACATGTGAACAGTTTTCTCACAGGATATTTGGTAAATGTCAAAAGGTTGTGTTTTCATTATGTGTTCAAAAATTGCCAAAATTAAAGTAAAAAGTGGTAGTGTTAATATACTTACAAATTGGTTGGTATTTACCAAATATATCTTACAGAATTTGTAAACAGTTTTGTGTTTCCTAGGTATTTAAAGTATTAAAGAACTGCTGGTTCATCACAGACAACTTTATTCTATCCTGAACACTTGGTTCTTCGGGGAAGCACATCACATTACTCAGCATTCTAAACACCGATGGACAAAAAATACAGCCTGTGCTGGACCTTCCTACGTACTGACACAGTCTTTTATTTCATAAGGAAATATTTTAATTATTCTTTTTTTATTCCAAGTGCCATCTCCTAAACTCAGTATTTGGGAGTTTTTTCATTCACAAATGCAGTATTTGTTAATTTCACTAACTCCTTTGATAAATTTGTTAACAGTGCTTTAAAATACTGGCTCAGGAATGTGCTGCTTTTTTATAGAAAGAACTATGGCAGGTCAAAAAAGAAGCTACTAACACTTTTTTTCCTTCTCTTCTACAGTATCTTTGGATATGTTCTGTTCTTATCAACAAGATTAAACTAACCATCCATTAGATTTCATCCTCTTTGATTCCCTTTAACCTTATGCTTCCTATCACAACATATATGGTCAATACAATTAGCACTTACTTGGAATGGCCTATTTTTGTTCTAATGTTGCTCCAGAGAATGTGGTTTTGGTAATGTTTTGCATTAGGAAATAGATGAAGATTCTATCCCAGACCTTTCTTCTTCATTGCACAAGAGAATTTTAAATTTTATTCATTTTTTACAGTCATCATCTTCATGAACGATTCCAGTTTGAACTATAGAACTGATTATTCAGCAGAAATAAATTCCAGTTAGGTTTAAAAAACTTCAACATCAAATATACAAAAATTTTTTCAAGCAAAACATAGAGGACAGCCTATGATTAAATTATGTTGCTATTTTCATATCATAGACTTGTTAACTAAGTTTTTCTGGGTTGCTGGATTTGGAATATGCTAGATAGTCTATTAAAGAGTTCTTCTATTTCAGCTGAAATATTACCTTTTAGTAAAATATTTTGTTGAGTGAAATAGTCAGAATTATATGCTGACCTTGAATAATGTCTACAGATTATGCTTTCTCTTCATAGGCATTTTTGAAGAAAGAATTCAAGACCTTATAGTAGTAATCCTAATGATCTGACTTTGATGTGAATAGAGTGAAGTCATATGTGAGTGTAGAAATAAGTTCATCATCTGTAACTTCACTTTTCTAAGACTGTATTTCTTTATAATGTGCTTTTTTCAAAACTTGAAAATAAGAAAGGTTAAGTTTGTAGACAGAGGAAGTGTCTTTTGCTAGACAAACAAGATAGATAGAAAATGCCTCAGTTTTGGGGATATAAAGCCTTTAATCAGAGATCCAGAATAGATACAACACTTCTTCCCACAAATAATGGAAAATTTGGTAATTCTACTGATTTAGTTTTACTTACACCACCTATTATATCTCTTACTAAATCATGTATGTTATTTAATTTCAGAAATATCTATTTGCCTATAGTGTTTAAAAATCTATGTATCCAATTGCTTTTATGAAACATATTTCACATGTTTGTATATGTTTTTGTGCATTTGAATGTACATATATCAGAGTATTAAGATTTCAGTGGAGGAACTCTCCTTTCCCCTCATTGCATCTGTGCAGAAGCCACCATACCTTATTCTGTGTAATTCTAAATTTAAAATCCCAATTCTGGCTAATTAGTAAATATTGGTGATATAACAGAATCAGTAATAATTGGTGAATAAATAAAGTGAAAGTGGCCTGTAGACGCTGATGAGTGTCTCAGTATCTTGGAGGGAGTGAATCATATTTTCGAGACTCCTGTCCTTTTTTATCTAAGCACAGAAGTGTCTCATACGAATAGCTCTTAAACTGTTAAAATTAGATTAATATAATTCAGACTCATGTTTCTTTCACTCATTCATCCCTTACAGTGTTGCTATGAGGCGCAGAACTTGCAGAGATCATCATCCAAAGTTCAAGTCAGGAATTGCTATGGATTTATTTTTCTCAGTGAAAATTGAGGGGAGTAGGAATGTTTAAATGTCTTTGTAAATTTTTATTAAAAGAAGATAAAATGGTAAAATAACTATCTCTACTACAGGTTTACAGTTGCTTCATATTTTGTCATAGAGTCATAGAAACATAGAATAGTTAGTGTTGGAAAGGACCTTAAGATCATCTAGTTCCAACCATCCACCATGAGCAGGAGCGCCTCACACTAAACCATGACACCCATGGCTCTGTCCAGCCTGGCCCTGAACACCGCCAGAGATGGAGCATTCACAACTTCCCTGGGAAACCCATTCCAGTGCCTCACCACCCTCAACAGTAAAGAACTTCTTCCTTACATCCAATCTAAACTTCCCCTGTTGAAGTTCTAACCCATTACCCCTTGTCCTGTCACTACAGTCCCTAATGGAGAGTCCCTCCCCAGCATCCTTACAGGCCCCCTTCAGATACTGGAAGGCTGCTATGAGATCTCCATGCAGCCTTCTCTTCTCCAGGCTGAACAGCCCCAACTTTCTCAGCCTATCTTCATACGGGAGGTGCTCCAGTCCCCTGATCATCCTCGTGGCCCTCCTCTGGACTTGTTCCAACAGTTCTGTGTCCTTTTTATGTTGAAGACACCAGAACTGCACACAATACTCCAAGTGAGATCTCACAAGAGCAGAGTAGAGGGGCAGGATCACCTCCTTCGACCTGCTGGTCACTCTCCTTTTAGAATCATTGAATCATAGAATAGTTAGGGTTGGAAAGGATGTTAAGATCATCTAGTTCCAATCCCCCTGCCATGAGCAGGGACACCTCACGTTAAACCATGTCACCCAAGGCTCTCTCCAACTTGGCCTTGAACACTGCCACGGATGGAGCATTCACAACTTCCCTGGGCAGCCCATTCCAGTGCCTCACCACCTTTTGATGCAGCCCAGGATATGGTTGGCTTTCTGGGCTGCGAGCACACACTGAAGCCAGCTCACGTTAAGTTTCTCATCAAACAGCACCCCCAAGTCCTTCTCCACAGGGCTGCTCTGAATCTCTTCTCTGCCCATCTATCATCTGTGTAAATTTATAATTTGAATCTCTATTCCAGTTCCTTGGTTTAGGGAAATGTTTTCATACAGTGCCTGCTGACTGGTTTGTCATTGAGTGTCTTTTGTATATGTGTGCCTTATAACTGAAGCATGTTGATTGTTTTTTTATCCTTGTGTCCCTTTAGATGTCACAGTCCTAGTTCACAGGGTAGACGTTTAGTGTATGCTTATGCTGCTGTCATTCTTAAATGCTCTCTTTCGAATGCTAGTTTTTCTGTTTTCAGTTTGAGTAGTGTTCACATCTTTATTTCCTCATTAAGGTGTTTTGGGTTTTTTTTCATATTTATTTGTTATGTTTCTGCACTGTTTATGTAAATATAAGTGCTTGTCTACGTCACCTTGTGTACCACTGAATGATACTTTAAAAAGAAAGAAAACCAATTCTACTTTGTGTAGCTTTTTCTATATTAGTTTTCCTTTTGATTTCACTTATGGCAAACTTTTATGTGAAAAAGAGTTCTATTCACAAGTAGTGCAGGCTGGCTTCCTTTTGTATTCTGTGTTCTTTCACTCGTGCCATTGCAACAAATCACGCCTTTTCCTCCTACTAGTCCATCTCCTGTTTCTTTCCATGTTTATTAGTCTCATTTATTGAAAAAAAAGAAAACACAAAAAAAACCAAACAAAAAAACAACCCTCCCCCTCCCAACAAAACAAAACCCAAATACTAAACCAAACCAAACTGAAAACCCCCCATGTCATCCTACCTCTGTGTTTTGTCTATATAGCTATGTTGCACTGGGTGCTGTGTGTGCGGTCTGAAAATGAGATTAGGCATTATGCATGTTGGCCATAGAGTGGATAAAAGCTTGTCATCTCCCTGGTTTTTCCTCAGCATGAGTGTTATAAGGATCTTTCTCCTGTATCTTGGAGCAGATCTGAAAGCAATTTATAAGACCTTCGTAACTCTAGCCTACTGACAAACTTGGTTCAAATTCGCCATTCTAAAATTATCAGGGAGGGAGAACTGGTAGACAGACAAATTGATTTAGAGAAACACAGGCAACACATCTGCATAACCTTAATTACTTAGGTAAGCATGGTAAGAGTATGTTTGAGAGAGGATTTGTAATGAGTATAATCATAGTTTAGATGGATTAAAGAGATGATCTGATGATTAGTGACTCTTAGCTATGTATTTACTGTTTTCACGCACTGTAAGATATGATGTCTTTCTAAAGGTGCGTGCTACTGATCACTTATTTTATACATTTTTACACACAATGTCCCAAACATCTTTTTCTAAGGTTTAAATCCTTGTGTTTTGAAATTAAAAAAAATTCAAAACTTGAAAAAGGTGGTATCATTGGAGGTCCATTTTACAGGGAATCTCATCTCTGACAGTGGCTCACAGAATCTGCTCCAATCCCCATTTTTCTAATCAACAGCAAATTTCTACAGGTGCCTATACACCTCAAGAAGCAGTGATCACGACAGAGGTGCTACAGTGATTTTTTTTCCTTCACCCTCTGACTTCTGCAGTTGCAGATCCGTTAATCTTACCCCTCCACTCACCCTTTTTCACCTTCTCTTGCAGTTTTCTGCCTGGCTGATATTAGAGAAGATTTTAATCTTTACCACAAGTTAAGAATGCTTCTCCTCTCTTTTTGGTCCTGGGTAGGGTACTTGGGCATGTGCCAGGAAAAGCTTCTGTAGTCTAGTTGTTTCTGCTGTCCATGTGAATTACAGCTGCTACTTCAAATGTAAAGTTGTTCAGAAGAATCTCTCATAATGGAAATGTATTTAAACTGCATATTCCTAACATTTTTTAATAATGGCCTTTCAGGATGTTCGGAATAGAATGGGGCAGGCAAACTGTCATTTTTACGACAAGGGGAACAGATAGTTCTCGCATTGTCTAATGCATATATGAAAATTTACCTCTTTTGTAAAATAGAAAAGAGTGTGGTATAAAGACTTTCTTAAGACCTTTTAATACATCAGAAGTGACTTTTCTTTTGGTGATTAGCTGAATGTAGATGTTAATTTTGTCTCTTCATGTATGCATTACAGTAAGGAGGGGGTGAGTCAGATTGTTTCTAGGCCATTTGCTCAGTGCTTTTCTTCTGCTATTTCCCTATCAATAGATTTCTTGTTGTATTGCCTTAGTCGTGCATGGAATTTGTCTTAATTATTTGACTGCTTTCCTTGCAAAGTATACTTTATGGCAACAGTGTACAAAAAGAACCATCAAATTACTTTCAAAGGTAGAAGATTCACTAGCTCTAGGGATAGAATTAAAAAAAAAAGTCAGCTTATGGCATTTACTCCTACAAAATACAAGAATGACCATCTTGAGAACAATTTGTGAAATTAATGTTGAGAACAATCTCAATACTTTGAGAATGTTTCAAATTTGAGGAACAAAATGTGAAGCTTTTCAAAACAATAAAATCATTCTGTGGATATATATATATGTATAAAATAATTCTGTGGAGATATATATAGATACATATATATATATATTAAGAAGAGCCAGTCAGCTACATATGCCATAGAACGTCTTAATGCATTTTGTGATTCGTATAGGATTATGTATTTATGGACTTGCTCCAAGTTACCTTTTCTGATAATGTCAGGTGTTGTGGGCATTGTAACAGGTTTGTGACTTCAGTAATATGTTCTTCAGACATTCTGCCTGAAAGACCATTCTGACTTCTACCCCGTCACTGTTTTCCTCTGTTTCTAAAATAGTATTGATGCTGCTGCAGTTTACTGGTTGCATATTCTGACAAACTTCTGGTAGTCAAAAGGAAATTGGAATCAAAACAGACCATTTCTTACAAGGGTCCTAGGTAGCCTCCAAGTGATTTAAGAGTAGATCTCAGATTTCCCTGTTCTCTTGCTGTTTATTGCAAGTCACAGTCTAGTCCCAAATTAACAGAACAAATGTAGATGAAAAAAGAAAACAAAACAAAAAAAAAAAAGATAATTTATTAAATAAAACCTATTTTATATTTAGTTGTTTCTTTTTAAATTATAGCCATAAAAGCACTGAAGCAATTCAAAAGAAAGAGTAATTCTTCTAGCAAGAGAGAAGTTGGTGACAGAGGGAAAGAGAAGAAAGATTTGGAACATCAGAGAACAAAGAGGAATCTCCACTTTCCAAAAATATGGCTAACAAAATACTCCTGGTTAAAATATGATGGTGAAAGGGGAATAATGTTTTGTGCACCATGTCGTAAGCATAATGTAGATTTGGGGGAAAACATTCATAATTTTTGTTCTGGCACTGATGATTTCAAGCTGGAATTTATAAACACACACCAGAGTAGTGAAGCTCATGCCTGGGCTACCTGCATGGAAGCTGCCACTACTGCGTCACCACATACAGATTCTGCTGAGCAGATGTTGAAGTGCATGAACTCCATAACATTAGGTAGAGTAGAAAATATTTTTAGAACATGCCATGCTATAGCTAAATCTGGTCATCCCTTTACAGACCTTGACTGGATGTGCAAACTAGATGATATGAAAGGAGTGGATATTGGTTCTGTATTTAGAAATGACAAGTCAGCAAGAATGTTTATACATTTTATTGCTGAAGTGGAAAGAAGAGCTTTGAAAGAGAAATTGGAGAAATGTAAATTTTTTTCTGTTATTAGTGATGGAGTCACAGACAGTATACTAAAAAAGGCTGCAGTCGTCTACGTGCGCTTTGCAAATGAGGGAAAAGTCCATTGCCAGATTGTTGGGGTACAACCTGTTCACAAAACTGATGCTTCAACCATAAAAAATGCAATTGAGCAAACATTACAAATAAATCTTCAGCTCAGCCTTGCAAGCCAAGACTGGTCAAGAAAATTAGTTGGGTTTGGAAGTGATGGGACAGGTGTCATGGTAGGAGAAAACAGTGGGGTAGCTAAACTCCTGAGGGAAATTCAGCCTTGTATACTGTCTCTACGTTGTTTTGCTCACCACCTAAATCTGGTTTACAAAGAAGTGCTGGAAAATGTGCAGCTGTACAACATCTTAATCAGCCTCCTGAGAAATATGTATTACTTTTATCATAACTCACCGCTAAATAAGAATAATCTGAAAGCCACGTATGAAGCCATCAAATTACGCCCAGCTATTCCTTCTCGCATTGGAGGCTCCCAGTGGCTTCCTCGTCTACAAACAGCTCTACAAATTCTCCTTAAAGGTTATCCTGCAATTGTTCTACATCTGAATAAGGTAAATAATTTAATATTTGGATGTAACTTAAGGAAAAATTAATTGCTATAGCTAATTTTGGTCCACATACCTGATATTTTCTTTTCCTATATTGATTTCCAGATTGAAAGAGATTCAACAGCCTCAAACCAGCAGAAAGTCAAAGGTCTTTTGCACCTCCTTCTGAAAATGGAGATAGTCAAGTTTTCTCACTTCTTGTTGGATGTCATCAATGTGCTCAATATTCTGTCATGTGTTACGCTGGATCACAACTCCTCCATTGCAGATATATTTGCAACTGTACAGTTAACATTGGAAACACTCCACATGTATCAAACAAGGTCTGGCATTTCTAACTGAAAGATGATCTCTTAGAATATAATAAAAGAGGATTACATATTGGTTTGTATTCTGTATCTTTCAGAGCTGGACCAAAGGAACGCCTAATGGAGACTCTTCAGCTCTTTCATGGTTATCAGCTTATTGGAAATGGAAATATTTCAGCAGTACGAACCAAAGTACTACATGGTCTGGTGAATAGGCTACGTGATTGTTTTTGCGATGCAAGTCAAGATGTTCTGAGAGCAACTACTATTGGAAGTTTTAAACTGTGGCCTAGCAAAATGAAACAAGGTGTAGAACTGTAAGAGTGTCTATTTGAAGTGCCTTCTAAACTTCTTAAAAGCATAAAAACATTTTTGCTTTGCCTCTGTTACAGAATTTGGTGAAAAGGAAGTGTCTGTCTTGATTAAACATTATGAAGTCATACTAGAAGCTGCCAGTGTGGAAACAGGTGAAGTAGAAACTGAATGGAGCATGTTGAAATCAGAACTATATGAGAGGTAAGAAAAAACCTACATTTGTATCTGTTTACTCAAAAGGATTATGTAACTATATTTAGTGATAGTTAATTATATTTTGTACCATGCTTTTTAGATTTCAGAACATCCAGAATTTGACATGGGATTCCGTGAACTCAGATTATTCAAAGAAGTATCCCAACATCCTGATGTTGGTAGATTTGATCCTAACTCTGCCAGCAAGCTCAGCTGTAACAGAGAGAGGCTTCAGTCAAATGAAACTCAGCATGATGCATTTACACTCTAAACTAAGGTCTGAAAGTGTGACAGATCTTATGATAATTCAGATGAACTCTCCAGATATCAAAAAGTTTGACCCCCAGAAAGCTATTCATTTGTGGAATGCTACTTGGCAGAGAAATAGAAGACAACAGGAAGGTGACAAATGATGACAAATCAAAAACCTGATTACTCCTCTTGAGTTTGATTTGCAGACTCTTTTTTTTATTTCACAGTCTTCTTGTGACATACATGGACACTTTAAATGAATACCTGCCATGACTAATGAGTGTAAAATTTGTATTTTTTCCATAATGAATTATAATGTTAAAATACAGCTTTTCTTTATGTTCACTGCGGAATCACCAGTAGGTGTTTACATTTATCCTTCTATAAACCGAAGACAATTGAAAAATAATGGAGTACCTTGTTACCTTGGCAACATTTGGACAGAGGGATGACTGTCCAACTTCTGTGTAACTGATCCTAACTTCTATCTGATTGTTTATTGCATTTAGCTGAGTCACAATGCATTATAACCACTGGGGTTAACTGTCATCTCAGTCTTCGGTCGTTCAACAAGCTCCATAGACTCTGAAGCCCCACGTTTTCTTTTCATAAATGTGTGAAAAATCAGTGCCTTATTTCTGTCAAATGACTGCTTGAGCTCTGTAGCCTATGAAGTTTGGGTCATACCTTCTCTCTGTATCTGTTTGTGTTGCTACTTCTTACTCGCCTGTGGATATAGTTTTAAAATGACCTTTCATAGATTTTTGTCAGACTTGTTCTGCAGAAGGAAGTCCTCTCCCACAGATCCATTTTGCATTGCTGATTATTTATTGCACATGTCAGTCTTCCCATAGCAAATACTCTTACAGCCAAAATATGACTAATATACTTCACAACTTCAGCCACTTTTTTCCCTGTAAAAATATTTGTAAGGGTTACAATAAGAATGCTCTATCTTAATTTTTCATCTAGAAGTTGAGAATGAGAATTGTTTACAGAAGCATCTGATTTTGTAATTTTGCATGTTGTGAATGCAACTTCCTACTTTATAATTTCCAACGAATGTAAAGCACACCAGCAGAATATATTTCCACCGTCAAGGAAAAATCATTGATTATATCAAAAGATAGCTAAAGTGAAATCATTCTTAGTTCTTCCAGCAGCAGTGAGGATGAAATAGAATAATCTGAGAGAAATCTGAAGGTGAATGACCTCACATTATCACTTTCAATATAAAACATGTCTAGTAATTGCAGAAGACATGCTATGCTATGCTATGCGTACATATTTAGTCTTTTTCTGTGTGTCTTGCATGTATATTTGTGCTACTTCTAGGTCTGAACATTATGTCAGAAATAGAGTTGGCATTGAATGAATCCCTTGTTAAAGGATGTTAGTCCGTTCAAGTAGAATTAATCTGTAGGCATGAGAAAAAGATATCAGTACTATGAGTTATATGCTTGTTTATAGATAACAAAAAGTGTTTAATTATGTTTCACCTAATAAGTAACAGAGTATGTGTTATACGGGATACCTTATTAGATACGTGGAATTGCTAGTTCTAAGGTTTTTCTCTTTAATCACATAATACCCAGATTTTCCCCTCGAAGTTTTCAAATCGGAAGATTTTAACTATAAAGAGACTAGAAGAAGTTTGAAATGTGTCTCCAGAATGTTCCAACAGCAGAAGACATAAGTAACAAACAAATGTTTAGAATCTATAACACTGAAATTGCTTCCATGATGCATGGGGCAGCATCACATTTTTAGTATTAGGGTTGAAGATAATCATAGAATAGTTAGTATTGGAAAGGACCTTAAGATCATCTAGTTCCAGTCCCCCTGCCAGGGGCAGGGACTCCTCACACTAAACCATGTCAACCAAGTCTCTGTTCAACCTGGCCTGGAACTCCGCCAGGGATGAAGCATTCATAACTTCCTTTAACAATCCATTCCAGTGCCTCACCACCCTTACAGTAAATAACTTCCTCCTTATATCCAATCTAAATTTCCTCTGTTTAAGTTTTAACCCATTACCCCTTCTCCTACCACTACAGTCCCTAATGAAGAGTCCCTCCCCAGCATCCTTACAGGCCCCCTTCAGATACTGGAAGGCTGCTATGAGGTCTTCCAATAGTCTTGTCTTCTCTTCTCCAGGCTGAACAGCCCCAACTTTGGAAAAGACCTTTAAGATCATCAAATCCAACCATTAATGAATGCATTGCCCTTGGAAAAATGCTGGCAAAATCTTAGTGTCATAACAAGTAGTTGGAAATGGATATCAAGAAGTCATCCATGTCTGAAAATGGGATCAAATTTAGTTAGAAAATCTATATGCAGTATTTGCCCTCATTGTTTTTTCATAAGCTTTTAAAATAGTGCACTGTAGAATGTGTGGTTTGTTTTTCTTAGTGCTTTGGTGTCCTGATTACATGGCTCTTTATCAGTCTCTGAAATATTTTGCTGCAAATTGTTTCCTATCATTCTTCCTAACTGCAGCTATGGAGAGGGAGTTATCCTCTCTAACTAACTTTTAGTGCTGAATTTTCTGGTAACATTCCTTTCATAGATGAAACTAGGAGAATTCCTTCAACCTTGCTCTTAGGACCTATTTTCTAGGCCTGTGATGACTCTTATTGCTTTCTTCTGGGCACTCTTTAGTTTCCATACTAGATCTGCAAATTCCAAAATTATATGCCAGCAGAGGCCTTAACAGATTAAAAGAATGCACAAGTTATTTCCAGTGTATGCCCATCTACTTTCTGGCAATATTATAATTTGCCATAAACCCAAGAGCCTTTCCTATAGGAATTTTACATTGGCAAAAAGATCCCCATTGTCACGTTTATGCAGTTCATTATTTCATCCCAGTGTGGCGCTTTATTTTTATTCTTATTGTATAGTGTCATTTTTATCCTAGAGTGTATCTCCAATTTGTATGTAAAGTTCACTATGAATTCTAATCCTGTTTCCAATGTGATTGAAGTCTTTTCCCGCTTGTTTTCATCTGTAATGTAGTAAGTGGATTAATTTGTGCAGTCTGTTTCCTCAGAGTACTTGGGTGTGTTTCCAGTGAAATGTACTGGGTGATCTTGAACATCTCTCTGGTATTTCAAAATATTGAATTCTGATATTTTTTCAAATATTTGCTAACCCTTCTAATTAAAAGTGTTTGTACACATTTAATAAGTTTATTTTCTATTCAGTCTCCTACATTATTCAACAAAAACCCACTGGGTGGTTTGGTTTCTTTTTTTTTTTTAGAAATTAAATTAATGAATTTAAATTAAATTGATGAATCATCTTTTGTCTTGTCATACAATCAGATATTCAAAACCAGTTACATGCTCTGTAATATAAAACCAAATACATTAAACTGAGACAAAATAACAAAAAATACATTGAGCAAAGTTATTTGATACCTTTATCACGTGTTTATGATGGATTTCATCTCTCTCTGAGACTTCCTCATTCCTCCTAAGTACTTCATGAGGAGGAATTAGGTCACACCCAATTTGAAGTTTTTGAGCTATTATAACTTTTTGAGGACACTTTGAAATTGACCCACATGTGGTATTTCAAGAGGAGGTAGTAAAGAAAAAGAAATTGCCCTACAGCATACCAGCAATTCTGTAATTAATAGATTGAAAGTAATTTAGCCCTGAGAGAGTTGTTTCTTCACACTTAAAGAAAGAAAATTGGTCAGACACTGCAGATCACCTGACAGTGCTGCCATAGGCTTACAGCAACTAATACCAAATTTACCTGAATACTATGTTCTAGCGTGTTCTACAGTCCAGAGTTCTATAAAATGTGATTAGTGTTTTAGTCTCTGATCCTTTAATTCCATTTTAGACATTCTCTTTATTAATAATTCAAGTTTTTTAATTTCTTTGCTCCTCAAACACCTCTTAGATATATTTCTGAAGTCATGTAGCTTCATGAAAAGTGACATGAGGATATTAATACTGTTTTAGGGTTTTGGTGTTGTTTTTTTTTGCAGTAGAACAAAATTCAGTTTTATTTAGGAATACAGAAACTCACAGGAAATACAGTAACAGCATTTTCTGTTGTCATATAGGGAAATCAGAGTAGGAATTGAACAGCTTAAGCCATAAGGTAAAGTGACAGAAAAAAGGGATCAGATGTGGGAAGGGAAATCTTTAGTAAAGCATGAAATATAAACTACAGTAGCTGGGCTTTTCATGGTAAAGCACTAGAAAACTTGATATGGCAAATAAGATTTAATAATTTTCCTGTTATTTTAATACAAAGTTTTCATTGGCTTCTTAGTGGCCCATAGCCTGTTCTCTCCATGAACCACTAAAATGTTTCATGGTTTATTGAATGTTCTATGAAGCCTTCCAGTAATGATACCTCTGTGAGGCAGGCTGTATTGTGCTTTCTGGAAATCATCTGATCCTTGTGGCTTGAGGTTCTCATCAAAATACAAGTCTCTGGTTACTTTAAAATTATTAAATCAGCAGTGCAAGGTGCTTCAGTAAATAGCAAATGATTTATCGCATGGTGTTCTTTCTGAAAGTAGGTAACACAAAATCCTCCAAGGGGTGGTATCAGAGCACTGTTATCAGCCTCCCAGTGTTTTTGCCAGTTTTTACTTTCATGCTGAAATTTATGGTGGGACATAAGGCTTCAAGTCCAGGTGTTTCCCCCTTCTTGTTCTCCCAACAAACTTTAAGCTTCCCAAATCTATTCTTTTACTTTTCTTTCTAAACTTACATATGTACTGGATTTATCTGCTGCATTAAGATGTGCTGAGGGCATTACTTCTGATTTTCCAAGTTGAAGGCAAACATGTCTACAGAGATTGTAGACTATTAATTCAAATTGGCAACTTGAAACGTGAGTTTGGATACTGACATTATGAAATTAATGTCATACCACTTAATTTCTTCTTAATAAACTTAACATATTTCACTTCTCTACTCCGAAGAAAAGTTGTTCACCATAGAATGTGTACAGCTGTGCCTTTTCAAAAGGGCAAGTTTGGCCGTAAAACGGAGAAAAAAAAAAAAAAAGTAAGTCCTTCCAGTATTTCACTTTACTGTGTTTGCTCTAAAGGTAATCTGAAAATTTACTTTTTTGACACTATTTCAGTGATTATAACCTGACCAAATCAGCTTTGTCTCTCAAAATTTAGATAATTTGAAACTAATTTTACTTTTTTTTTTTTTTGTCATTAATGCAGAGATTTCCCAGTAAATCCTCACTAAGTCAGCAATGTCCACTTCTGAAAGAAAAGACCCATATAAGTCTGTTAAATGTTGGTACACAGTTTTGTGTTATAATGTTGTGCATGGAATTTGAAGATACTATTTGCATATAAGCAAATCTCTATCTAAAAAAATAAATAGGTCTTGTTGCACCTTTTTTATCATGATTTCTGTAAAATAAAATTGACTGACGTGGTTATAATTCCCACAAGACAATTCTAAGAAGCCTTTTAAGCGATTCAGTTTTGTTTCAAAGTCTAACAGACAGCAATTCATGTTTTCCATCCTTTTCTCTAACAGGATGCTTACTTTCAAGACTAGAGATAGATTTATGATTCATTAAAATGGCACAGTGAAATAAAATGCTAGTAGAATGTGTATTTGATTTGTATTCATGAACTGCTCATTTACTGTCAGTGTAGACTGCATCAGTATGGGTTAGTGACCACAATGCAGATGAGGAAAGTATCAAAAGGATTGCAGTGTATTGGAGTATTAATTATTTGCATATTAGAAAGGCCACATATGTTTACTTTAAATGAGAATTCTGTGTTTAGTTTGAATGATACTACCACTATCAACAGTACGTAATAGCAAAATAAAATATTTTCCCATATGGCCATTGAAATAAAAAATAGATTCCATCTAACAAAAAAAGGTCATTTAAAATTATAAATATTATTTTTTATATTGACTTTCTTTTATTAGGTTTTATACAAAAGAAAGAATTTATTGACGCATTTATTGACATGATTAATTTAAATCTTGGAGCAAATTGCCTTCCTGATGCATGGATGAATTTAACACTTCCACGCGTAAGTTTACTACTATTTTCATTTCAACTGAAGTGTTGGTTTGTGTAGGAGATGCAGCATTGTCTTTACTATCATAAAGTCAAGAGTATAACTATTATAGTGTTATCACTTTGTCCGTAAAATTCTTCTGTTTCACTAGTGAAAGATTCTGGAAGCCACTGTAACAGAAATAAAATGCTTTTGTCAGCACTATGTTTGTTTTCAATTTTCAATTTCTAGCAGTTCCTTAGAAACCATACAAAAATAATTTCCAGGAGTTAAAAGGAAACTGCTTATGTTCTTCATTCCAAGACAGGAGAATAAAATCTGTAGCTGTATGACCTTAAACTTATTTAATCAATTTTTTTTCTGATTTAGGAACATGGAAATTTATAGTTTAATCTTGCCAAGTCTTCCACCAGTGAATATTCTTATTAATTTTACTTCCAGGTATTGTTGGTAAGCCTGTAAGCCTATGGAAAGGTTTACTTGTTTTAGCATATTTTTTATCATTATTTCTGTCAGTAAGCCATGATTCACATTAAGGTTTTATTGCATTTTACATGAGGGGAAACAGCTTTATTCAAATGTTTTGCACACACATGAACAGCATGAGTAAACCATTTGAAAGTTTCTGAGCAGGATTCCCACTGAGTTTAATAAAAACTGAGCACAGCTATCATCATCAGTATATAAAAATCTAATTTTAGCACAGGAAATTCATTATAGGGGAAAAATATGAGTCAAAGATTGTGTGTTAATAGGTCACATGGGCATATATCCCATGTTCTTTATTCTTTGAGAACTTTTAGTGCTTATAAGTACTATTTTAGATTTTAAAATGTACTTTCCTTCCTTAAAAGCACCATTTTAAAATGAGACTATTAGATTTATAGTGGAAGCCAGAACTTACATACAAAAGAAAGTGCATGGTGTGTAAGCTAAGGTCCACATTTATTCTGCACAAGCTGTTCTGCATTGAACTCCCCATTTCATAATTGTGTGACATGATAGAATTTCCAACAAGTTTTGGAATTATAATAAGCAGTACTGTACCTGCCAATCTTGGAGCAGTTGACATCTACAGTATTACCAAATTGTTTCAGTCTGTGTTGCCTCAGGCCCTAATTCCTGAAAAAATATTGCTTTCTTCTTGAACTCCAGTCTGGAGCAAACCAGGCACTTCCCTTGACAAGGAAATCTGGCTGCAGGGCAAAAGTTAGTGTAGAAGTACACAGCAGGGTCTCAACACACCAGTAGTGCAGAAATAAACTGCCAATTTTTTTCTCTCTACCAGGTACAGCCTTTGCTATGCTGTGTCAGGAGACTTTATATGTATTCTATGTGTGTTCTGTACCCCACTTTGCTACCCACTTCTTCAGTGGTAAAAAGACACATGCAGTGTCTTTTCACTACTACTTTTTCTAACTGAAAATAATGCTGGAGCAGGGGAAAGCCATGTGGTGTTCACCTGTAAGAGTAAGCAACATAGAGCCAAAGCACAAGCCCAACCATTTACTAGATTCTGTACATGTGCTGCTAAATTGTCAGCTCCGTTTTTAGTACTCTCCCAGGTGGAGCATAGTTCAGGAGTTAGCATGTACCAAGGGCTGTTACTTCATAGGCAGTTTAGATACAGACCCCTCTTGAGACAGCTGAGTATTTATTTAGAGGGATATCAACTACACGTACCAATTGGCCTCAGTGATGGACAGTGGTCTGCGACTTGTTTAGTGATACATGTCCTTTATTCATCTTTGAAATCTCACTGCAGATGTCCTGTGCATCCTCACCAGGTAAAAGACCAAAGTATACAAAGCATATTGAAAGAGTATGTTTATGCAAGCATATTTGACAGTAGTAATTGTTTTTTTTTGTTTATAGTTACAAAATTTGGCATCTGCATTCTCAGTGAACTCAGAACTTACTGACTGGCGCAGATTCTTGCTAGCAGCAGCACAGCCTTGGCCAGTACCATCTGTGACACAACTTCTTGAAACGCTACACAGCTTCAAGTCTCTTGATGTAGCTGGATCAGGCTTTGTTACACAGGAACACTATATGCAGGTTGTAATTATTTTCTTTTTTGAATAATATTCTTTCATTAAACTCTGAATTAAATGGTGCATTATTTGGTTTATTCACATTCAGAAAGTCAGTCTGAATTTTAAATGTTTTGGGGTTTGAGGGTGCTTTCTAGTGTCTTCAGGAAATTGAAGGCCTAATATCCATGTTATCCATAGTTCCACAAATCAGGCTAATTAAGCTTACTTTTTACTTCCATTTCCTACTTCCCCCAAAGTAAATTTCAAGTGAAAATCCTTCCTGTTCAAAAGAAACTATTCTGTGAGCATTTTGACTACTATTAACTTACTTAACAGCATTGCATAGTTCACCAGTGTTTTTCAGGAAACAATTTTAGTGAAAGGGTACTAAGACTACATTTTTATTCCTTTAGCAAAATTCTGCTTATTAAATTTTCACTTGCTTTTACTTTAGATTCTTAATCATGTTTTGGATGACTGCCGGTTCATTCATTTAATGCATACTAGCTATATGTATCATATATTTGTAGATACAGATTTATGTAGGTAGATATATATATATGTCAGTTTCAGAACTACTGTCAACAGTTTAAAACTTCCAGGAGTGCCTGCCAAGCCCTACATACCTGAAAGTTGCAAAGAAACAAGTTCTGCAAAGCCAGAAGCCCCACAAAATGTGCAAGTCTATCTGTATCTATTAGAGTGATGCAGATTATTTAGTGATGCATGTTATTTATGGATGTGGTGATTTTTACTGAAGAGTTAGAGCTTAAAAATAAGCTAACAGTTACAAGACACGCAGACTGTGAATGCAAATTTATAACACAGGATCCTAGTTCAAATATAATATTAACTGAGCAATAGAATATTAACTGAGTGATTAATTTACTTCCGGATTGGAGCTTGCTCATATTCAGCTAATGATAGTAAATATGCAATGGTGTATGCTAATTTGTTTATAGGCTTATCCTCTTTTAATTCTTCGAGACTTTCAGTAGAGTGATGACTCTGAACCTACAGTCTATATAGTGGCTTAAAGACTAAAAAGGACTAAAATGTTCATAAACACACAGGTAGCTCCACAGCTATTTTTATGAGAAGAGAACTATATCAGCAGGCACATAACTTAGGTGCATGAGAGAATGTTATGGGAACCTCCAGGGACTATCCAAAGCAACTCAGTTTAACAGCCTGCATTGCTTGGAAGGTTTGCTGTGAAACCAATTCATATTGAAAAGAAAAGTTGTAATGTCTGTCACCCCTATTTCATTTTTGAAAATATGACCAAAATATTCTTCACTTAAAGCCTCATTAAAACCTTGTATATCTACTGTTTATGAGTAAATATACAAGGTCCTAGACTTCATGTTACTGACAGTACTGTGACTTGGAAATTTTTCATATAGAATTATGAGAAGAACAAGAAGAGAATTTTTCAGACCTAAGTAAAATTTAGTCCTCTAGTTTAAAATTAACTGATGAGGAACATCTGATTTTTCTTTTATTGGAATATTTTTTGTACCCTTTTGGACCAGTTTATGGCAAATTTTATGAGATCAATGCCTGTTTAATTTTTTCTTATTCATTTCTTTCTTGAAAAAATGATGATTCACTTCCTGTGGAACATAGTGCACCAGAAAATTAATGGATCATTGCAGTGCATAAAATTAAGGAAAGAACAATAGCAGAGAGTTACCAAAATTATTGTTTATCAAGTGTTATCATTGATATTATAATTAGATCATGTACAGCAAACCATCTGATCTGTTTCTGGTAAAGATTTCAAAGACAACATGAAGTCTTTTGTCTTGTTACTAATTTGTTCAGTTTTCCCATATAACTCACATAAGAATACAGCAGAAAATGAGCTTTATTAAGTTCTTTTCCTTTCTGAAAATCTCTTGGAACTTCCTGATTTGTTGTATTTCGTTGTCTTGCTTTGTAAAGAAAACACATAGTAATGCAATATTTTATATAATCATGAATCTAGTAATTCACCTAAAATGCGAAAAAGGATGTTGCTAATGAAATTTATAGCTTTATTACAATATTTTAAGTTAATGCCTACACAGAAAGACTATTGCATCTTGTTAACAACTGTGATTCATGAAGATTTCCAATTATTTTAAATATTTTATATTAGTCTATTAATATAATACGGAACATAGATTTTTTTCATATGTTAAAATCTTTCAATAAGAATAGTAACAAACTTTATTCTCTGTTTAATGCTGAGACTTGCGTGCATTCAAGATGTTTATTTATTTTATTTTACTGTATTAACAAGAAACAATGACAAGCATGTTCATTAAGAATAACAGGAAGAACCTTTCACTGGGAATTTGAGATGCCCCAGCTGGCCCCTCTTTCTGCATCTGTATTAGTAAACTACACAGTGCTAGGGAACACTGCAGGTAATGGTACTCAGCTGTCCATACTTTGATGTTGTTTACATGTTAAACCTGGCTTGGTTTAACATGCACGAGTTCCAAGCAAGTGAGATTTTCTGTAGGCAGTCTGTTCGTGGCCATCCTGTTTTAGAAGGTAAGGTCTAGCTGGTATTTCATGTGTGTTTGGTCTAGTACTGGAGAACTGGTTCTGGGCACAGCTGTAGGTATAGCCCTGCAGGCTTACAGGACACTTTGTCTTCTTGTTGAGAGCAAGCAAGCATGGGAAGGGCCATGACTCTGGCCTTTATTATACTGAGGTGTGTGGACAGTTTCTTCCAGAAGTACAGCTAGGACAAAAGCTATGATGTAGCAAAGAATGCCCTAAAAGGATGAAACTAGAACACACATAGAACTCGGCATCATATTCTGTTTCTTGGGTAGTGTAGATTTACACCTACCTAGTTCATTTGCACTTTTTTCAAGGGCATAGAGTCATTCCTAGCTTACTCTGTTTTCAGTAATTCCCAAAGTATCTGTTACAAAGTACAAACAGCTCCTCAATTATTCTGGTGTCAGTGTATCTTAATAACAAATTCAGCCTGATTAAGTTCAGGAATTAAGCTCTTAGTTACCTGTCGAACAGTTATAGAGCATGAAGACTAATGTATTTCATTGTGTAAAAATAAATTACTTTTTTTTTTTAATCAGGTTGGTTTATGGTTTAATGGAAATGAAGATGTAAGCATAACAGAAAGTTGCACAGAACCTTTGCCTTTAGATAGGCTAAGAGAGCTCATAAAGGTAACTTTAAAAAACAGGTCTTTTGAAGAGACCACTCACTATTCTAACTAATGGGTATCATTAAATGCTTCTTGGGTCTTTTTTTTTTTTCCGTAACTGCTGCAGTTTTTCAGTGGTTTTTAAGGATAGGTGGTGCCTCAAAGTATGATTTCCATGTATAAAAACCTCAAAGTTTTTAAATAATGTAGAAAAGAATTGAGGAATTATCCTTCAGTATTCTAAATTACAGTCTAGAGGAAAAGACTTAATTTATTCCTGTTCTTCTTTGAACCACATTAATTTTGCTACACAGTAACTAGCTTTGTAAATAATTGGAAGCAAATGATCTTTGCATCTAAGCTTGTGGAAGTCTCCAAGGAAGAAGTAGGTAATAGTGTGATCTGAATACAAGAAAGTATTTTGGATCTATTTGTCATGATTTTCTCTTTGTTCTAGGAAAGCCCTCAATCTAGAAAAGAAAATATGATTTGTTTCCTTGAATAACATGTTTTATTTATCTTGATTTACACAGCCTTAACACATTTTTAAAGATAGCTTCACTTATCAGCAGTCATTACTTTATTTCATCTCTACAGTAATTGATTTCTGCTTGACTAAGTTCCACTTGTAGAAACTAATTTATATATTTTTGTCCTTTTGTAGTTTTTCTTCAGTTTATTTGCTGATACCAAAAAAGATCCTGCTCTGCTCAGCTATACTGAGATGCTACTTTATTTTGCCTCCCACTCTGATCCAGTTGAAGGTGTTTACAGAGCACTTAGCATTGCTACTGGAACATATATTCATAGAAAAGAAGATTCTCTTCCATATGTGGTAAAATATTACAGTAAAATGTTTGATAATAGTAGTGGTTCTTGCAAATTAGAAATTATCTAGATTTCTGTATGTTTCTGAGTAGCTAGCTCCAGTCCTTACAAGGAGTCCCACTGATTTCAAAGGAACTCTGCAAATAGTTCACTGACTTTAGTAATAATACTCATAAGTATTCCTCCAAAAGTCTGAAATTTTGCTTGCCAGATAACAATGAAAGTTTAAGGTATTTTCTGGGAACTACTCCTTGTACAGATGAACAGAGGACCCTAATCTTACAAAACTAAGTCCAGCTATCGATCCTCAGAAATGAGACTCTAATATGACTTACAGTATCACTATCTAAAGATATAAAGCCTGATATAATTTATTTTCTGCTATGTTTCTCTGGGGTATTTAGAAGTATATATACCTTTGTGTTATTTTGAAGTGTTTTGGCTTACCCATAAATCAGTAGGATCAATAGTTATTTTATATTAAATAATAAAGAAATATTTTTAGAGCTATGATGAATGTATTGTCACAACAAATGAAGCTTTTGAGCATTTCTGGAGTATCTTGTTATTTTTATAGTCCCAAAACTGCCATTAGTGTACTGTATGTGTCAGTTACTTACTATTGAATTATAAGTCATTTTTTGAGATAGAAAATTTGTATCAGTACACAGCTTTGAAAGAGCTTGTTCTTCTCAATAATAAAATGTTCCACTTTGCTGTCACAAACACAGTGACTCCATCATTTGCTTAATACTTAAAATATAGTTGTGCTCTCCAGAAACTGTAGAAAGGGCATAATTTTACCACACAAATTCTACCTATATTAATAATTACATTTTATCACTTCAAAAGACAAAATATATTCTTGTACTCCCCTGTGTCCGCTTTTATTTGGCACAATGGAGTTTTTGTCCATGAGAGAGACTGAATAGGACAATTTCTTTTTTACATTTCGTAGAAGGAGAGTACAGAATGCTTCCAATTAGATACAGTGGATCTGAATAGTTTCCCATATTTCAGTGGGAAGTTCTAACTCTCATATCATTGGATATAAAGCAGAACAACTGTTCCCCTCCTCACTGTTTTCAGCTTGGTTTGATCTGTTTAATCGGGGCTTTTGTAAGCCTCTAATTACATGCACTGGCATCATCATGTATGTGTCTACAACTTGTTAAGGCTGTGAGTCACTGTTGAAGGCGAAAAATTCCTTTCAATCTAGAATTCACAATGTATTTGAGAAGCAAGAATTATACCCCATCCAACCTGAGGATTTCTTCATGCTTCGTTTTCCATGCAATGTATTTGCTCTGTGAATCCATGATATGCCTGATGTATGTCTCACAATGTATTATATAGATTGGTTTTGTGTCTGATTACTTGAAAGTCCCTTAGAAACCTAGAAATATCTAAAAATTAGATACTAAGTAAGCATCTTGCATGTGTGGATTCTCTTTGACATTATAGTAATCTTGTATAGGTTGGTGCTCAGAACCACAGGGCTGATAGAACATGATTTTAATATTTCTTCTTATGGCTTGTGTTCCATACCTGCACACTTCAACAATCACGTTGAATACAGAAGAAAAGAGAATTAAAAAAATCCTGTTACACTGAAGTGAATGAGTTTTCACCACTGGCTTCAGTAGGGCCAACATTTCATACAGGGTATTTCACAACCACAAGGTGGCAAAAAGTAAATTATGAGTTGGTATTGTGTTACGTTTGGGTCAAGATCCATCAAATAGAAAGATAGAGATCCCTGGAGACGTACAGAGTGTTTTTCAGCACCAAAATAGAAACTAAACCTTTGTCTAACTGTGGCTGTTTACATGTGATCTAAATAATGCCAGTTCCCGCTGGCATTACACTTCCAGGTACTGGAAATCTAGTAAATATTATTAGTGGAATATTCATCAGTGGAATACAAAGAGCTATGCAGCTCACCTCAAAGAAGTTTTGTAATACATTTTAGATAGCCAGTGTATTACATAGCAGCACCTGATTTAAGATGTTAAGTAATAGGAGAAAAGCATACAAACATATTCTAGAGATTTCTCTTACTTGACTAACTTCAAAACTCCTTTCACTTAAAATGCTTGGCTTTTAACTTTCAAGAATTTTGTTGTTGGTTGTGTCAACCTTACAGCTAAATGTAAATGATACAGTGAGGGACAGAAAAGCCTAAGTGTCAATATTTGGGTGATCTCCACTGCTGAGTGTTAAAGAGTTTTGTTGAAAACCCTGTCAGTGACTCTGCGCCTTCTGTGTTGTAAAGGTCTTATATTAAGGCCTAAGACAAGTAGCACAAATGCGACTGATTCTCAGCAGTCTCTTCGTCCTAATGGGAAAATAAATGTAATTTCCTCTTATTGTTAGTGGTTAGTCTACACAGTGGCCTAATCTAGTCAAAGCATTGTTCTATGTGAGGTCCTTTCTCTGTGCTCACAATCTCTACAGCTGGTTTGTTTGTTGTTTTTTTCTGGGGGGGGCGGAGGTGTTTGGTTTTTTTTAGTTGGATTTTGGGGTGTTTGGTATTTTTTTCTTTTTTTGTTTGTTTGGTTGTTTTTTTTATACTTGGCATCTCTATGCAAAGACAGCTCATTCCGTTCATAGGAAACTTCCAGTTTTTCTGCATGAAGCCCTTCTCATTGTCTGTGAGCAGCTGGTGATGGGCCTATGCTGTTAGCCTAAATGAAGTTCATGCAGTGATTTCTTAGTCTGAGCTAGAAAATTCATGCTACTTTTTTCATGTGAGCGCCCAGAATTATCCCTACACAAACACAAAGTTCTTAGTAGATATTGTAATTTGTAACTAGTAAGTATTTTTATGTTTTGTTGCTCAGAATATAATGAATTTCTCAGTGGAATGTTGGCCATGTTCCTGGAAAAAGCTGTTTATTAAATTTCTACTAATGCCAACATTACAGATATTTCTGGACTTTCAGACTCTATTCCTTCATCCTACAATTCAGTAGATAATTTTTTGTGACTTGACATTTTTTGCTTGAACTGAACTGAATGTGAACTGAAGTTTGGAAGTATAATTCACTGATCTTTAATGAATGTCTGACTGAAACAGATGACTACTGGCAGACTGTAACTAATTAATACCAAGTATTATACCTACACTTTCTTAGGCTTTTCCTTATATCAACATAGACAAAGATGAGGAAACTTTAATAGAAGAAGAAAAAGAAGTCCTGAATTACATGGGTGAAGGAATAATTTCAATGGAAACTCTACTCAAAGTGTTTCGTACTGGAGGAAGTAAAGATGATGATAATAATAGATTTTGTAATCCAGAGAAGGAAGGCAGCTATGATAAGGTAAGCAGGTTGATTCAAGGAAGGTTTTGTATGTTGTGTTTTATGTTAAGTAAATACCTGCTGCAGTCTTTGCTCCTCCCCAATTGTTTTTGAAACAATAAATTGACCAGTTCTTTGGTTTTTGGTTTTGTTTTTTTTTTCTTAAAGCATTTCATCAGAATGTACAAAGACTTAGGCAGTAAAGATCTGACACCCATTCCGGTTGCAGTCTTTTTGAAGCATTCTTTCATTCAAGATTTGATCAACAGCTATCAAGAATATAAGCTTCCTGTGAGTATTGCTTTCTGGGACCAAGAACTTTTTGAGTATGCATACTGAAGTCTTCATCATCCCAGAAATGTAAATGAAATTAATTTAGATGCTGCCAAATATACAGCATAGCAGATAGAGATTAGGTATTTCCTTTTCAATGAAAATAGCATCAATAAAAGACTGCATGGCTTTCTGACCTATTTTTTTTTAATGCCTGTTTTGCTGGCCTGTAGCTGCCTACAAGTTTTCTACTGCCTTATCGCATGTGTCATTGCCTTTCCCCTGCCCGAGGAAGGAGCCCGATTGAATTATCTTCCCAAGAGGATCTTACTGCAAAACACTATGAGATATGTGATAGAACACATTCCATCCCAGTCCAGCTAGGCTGCTGAAAAGGGCATGCAGATGTAGTACAGGTCTAAATGTTCTTCCCTGCCATACTCTAGATCTTCCCTGTTGCCTGTACCTATGTTTAAATGTGTGTTACAACAGTTGCACATAACACAAGTTTGGGCCAGAATATACCTATTAAATGTGGCAAAAATACGTGATATATAGGGTATAAGAAAATAATGTGACACAAAATGAATGAATGCTTGCATTTGCATGCTCAAATTCAAATATGAGCAGTCTTCACAAGTCTGAGGTTGTCAGCACCAGGGGCATATAATATCACACAACCTTTAAGTCTGAATAAAGTACATAATGCTCCAGGACTAACTTTCTATTTCGTAATTATATTCATACACTTGTAAGAGGTGAAGTGCTGATCACTTACTATATCTCTCATAATTGTTGTTAGTAAAAGACATGATATAAGAATAATAGAACATGTTTACTCTGTCAACAAGGGTTAAATTTGTTTATTTTTTTTTGGTAGTAGGAAGAGATACAAAAGGACAATGTAAGAGAAAACACAACTGAAGACTACAAGTATGAATGTGTATCTATCCTGCCTGTGTTAATGTCTTGACTGGTTTGGGATGATAGGCACCATGCAATGTTAGGTCATTCCTCCCTTCCCTTCCTGATTCTTTCTTCCTGACACTTTTTGTTTAATTGAGTACTGCATTTCCTCATTTGAATTTTTTTCCCAACTTCACTGAATTTCTCGTAAACCAGTTTCTTAACCCAGCTCGCTGTTCTTGTACATGACCAGTCTCAAGAACTATTCTTTACATAAGTACTTCCTTTACTTGCAACATTTAACATAGTGCAAGCTCCCCATGAAGACCAAATGTGTGGTCTAAAGTAGCAGTTAACTAGAGTGTAAACTGAGTAATGCCATGTGCATATACATTACTATTTAAAGGCAGGAGGGCTGCTTTTTAAAACCTTTTTTCACTAAGCAATAGTTGAATATCAAGAGCAAAGCATATTCTTCATCAAAATTTCTAATCTTCCTGTACTACTTTCAGGAGGAACCATGTTATATAGCTTAAAGAGTAGAGTGTAGTATGCATTTAAAATTTGCTAGGTACCACTAATCACCTATATTTGGGTGGTAGGATATGTTCAGGGCAGTACAATTATAAAAATTGTCAGTCTATGAGAAAAAGTGTAGGTGAGAAAATACTGTATATAAATCTTGGCAATAGCAGAAGGTTTCAAAGCACATGCTGTAGGCCAAAGGAATTTCCAGCTTGTCTACCAAAGATATATTGGAATCATTGCATTTAAATAATACATTTTTGTACTCACTTGGCAGACCCATTTGATGTCTCTATCTACTGACTTGGCAGTTAGATGATGCAGAGCTTCAATTTTCATTTGTAATACATAGAATTTCCCCTTGCAAGGGCTTATACTGACTATCTCAAATACAGCGCTTTATGGTTTCTATACTTAAAAAGGGAAGATTATATTCCTTGACTGGACTGGTAAATACAGACTGCCGTCTTATGCATGAAGTCAATACTTCACAGTCTTACTCTCAAATTGTGACTAACTAGGAAGGATCCATAATTTCTTACTCAAATTTACAACAAATTATTATACTCACCAGCAAACAGGCACAGTGACCCAGTGGCCATGAACTCCAAAAACAGTTTGACTATTCTATATTTGGTGAACAGGTGTTGTTTGGGTTTTTTTCCCAAAACATTTCCAAAGTAAGTAAACAATATTTTTAGCATCAATTATTCTTTCAGAAATTCTCCCAAGACTATAAAAATCTCTATAAAAATGAAACTCAGCCACAGTGCTGTTATTTTGAGATCTTTTACAAGATAAATATAGCAAGTTAGGGTGTGGTTTCCAAGGTTAAAATCTTTCTACTACTGCAGTCATAAACAGTGGAAAATAAAATGTTTTTGCTGAAAACTATAAATGGAATATCTAGCTTAAAATTTTTTTAGTTTTAGTTAGGGCACCTGATTATTTTGGCCTCTTGATTGCCTTTTCCATTTTAACCAGTACTATCTCTGATATAAATATTTGCTCCAGGTAAGATATATTGTCTTTTAAAGGGAGCTTGTTTTCTCCATTCATGTACCAGTCGTCTGGCAACATCGCTCATGATGATGACCTTTCTGTTAGCCTCAGCCAACAAATAAACTTGGAAATTTTGTTACGTCTCATCTGGGATTTTGTTTTCATTTGGTTTGGGGTTTCTATTTTCTGTCTTGATAAGCAGTCTTTCTGGTCTTGACTAGAACTTTCAGATCGTTTGCAATTACCAACAAATTTTTTTTTGCTTATCAGATGAAATTCATTCCTTTAGAATAGTTAGACCACACCTACATGTAAGTGTGTGTTTATGAGTGCACTCAATTACATTCTGAATCAAATAAATAAGAAAATATTTTTAGTAGGTTAACAGATTCAGATGGGATAAGCAAGCCATTCTGATTTTATCCACTGCAGAGGTCTGTGTATTAAGATTTGTCTACTAAGGGATCTTTTTCAGGGCTGGTATTATTTTTTGTTACAAATTTTGCCTTCTATCCTCAGTCTGTCACAGACAGATACAGTAATACAGGAACAACCACACATTTTAGTAACTCTGAATATTGACTGTGATAAAATTTTGGGATTTATGCATGTAAAAATATATTCTATTTCTTAAATTGATGCTTTCATTAATCTGGTATTTTGAGGCAGCACGAGGTAATTACTAAGGATAACAATGATTTGATAATTAGCATTCAGTTGGTTGATATAAAAAATATTATGCATTTCATAATGTTACTTTTTTATTCTGATTAGTCCTTTTTACATAACTCTAGTTTTGAAGATATCATAGAATCGTAGAATAGCTAGGATTGGAAAGGACCTTAAGATCATATTGTATTTCTATGTGTCTTTGTTTTGAATATATGTAACAGGCCCTTTAAATATATTTTAATTAGGCTCTTGGATCAAGTTTGTTCCTTCTAAATTGTCATATTATTATTGCTGTTATTATTGGTCCTGATAATCATTTCAGAATTATTACTCAGATGTTCATACAAATAAATGGAGTTCCACTGATACAGGATTTCTATAGTATAGTTAATAAGTCTTTATTAAAAAAAACCCCATTTGACAGTATGTTGAACAGTCATTACAAAATCTGTTCATATGCACAGCAGCTATTCGATTTTACACAACTCAACAAACGTTCAGAACTGCATTTATCATTTAACAAAGTAATAATGCTTTCTCTCTAGGGAGAGTTCATACACATTATATTCAGTAAGGCTTGTGAGGAAGACCATGTAGTTCACAATCAACAGTAAATACATACTTTGGCAGAAAGAAGTACTGCTGAATCACTGTCTACCCATAGGCAGTAGTTGTAATACTTACGAAACTTGAGAAGCCTTTTTCATGTGGTGTTTTGTATGTCCCAGAGTGCAAGAGAAGGAAAATTCAGCTCAGTGTTTAAATAGCTAGTTTAAAAAAAAGAGACCTATGTTATGTTTCCCTTTATCACATATTCCAGTTAAAAAAAATAATCTCAGGAAATGCAAATATAAATGAAAAATACTGTTTATTACATTTTAAAATTATTAAAATATCTATTTACGTAACTGAAACATGAAGATCGCTTCATTAAACACAGACATAGTAAATCTGTTGGAGTACTATTCCTCCAGTGTTTTGAAGCTGTTTAGTTTTGCTTTCCTCTGCAAAACTGTTACATAAACCAAACTTGTCCAGATAAAATATTCTTAAATGCTGTTCTGTCACTCTCTTCTCTGCATTGATTATAATTTTCAATCATGCTATGCTTCCTTTTAGACTGATATTTAAGATATACTTCTCTGGCATTGCTGGAGTTTAAAACTTCCACTTCCCACACAGGTGAACACAGTGAGAGTACTGGATGTGTCTCTATATATCATTTCCTCTGCAACAAGTAGTAGATTGCTTGAGCCAATTTTTTACAGGAGCATAGATTTATACTTTATGTTTATTAGAAGCCTCATAATATAGTTAACATTCTATCATGTCAGAAGTACTACAGTTTAAACTTAGATCCTCATCTGCTTTGTGTGGTAATGATAAGTACTGATAATGAACTTGCTGAAGGCTCCATTTGCTAGCATTTACTTTTGTCAAACCGGAATTGAAACTCCTTTTTCTGACTCAATGTGCTGAAAATGGCCTCCTTAACTTGAAGTGTTTCTTTGAGTAAAAGGTAAGTGTTAGTACTACCTTCTAAATCAAAGGTCTACTAAAATTATCTTTTAACATGGCTCCTCTGTACTTACTGAAATGCTCCTGATATAAAGAAAAAAATATTTACTGAAGGTACCAGAAAGTGATAGAAAGTTTAAATACCATTTATCTTCATATTAAACATTTAGCACATTATTTTTTAATCAAAAATTCCTTGTTAATCCTACTTACACGATGGATAGTATTGCTGAAGTAGGAAATAGAGAAGATTGTACTAATAAAAAATTATTGGAAATTAACAAATGAAAGTATATATTATAAAGAATGAAGAACTGCACAAAAAAATAGCTAAATGTGGGTATTATTCCAAATGCTAATTACTTACTTTCTTTTATTTCCCTTTCCTTGAAGTGTTGTTGAAGTTCAGCCTGAAATATGACATGAGTGCCATGAAGGATGTTCTTTCTGTAATTATCACTGTATGTTTGTTTTCATTAGTGCGCTGAACATACCTAGTGCTTAAGCTAAGTGACAGCATTGTTTTTAGTGCCCTTCTGAAAGACATCTTGTGTAATCTAAGGGTAGTATAAATTATAGTGATATATCCCCACTGAAGTTAGTTTTTCACCATAATTTAGTCACTAGTGAGAAGGCTCACCCCATGGAAAGACAGGCATTTTTATTAAAATGTTTAAGGTAGAATAGGCTGCAATATGAAATGACCTTTTAATGTTTCATTTTCCTTTCCATAGGATATTAACATCTTTTTCCAAAGATCTGAAGAAGCACAGTCATCTAATGGAAAAAACATCATCAATGTATGGAGAAATGATCTTCATGAATACTAAGAAAGTTTTTTGTTTGTTTTTTTTTTTTAAGTTTGTAAGAAATGCTTCTTGCAACTTCAGTCCTCCCTTCCATGGGAAAGGATTATTTGTTTATTATTGTGAGAGTAAAATCCCATTGAATTTACACATTTTCTGTTACTTTAAATTAGAAACCAACCAACCAACCAACAAGAAAATACTAAGAGGAAAAGATAGGGCTAGTACATATTAAATAATCTGATGATACTTCTAAATAAAATTAAACCAGTTTCTGAATTTAAAGAAAGCTGACAGTGTGTTCATTAATAATTGGTATAAGAATAGAGCATATCCAGTTCTATTAAGTGAGCTAAGATATCTGGTCACCTTTTGTTATGTGTATACTTTATTGATTCATAGGTTTCTTCATTAATTAAATGAGTTTTTAAAAACTTGTTGCAATCCATAGCTAATAAAATAAGTAAATGAAAAAACTGTTTTCTCAAAGTTCAGGATAAACTACCAAAAAGACATTATGTACATGAAAATGGACTGCTTGTTGACATGGAGATGAAAAATTTTGCTAGCCAACCATTCTATATCTAACCCTTCATTGCAGCTTAACTCTGCTCTTACCCACTAAACCCCTGCAGGCTTTTTCTCTGGTGCAGCACCAAATGCATTTCAAGGGCATGGGTAGCAAAGGGTGCTACTGTCTGGTAACCTCCCCTACTGTTTGGCAGCCTCCAAACAAAGCAGTAGGTAGGTGCTACAACATTTGTAGTTCCACTGCTAATTCTGCACATAATATTGTAAGTGACTAGAATTTACAGTGAGGTTCCACACAACTGTTTTCAGGAATCAATTAAAAGTCCTTTTTAACCAGCACAGTGTGTTCAAGAGCACCATTTGGGACCAGTATTATTTAATATATTCATCAACGATTTAGATGAGGGAATTGAGTGTACTATCAGCAAGTTTGCTGATGACACTAAGCTGGGAGGGGTGGCCGACACGCCAGAAGGCTGTGCTGCCATCCAGAGAGACCTGGACAGGCTGGAGAGCTGGGCGGGGAATAACTTGATGAAATATAACAAGGGAAAGTGTAGAGTCCTGCATCTGGGCAGGAACAACCCCAGGTTCCAGTATAGGCTGGGGAACGACCTGTTAGAGAGCAGTGTAGGGGAGAGGGACCTGGGGGTCCTGGTGGACGACAGGGTGACCATGAGCCGACACTGTGCCCTTGTGGCCAAGAAGGCCAATGGCATCCTGGGGTGTATTAGAAGGGGGATGGTTAGTAGGTCGAGAGAGGTCCTCCTTCCCCTCTACTCTGCCCTGGTGAGACCTCATCTGGAATATTGTGTCCAGTTCTGGGCCCCTCAGTTTAAAAAGGACAGGGACCTGCTGGAGAGAGTCCAGCGCAGGGCAACTAAGATGATTAAGGGAGTGGAGCATCTCCCTTATGAGGAAAGACTGAGGGAGCTGGGTCTCTATAGTTTGGAGAAGAGGAGATTAAGGGGTGACCTTATTAGTGTATATAAATATATAAAGGGGGAGTGTCACGAGGATGGAGCCAGGCTCTTCTCAGTGGCAAACAATGAAAGGACAAGGGGTAATGGGTACAAATTGGAACACAAGAGGTTCCACTTAAACCTGAGAAGAAACTTCTTCTCAGTGAGGGTGACGGAACACTGGAACAGGCTGCCCAGGGAGGTTGTGGAATCTCCTTCTTTGGAGACATTCAAAACCCGCCTGGACACGTTCCTGTGTAACCTTATCTAGGTGTTCCTGCTCCGGCAGGGGGATTGGACTAGATGATCTTTTGAGATCCCTTCCAATCTCTAACATACTGTGATACTGTGATACTGTGATACAGTCCAGACACACATTTCAAGCTTCTGTGATTTATTTAGGTGATAGGTGTTTGTCTAAAAATCTCTATGGCACAAGAGTACATCTAGCAGTTGCCTTCTGTGGCAGGTGAAGCAGAGTCTCGGTCAAACACGTTTCTTATTTATTACTGACATGGTTGTTTCTTTTTCTATACCCAGTCTGACTCTTACTGGCTTTCCTGGAAGTTGTTCTGAATAGTTTTCATAGAAATTTTCTTGTTAATAGGATGCTGGTGTTTTCTTGCATTTTTATTGAACTTCTCTTGTGGCTCATGATTGGCTATTTGATGATAGGAACTATTTTTTTATGGAAATTCTTAACAAATTTTAGAACACTTTATAATTAATGAATATGGAATTCAACACTGCTATGTTTCATACCCTCAGTTTTCCGTGGTGCTCAATTCTTCTAATCTACAGCTTAAAGTTTTCTCAAGACTGGACATAGCAAGTAGGTAGCTGATTATCTGAACACTGTATACCTTCTAATTTGCAATCTGTCAGCTGCCCAAGATTTAAACAAACCTGGTTCATTCTACATTGTTTTACTGGCTTAGAAATATAATTAATAAGTAAATACTTCCAGGATGTCTACTCATAGCTGAACATTGTCATTCTGGAGTACTTTTTTCTATGCTTCACAGTAGCTTTTAAAGATTCCTTCACCTGTTTTTTTCAGTAAGGTACCCTAACATACCTTGCTCTGTAAGTATACAAATAGTCCTATTGAAGTCAGTTAACTTATACGGAACTACAAACCTTTGCCCTATGATAAGTGCTATCTGCACAGAATACTTTTACATTTTTGATGTATCTTTATTACCTTGTAGCCAAGTATGCATGACATAGGATAGTACTTCTATAACATTTGCTGATGTTCCTAATGAATTTTCTAGATTGCCTGCTTGATGTATAAAGCAGTTATGTATCAAAAAAGCAATAGCAGCATACAAAAAAAGAGGAACTGGCATAGTTACAGACAGTAACAAGCAGACCTACCTGTAAAAACAGTCTGGTTTCTATTATGATAAAATAACAAACATTTGTCAGAGTTTTTGAACTTGCTGATATCAATAATAGCAGTTTTGTGTCTTTGTTGATTTTAGAGTCAAATTTTGAAAGGAAAGTTGGTAGTCTAGTGGTAGCACATCAAAGCTTCTATATGTGATATATGAAGCTCAGAATAGAACTCAGTGAGCTTATCACTTCAGGCAAATAATGTTGTGTCTCATCACTCTACATGTGAGGTGCTAACCACACCGGCATATTATAGCTAAGTACTATCTTAGAAACAGATGTAACTTTGTTGTGCCCCCGCAAACCATGCTAAAACCTCAACATCCTTGTTTTACTTATGACAACAGACTTCATGATGCATACAAATTTATCTGCTTTATTACCAGAATAATTTCTTCCATGGCCTGTACAACTTGGTCAGAATTTCATCTCTAATATTCTTGAAACATTACATGTATGTATTAATACAAGACTTTGACTTTATTCTTCTAAAATGAAAATACTATGTAGATAAAAAAAAATTACAATGCAGTTCTCTGCCTTTTGTATGTTACCAAATCTTTACATTTTTACTTTTTTTTCCATATTTAGTTTCTTTAACAGAACCCAGCCTTAATTACTGAGTGTTAAATTCTGACTTTTCATGCTGGAGTTCCTCATGTGAAAATAAAAAGCTATCGCCTAAAATCTGTAAATCTGAATGAAGTAAAAGGGAGCTTTGGCTACAGGAAACCATAAATGGCTATTTAGGTAAGGTTTTTCAAGTATTACTCTTTTGACATACACTGTTTATATATTTTACTTATGGCCTAGAATGGAACATAAAATCACAGAACCACAGAATCACAGGTAAGCTGAGGTTGGAAGAGACCACCAGGGGTCATCTAGTCTAACCTTCCAGCACAAGCAGTGTCGCCTAGAACATATTGCTCAGGACTGTGTCCAGGCAGGCCTGGTGTATGCCCAGTGAAGGAGACTCCACAACCTCTCTGAGCAACCTATTCCAATGCTCATTCACCCCCAGTGGAAAGAAGTTCTTCTTCATGTTCAGGTGGAACTTCCTGTGTTCCAGCTTATACCCATTGCCTCTTATCACCTGGCACCACTGAGAAGAGTCTGGCCCCATCCTCTTGACAGCCTCCCTTGAGATGCTTACACACATTGGTCAGATCCCCCCGAGCCTTCTCTTGTTGAGGCTGAACAGTTCCAGCACCCTCAGCCTCTCCTCCTCATGTAAGAGATGCTCCATTCAATAGTGGGCCCACATTATTCCCTAATTTTCCTCTTATTAATGCATTTGAAGAACCCTTTCTTGTTGTTCTTGACATCCTTAGACATCTACAATTCTAACTGGGCACTGGGTCTCCTTGTCACATTTCTGCATATGCTGACAACATCCCTATATATTTATCCCAAGCATCCTTTTCCCTTCTTCCTCCTCTGCACATCTTCTGCTTGTCTGAATTTTGACAGGAGTTCTTTATTCATCCATGAAGGTCTCCTACCCTCTTTGCTTGATTTATTGCCCATGGGGTTGCATCGGTTTTGAGCTTGGAAGAAGTGATTCCTGAATATTAACCAGCTCTCTTGGAACTTTCTTTATCATTTATCATTACCTATGTAAAGTTTATCATTACTGATAAAGTTTGAAATTAAATGCAAATTGTGGAACAATGTCAAATAATAAAAAGTGAAATGGATTGCATGGTGAGGTGTCAAATAACATATATTATAACACATAACACAATTATACACAACACATATTATACACACACATATAACACAACACATATTATAACACAACACATAATATAGCAACTTATTTTTGTTGACAGTTGCCGCTTCAGTATAATTGCCACAGTAGTTACTCTATAGACTTGGAGTTCCAAGCCTAATGCAGGCTCCAGACATAAAAAAAGTCCTTTGACTCATGAAGGTAGAATGCTGAGTAGATTTGCATTCAGATTTGGCAGTAGAATTACAGTCATGCCACGTTCAGTTTTCATATCTACACTTACTTTGTCAAAGGAAAACTTAATGGAGGTTCAGGTATAACTTTACAAGAATTCATGTAACGTGCCCCCTTTCTTGGTAAAGACAAGAATCAATGGCTGGAACCTTAGGCTTCAAAGTAACATACAGATTTTTAACAGGAAAGTGGATTAACTGTTCAAGCAACTTGCTAGATGTTGTGGCAATTTCCTCATCACAGAGTTTATAATCAAGACAGATAATTCTTTTAACCCCAGGTTTTGGTGGAAACTCAAACAAGAAATAACTGCACTTTTGACACTAAAAATACATAATAAAAAACAAAACCTGAAAAATTAGTTTGGCTTTCAGTCAACTACATGCAACATATTTGATCCTGTTTTCACACCATGGTGTCTTTTTTTGTTATATTTCTTCTTAATTCCACTTACTTCAGGTATTCTTAAACATGCTGTATAGAAAATGGCTTGGATAGCTTGCCTTTGAAAACATTTAAAAATGCACTAGAAATTACATTAGAAAAATGCAATGGAGTTTGTATTAACAATATTCTTACCATAATTAAAATTACTGTATTCCATCACTGCAAAAAAATGTTCTTTAAAAAAGCAAACAAACCAAAAAGTACTGCTGATTTAGAATGTCACCTCATTTTCAGTGGCTCACATAAAACCTCTCTGTATAAACTGAACTCAGCATTTCATTCTGTAAAGAATTCAGGCTCCATACTAGTCTGTTTCAGGAATGTGAATG